GGTCTGACTCTGGTTCCTTCGACTGGAGCGATCACTGGCAAGCCGACCACGGTGCAGGACTCTCGAAAGTACACGATTTCTGTGACAAACGAGGGAGGAACGATCACCACTACGATCAACATTCTGGTGTTGGAAGCTCCTGTGAACTATGTGTTGATTGTACTGATCGTTGTTGTCGTGATCATCGTGATCGTGGCGATTGTTGTTCTGATAGTGTTGTTGAGCAAGAAGAAGAAGAGCGGAGCGAAGAAATCGATGCCGAAGTCGGCTAAGTCTGCGAAGGCTCCGGCTCCGAAGCCAGCTCAGGTAAAGACGAAGACTGCTGTGAAGGTCTAAAGTCGAGAGCTATGAATAATGTTGCACGTATGCAGAATTGGCTAGATTTGTTTGTTTGATTCCTATTTTCGATTATCTATTAGGGATTGTATAACACTATTTTATTGCTGTTCTTTCTCATACATAACTATTTTTCATTATCATTAACAAAAACTGAGTAATATAATACGCTGATTGTAATGATTGCTATTTTCAATTATATAGAATTCTCACCTTTCTATTTATCATCATATTTTACTTACTTAAATGTATAGTTGTTTCCATATCTGTATTGATTTTGATGTCATAAAGGTAATGCATTTTGTGAGCAAACTAATTCTATCAACAACAAAAAAGGTTGATTAGTATAAAACAGTTTTATATGAAAACTATGAATATATTAGTGATATCGTCAATACGTTTAGTATCTTGCACTTTTCTAGCTGACATGAAAGATAGTACTTGCACGAAAATCGTTGATTCACAACCATAACAATTAGTGATTCACAATTCAATATGTGGAATGATTTCGACCAGTTGTTTTCATAATCATTCTTTTTCTGAGTGAATGATTTGATTCGATTTTGATAGTTTTCAATCGATTCAATCCATCGATTTGGAATGTTTGCACTGATTCAAAACAATCATTGCCGATTTCGATTGATTCCAAATTATACAATAATGAAACATCCCAATCAACCAATACACAATTGTCAATCAGTTTCAAATGTTTCATTCCGATATTCAATGGTTTGCTGCCATCTCCTTCATATTTTTTATCAATATCACTTTCAATTCCATTATACCATTCACATTCGTTTACTAATTTACCATATCGATCATACACTTTTCCAATTCCAAATCGCTTATCATCACACCAATATCCTTCATATTCAATCAAACCATTATTATGATAACTCGTTCCATATCCAAATCGTTTCCAATTGATCATTATGCCCTTGTACACCAAGAATCCATCATCATCATACATTTCACCATATCCAAATGGAATTCTCAACTTGTTTTCTGTCAATACCAAGCCTTCAAATCGACTTCCATGATCCAAATCCACTATTCCTTCTTCTATTTCTTCTATAGATTGTTCAATATTATACGAAATAGAACCAAATTGATGATTTCCAAACACTTTCAACACTTTCTGTTCATTGAGGACAAATCCTTGATTCATGAATGCACCATAATTGAATTGCAATACTACACATTCTCTATTATTACTCAAAATGAGTGAAATCCAGCCATTTGGCTTTATTTCTTTACCTAAGAATCTATGCACAATTTTGGTGGCGAATCTAAGAATATATTAGAAACTATAGTGGAATTGACAAAATCAGCAAACAATGCATTGTATCGAAATGTCAAATTTAAAACAGTCAGTTATTTCATATCACAGGCAAGAGTTTTATTTTATATTTTACTAATTCGTAAATAATATCATACTAAAAAGCTAAGATAATCACTATAAAATTACACTAGTACATCAAAAAGTCACTATTCTATTTTCATCACACATATCAGTAATACGATAGATATTTTAAAAATTAACCTGCTTCACAATACACTTCACATACAAAGAAAGAATATACTTGTGTAGATCAAGTTATTATGATATATTTAAGGTCATTTAACGAAATCCTACTTTTATTTGTATTTTTATTTGAATTCTTATTATTTGTAATAATTTGTAGTATTTTGACAACGTTTTCTGAAAATAAGTATATCAATATTTACTTTGTACCATTGACACAATATATTGTTTAATTTACCTTAAACGTAATATTCATTATGTAGTTTTTCGTGTATTTATAGAGAAACATGATATTACCTCCCACATCCTCCATTACATATTACTCTATAGTAATCTCTATTAAAAGTGATTAGATACTGATTACTATCATTTTTTAATAAGCGATGATGACATTTTACTCCCGCTGATACTTCATCACTATACAGAAATGGAAGGTATACCAACACTATCTAGACGATGAAGAATCGATTTGACTTGACAAAGACACAGCAAAATGGGTACAACAATTGCTACAATTAACGATCATAAATATGATAATAGTATATATTATTTACACTTAGATTTGATCTAATTCTTCTATATCACAACCAATAAACACTTTATAAATCCCTATTTATTTCAAGAACTAAACTATTTGATGGGTGAATTAATTGAAAGAATTCAGCATCTACGAAAAAATAACAAAGAAGAAATAAAAGGACTAGCAACCTTACATATTTCTAAATGATAATCATGAGAGAAACGAATTCAATTGGATAATAGTATTTTATGATATTATCCATGATATTAGCTTTTATAGTTTAACAAGCATGATGCAGTAAACTGTAAACGAATTGATGTACAGTAAATCATAAGAATCTCTTCTGTAGATAATATAAAGGTCTTTTGATATTAAATGGAGAAGACAAAGCAATAATTAAGGTGTGCATAGATAATAATAAGCGATGCAAATTGAAAACGAAAAACTCCGAACCACAAAATAAAAAAAGAATTGAGAAGATGGCTGTTTTATAATTAACTTGTAAGTAATACTGCATACCAATACTAGCAATAGGATAATGATCGAAAGCATAAATACCTCAATACACCTATGAATTTTTTGGTTGTAATTACTGACTGTTTTAAATTTGACATTTCGATACAATGCATTGTTTGCTGATTTTGTCAATTCCACTATAGTTTCTAATATATTCTTAGATTCGCCACCAAAATTGTGCATAGATTCTTAGGTAAAGAAATAAAGCCAAATGGCTGGATTTCACTCATTTTGAGTAATAATAGAGAATGTGTAGTGTTGCAATTCGATAATGGTGCATTCATGAATCAAGGATTTGTCCTCAATGAACAGAAAGTGTTGAAAGTGTTTGGAAATCATCAATTTGGTTCTATTTCGTATAATATTGAACAATCTATAGAAGAAATAGAAGAAGGAATAGTGGATTTGGATCATGGAAGTCGATTTGAAGGCTTGGTATTGACAGAAAACAAGTTGAGAATTCCATTTGGATATGGTGAAATGTATGATGATGATGGATTCTTGGTGTACAAGGGCATAATGATCAATTGGAAACGATTTGGATATGGAACGAGTTATCATAATAATGGTTTGATTGAATATGAAGGATATTGGTGTGATGATAAGCGATTTGGAATTGGAAAAGTGTATGATCGATATGGTAAATTAGTAAACGAATGTGAATGGTATAATGGAATTGAAAGTGATATTGATAAAAAATATGAAGGAGATGGCAGCAAACCATTGAATATCGGAATGAAACATTTGAAACTGATTGACAATTGTGTATTGGTTGATTGGGATGTTTCATTATTGTACAATTTGGAATCAATCGAAATCGGCAATGATTGTTTTGAATCAGTGCAAACATTCCAAATCGATGGATTGAATCGATTGAAAACTATCAAAATCGAATCAAATCATTCACTCAGAAAAAGAATGATTATGAAAACAACTGGTCGAAATCATTCCACATATTGAATTGTGAATCATTGAAATCTATTCAAATCGGTGAATTTGGTATAAGTGATTATGCTGGAGACTTTGAATAGAAGAATCTACCACAATTCCAGTCCATTGAAATTGGTACAATTGATAGTTATTCAAGCAATTTGTATTGTAGTTTATACTTGATTCGAAGTATAGATATGATCTTGAATAATTGAATGATTAAATCTTTTAAAACTACAATCCATCACATTGGATAACGATGTATTTTTTATCCTCATCAACCGTAATCGAAGGTATTGATTGAAATGAATAAAATGATTGATATAGATCTTTTATCATTTCAATCCATTCGACTTCAATAGAAGGTACTTAAAGGTTAAAATGATAATTCTTTATGTTTTTTGATGATCTGATGTAATAATGAAATGAGTCGAAATGATAAAAAATAGATCCTGCAAATCTGATATCCATTACCTTTTTCGTAGGAAGAAGTTTCCGTTTTTCTAATTCAAGGATATTGGAAAGTATTATTGAATGCTGAACACTGATAGTGTATAGATAATCCTAATCTTCAAAATGTATGTCTACCTAACTCTTTTTATGAAGTTTGAGGAATATTGATTTTAGTGTATTTTGTTCATTTATTTTTAAGTTTAGGTGTTACTCTTATTCTCGCGGATCTTGTTTATATAAAAAAGTAATCATGGTAGATTGATCCGATTTAGAGATAGTTTAGTCTTTTTCGGGATATGTTGATTGGTTACTTTTCACTATTCCTTTTTTACCTATCATGCTACTCCATGGAGTCTTCTTCATGTTTATATTACAAATTATAGTGTCTATTGCATATTATTTTGCTTTCACATTACCGTTTCTATCGATAATATGAAGTATTGGTAGTTAAGTCTGCGTTACAATTGTCTTTTTTAGTTTTGTATGCCTTTTTCTTATTACGTTTACCTCATATTGTATTTTTAGTTATTTTTTTATCTCTCTGTGATTTCTAACAGTAGAAACAATCACATTCTATATGCAAACATTACTCGTATTGCATCAAAAGACAACACTTTCGCACTTCTTACCATTCTCTTTCAAACAAACAATACATCCGTTTCCCCTCTCAACCCAATTCATACACTCACCAATGCAGTGAATTCACTGTTACTTCTGGAATTACATGGAATCGAGTGTGAAACATCGCATATGCTTCCTCCGATCCTCTCTCAATACCCAATACATCATACACTTGCTTTCCACTCTCCAATAATCGTTCAATCGAGAACGAAGATCCCTCTCGAACATACCAATTCTACGTTTCCACTTTGTTACTGCCCCTACTCCCAACTCCTCCGCGATTTTCATCATATTCTCACGCTTTTCTGGACGAATCTGCCCGCCTCCATTCAGGCACCCGCTCGGACACGCCATGACTTCCACAGCGTCATAGACGCACTTCCCTCTCTACTGAACCCCTATTCCCAAATCTACTTTGATCTTCATCGCAAGATTCTGTATGTTTCGAAACCCATAAATAAACGCTCCTCGAAACACGATTTCCTCCCCTACACACACCGAACTCTCCACAAAATCGCTGTTTCGCACTGTTCGTGTTCTTTTCATTGAGTTTTCAACAAATAAAGCAAACACTAACCGGGCTGCTGGGCGCGAGAGCAGCTCAAACTTCAGCAGACTTTGCAGAACGCCCCCCGAACTCATCAGCACGTCGTCGAACGCCGTGCGACACCCCGATTCCATCGCTTCCCACCGCTTTTCGTCCCACCACACGCGAACCGGCGCCGAAGGAGCCGAAGGAGCCGGTTTCTCCAACAGTTCCGCGATTTCCTGCGTCGCCAGCACGCAGTCGATCTCGTGGATCCCCGCGGGATCCATAAAATCGCGTCGTGAAGCTTCCTAAAAAATAGCTTCGACAATGAACGCCGACGAGCTTTCGATCGTAGCACGACACAACCGACGCAATATAAATATCCTGGCTCTGAATGGGTTCGTTTGTCAAGGTCGGAAGCATTTTGCGAAGCAGACTTCCCATAATCTACATCGCATCACTGCTGGAGCCAAACCTGCTGCGCCGATTTTGTGGTGGAAAGAAAAGGAACCAGGGCGTGTGTTTTTTTCTCCGCATAACAAACCCAGCTAATCATTAACACGACTGGCGACCGATTGATTACCCGGGACAATTGCTGGTGATAAAAGGGTGGTTGGCAGTGATAGAAGGGTGCGAAGATTCGTTTTGGAAATAGGAGGGATTTGAAAGAAGCGTATAGTGATCATTGGTAGAAGAGAGGTGTTCAATATCAAGACTACTGAACAGCTGGCCTTCTTTGGGATAAACAGAACGAGTCGAATCGATCGCGTAGGAGGGGTCTTGTGAGATGGATGAAGGAGAAGAGGTGGAGCGACGACGATGATCGAATTCGGTGATCGATTCCAACATGGCGATTACTTCGCCCAGATCTTGACGGACGACCACGGAAACTCCATGGGAATAGAGAACGGAGCGAATGCGCTCGAACGCTTCATCGATTGGAATGCCGAGCTTGTTGGCGAGAGACACGCAGGAAGGTCTTGACACAATAGCAACGTAAAGTTTGTGGGCTTTCTGCAGGTCATTGGCATCACCCCATAACTACAGCTTTGAGTTCGTCTAAAAAGGTCTGCAAGCTCTGTTGCTGAATTAACACGGTTTCCGCACTCGTTACACAGCCACTACACGGTGAGGGACCCAAATATCAAAAGCAAACGTGCACGCCAAACAGTCTGCCAGTGAAACGCTCGCTACTTTGGCTACATTCGTCTGAATCACACTCGATGTTGCTGAACTAGAAAATCACAAATAAACACTTCAAACATACCCGTAATCATCTCCTAGATCATCTTCCATTACAAGTTGCATTTTTCCTCCCGAAGTTGAAGTCGCATCGCCAAAAACTCCCGTTGAACATGCCTGCGCAGGAGCAATGAAGTCATCCAACTCGCCTAAAAGGACTGTTCCTGAAAAATAACTCATTTTGGGATTTTGAAGAAATGGAAAAATACCTCCTATTTCTGGATGTAGGAGGCAAATGAGAGCAAGACTCTTTCAACCCAAGTTTCTCAAACTAGAATTTAGAGAAATGAACAGACTCGCTATTTTGGAATTTGTATTCAATTGTGTTCTCATTGTTTTGTTCACGTAACGCGCTATGATTGCACCAACTGAAAAGACTTACTATGGATATACAAAGGTACAACTCCTTTGCTGTATGGTGTGCTATATTTGCTTTCTCGTTTTTGGCGCTGTAGATACCTCAAAGAGCGTATATCTACCTCTTATTCAGAAGTTTTATCATCTGGAATATGATTACCAAGGCTTATTTGTGTTCACCTCATCTATTGGGTATATTACTCTCTCTCTATTTGTTGGGTACCTGGTGGTTCGTCTCGGCATAAAGATCACTTTGACTATGGGACTATCCATTCTGATCATCTCTATGTTAGGAGCAACATTTTTCGTCAATATCTGGGTTTTGCTTGGATTCCTTATCATTGGAGGTTGTGGCAGCGTTTTCATTGATGTGGGAAGCAATACCTGGGGTACCATGCTCTTCCAACATCACAAAGCCGTAATGATGAACACCCTTCACTTCTTCTACGGTCTGGGAGCCTCGATCGGTCCCACCTACACTGGTTGGGCCAGTCTTCTCATCGACAAGGACTATCGTGGCGTGTTTATTTCTCTGTTCATTCTCCTGGCTGTGGGTCTGATTGCGGTTCTCTGCATCCCCAAGCAGCAGTCCGTGAAGGACGACGACGAAGAAGGAGCCGACCCCAACTTCACCATCCTCTCAGCGCTGAAGGATCCTGCAGTGTATCTGCTTGGCTTGGCGCAGGGCTGCATCGCGGGAACGGAGAACATCACGACGAACTGGAGTCCGATCTATTTCCGAGACCTGTACGGGTGGGATGTCCACACGAAGGGCGCGCATTTCGTGACTCTCTTCTTCGCTGTGTACTCCATTTCGAGAGCTGTGAGCGGCTTCCTCATCGATGCGATCGGCGAGATCAAGTCGCTGATGCTGCTGCTCTTCTCGGTGATCCTGCTCTATATCCTGGGCTTCTGTCTGGGAGAAAAAGGCGCCGCCGTTCTGATTTCGACGGGAGCGTTCGTGGCGCCCTTGTTCCCGACCTTCCTCACCGTGGCCATGCTTTTGTTTAAGCGAAACGTGTCGAAATGCACGTGCGTGATCCTGTTCTTCTACATGATCATCTCGCAGATCGTGCAGTATTTCGTGGGACTCATCTGCAAACACATGGGCGTGCAGTGGGGATATCGCTTCGTTGTGGTTCTCATGGGAACGGTGCTGGTGGACGTGTTCGTTCTCAGCTGCATTTTGAAGAAGCGCGAAGAGAAGGAAAAGAATGATGCCACCATTGAGGCGCTCCTCACGGAGGCCTAAGCCATTCGGAGATGTGTTCTAATTTTCTTCTTCTTCTTCTTCTTCTTCTATTTGTGGGCGGATTGATGGAGTGTTTGTTGTATGAAACAGAGCGAAAGAAAAGGACTGATTGCGACTCTCGACACGGATGTTTGCTTCGCTGCACGGTGGACAGACGTTCTCTCTATTCATACGATCCTATTCGACAAATCTGGCAAAATCACTGCTTGTCTGTAAAAGGGTTGATTTGCATTTCGATTTTAGTTTGCGGACCGAGTGGAGTCGGAAAGACAACCTTGATAAAGAAACTCATGCAAAACTACCCAGATCGCTTCGGGTTTTGCGTTAGTCACACAACGCGTCCCAAACGCAAAGGAGAACGAAATGGAGTATCCCTCCAAAGAAAAAAGCTCCTGACTTGTAGATCGATTACCACTTCACGACGCCAGAAATCATCCAGAAAGAAATTCAACAAGGAAATTTTATCGAACACGCCGTGGTTCACGGAAATATCTATGGAACCTCGTTTTTGAGTGTAGAAGACGTTATCCGCAATAACCGCATTTGCATATTGGACATTGATGTCCAAGGAGTTCAAAATATACTGAAAAGGGTAGCAGATGCAACCACCATTCTCATTCTTCCTCCAAGCATCGAGGAATTATCAAGCAGACTCCACAAGCGCAATACAGAAAATGAAGAAACCATTCAGCTCCGATTGAAAAATAGTGTTACAGAGATGGAAAAAGCCTCTCATATCCCGTTTACAAAGGTCATTGTAAACAAAGACATCAACGAATCGTACCAAGAACTGGAGCAGTCCATTTCTCACTTTTTGGATTCGTTTGTTTACTGTATCAAATTCAAAACAAAAATGTATATATATATATATATATATATATATATATAATTATACACATCTACATAAAGTGAGTCTTATAGAACGGCATCTGTGGAGATGAAAACACTCTTTCCAGCTCCTTTTCTTCATTCCTCAATTTTGAAACCCTTCCCATTGTATTCCCAAGCAATTCTGAGAAACATTCAGAAGGAAGGAAGAGGTTTCTATCACAATAACCTTTTAATACCTACTTTTGCATTTTTGTGATGCTTCAACTACATGCTTCCAGAGTTAAACCTTATTATGATACTTCACAAAAATGAACAGTTCATCGAGTCGAGTGCTAATGCAAGGCTATGTGCATGCCACAGGGCCCAACATTGGCTTTGCAGTCGGTTATAAGCGTTTCTACTTTGTTCTCACAGATGACCTTTCATTCTATGAAACAAAGGAATCATTCGATTCTGGATGCAAGCCTGTTGGGACTCTCTCTCTCGATGTGTTCAACATGTCAGTAACTCAAGATCGCGGAAAATATGAATTTGTAGTCTTTGCGTACGAATAATAAAATGTATTTTTTTAATAATTTGTAGCTATCCGTCGTCGGTGGAGTGTGTGGTGGAAAGCAACCAAATGTTGCAGGACTGGGTGAATGGTTTCAATACGCTTTCTGAAAGACGGAATCTGCCGAACTTTTCTCTGTAATCTGTGTGTTCTATGCGTTTTTGGCGATGTTTGTTGGTTGACCCGTTTTGCCTATTGATTTCTCTCATAGTTTCGAATTTGTGATAAGCAAATATAGTGCATAGCTCGACCGATGAAAAAAGAAAGATTCGGGGCGTTTCATCGAGGGAATCTTATGAAAAGGTGGCAGAGTAAATTTAGTGCTAGTTGATTTCGCGATATAATATAGAGAACAGACATCATATAAGTGAGACAACACGATATCTTGTCAATCGTAGAATGAGTAACGAAGAAACGGCAAATGTAAATTCGAACAAAGAGGATCAGTTACGCAGCGAAGTATCTATCGAACTCTCGTGTGATCTAGGTGGAGACTCTATTAAGTCTTGAATCCTTCGCAAAGTGCAGGGATCTTGTAGACCAAATGGACGAAGATGGCTATATTCATCTCAACACGATTCTTTCTTCTCCTTCCATTGTGGAGTTTTCGGCCTCCCTGGAAGAGATCCAGAAAGCCATAAAGTCCAGTGACAAGCTGCAGTTGTCTTCGGACGAAAGCAGCGTCCGCCTGATCATCCCCGTCGAGCGCAAGACGCTGATTCTCCGCGAAGTTCCCAAAGAGGCCACCGAGTCAGAAATCCGCGCCCTGCTACCCGACCAGCCCATCCTCCAAATGCGTCAAGAAGTGGACTCGATCTGGTTCCTGGTGTTCGACTCCGAGTCCTCCGCGCTCCACGCGCTCCACCGCCTCCAGTCGCAGACGCTTCACTCCCAGCCGCTCAAAGCGCGCGTCAAAAGCGAGTTCTACAAGAAGGAACTCCAGCGCCGCCTCGATTCCCTCGCTCCCCCGCGGAAACTCTCCGCCGACGCGGCGCCCTTCGAAGTCGCGCGGTCCCCCACGCCGCTCAACCGCGCCGCGGAGCCGTTTCTGATGCCGGAATTAACGCTGCGGTGGGGTTTCGTCGGTCTCCCCAACGGCACCGAGTTTCCACGTTTCCCCTTTTCGATGTAGCTTCGGGTACTACTACCAGCCGTCGGTTTCGACGGTGCCGGTGGTGATTACGACGCCGACGAGCCACGGCTACACCGGTAATTTTGTGAAATATCCGCGGGAGGAGCTGTACGCGATCGTGCAGAAATGCGCGGATCTGTCGCTCCCCGCGGTGAGCGAGGAGGTGTGGAGTCTGGGCGTGGTAGGGATGGAGAGAGGCGTGTAAAGCGCAGGTGAGCGAGGCGGCGAACGTGGAGCTGGTGGAGAAAGGAAGGACGGAGTCGATCGACGACGCGCTGCGCAGAAGGGCGCCGAGGACTTTGTCGGTCGATAGCGTGGACTACACGGAGATGGTCAGGGGCTCGATCGGAGAGGAGACGGCGGAGAGGGCGAGGAAGCAGAGGAGACATGCGAAGAGGAGGGCGAAGTGAGGGAAGAGGAAGCATGGTGGATTGTTTGTTCGAGATTTATTTTTATTTTGGGGCCGCGCCTGGTGTTTGTAGAGTCGATCTATTGTGTGATTCTGGAAGTCTATGGACAAATCTTCGTCCATTCACGAAGTTCGTTGGGATGATATGCGCGTTTTGCTGGAACAGTTGCAGAAGGAACTCGAGAGCACGCTGTAGGGGAATGGATTGCGGTCAATGCTCTAGGACGACGAGGCAGCGAAATCTCGTGATGGGAAAGCAACACGCCGAAGTCACGCATGAATGGAATGTACGATTCTTTTCAAAGCGTTCACCCATAGAAATACAAGCTTCAGAAAGCCCGGTTGTCACATGGTTTGGCCATCATCTCTAGATTTCATCCAGTCGAATTCCCCGCAGGCCAGACCCAGCCAAAGTAAAAATTTTTTCCACTTCACTCCACCTAGCAAAATTGCAAGAGCGCGTTCATCTTCGCCCGGTTCATCGTCGTTTGTGAATCAGCTGCACTCCCGGTTTCGAGGCGAGCCATCCAATCCGAGCGGTAGCGACCTATCTACCTCGCATCGTTTCGCTTCGCACGGCGAGCACTCCTTCTCTTCCTACCGCCTCCCCGCTTCCTCGCGCGGCGATTCCCTCGAAGCCTCCCACTACTACGAGCCCGTCCGTCCCCTCATCGACCTCCCCACGCCGGAAAGTCTCGAGATTCCGCCGTTGAAACTCCCGAACCGCGGACACGCGATGCAATCACTCGAGAAAGATTTGGACATGGGCATCAGCACGCTCGAGTCCTACGTCAACGGAGAGCTCGACAAATACGACTCGATTAGTGGAAGTGCAGAATTCAGGCAGTTTTTGGACACCGTCGACGCGCCCAAGGATGAAACGCTCGTGAAACTCCTGATGGAGGAAACGTCCGATGGAAACGGGGAAACCGGGGAAACCGGGGAATCGGGGAAATCGTCGAAGCAGTGGAGTGGAAACTCGAATGAAAGGGTGAGTGAAACTGTCAATGAAACTGTCAATGAAACTGTCAATGAAACTGTCAATGAAACTGTCAATGAAACTGTCAATGAAACTGTCATCATGTCATTCAATGGAACAATAATACAATCTCAAAACACAAATCCATCAAATGAAACTCTTCATGAAACTCCCAATGAAACTCCCTTCGAGGCGTTTCAGAACCAGGACGATTCGGAGGAATCGCTTCATTTGAATTGTGTTCTGGAACAACGTCAAGAAGACGAAGCCTTCCTGAGAGAACTTCTTTCAGAACCCTCCTTCCCCGCGGGAACCGCGGTCTCCCAACCGCTCCCTTTTTCCACAAATCCGCCCGATTTTCTTCCACCCCTTCCGAAATCTCCCGCGGGAACCGCGGTTTCCGCGCCCCTGTTCTCATCGAATTCGAAAAACGAAACGCACGAAACGCACGAAACGCACGAAACGCTGGAATTATCTTCGTTCAGCGAGGCGTTGCCGCCCTTTTCCGAGCGAATTCCTCCCGTTTCACCCATCTTAGCGAAGCCCGGTGCGCTGGCGCACACTTTTGAAGGTGTGGCTGCGGTGCTGGAGCTGACGGAGGAGGAAGACGTGAGCGACGTGGGCGAGAGCCTGCACTTCAGCGAGGAAAGCGACTTCGAAGCGAACCAAAATAGACTGAAGCGAGCGATCAAAGCCGATGAATACAACTTCACGGACGATGACACCGATCCTGGGAATTACCCGGTCGGCCCGTCGAGTCTCGAGGAGGCGGAGGAAGAGCCGGGCAATGCGGGAGAGAGGGATGGTGGAAACGGGGAAGAAACGGGGAGGGAGTATCCAAAGCATCGCGATACGGTGGTGAGTCCGAAGAAAGAAGAAGAAGAAGAAGAAGAAGAAGAAGAAGAGGAGGAGGAGAAGGAGGTGGTGGTGGAGGAGGAGGAGGTGGATCTGAAAGCGATTCAAGCGAAAGTGCTGGAGGAAATCGAAAGACGGGCGAGAGAAATTGTGAATAGTCGATTGTGCCAAAGTTTCATTGTTTGTTGAAAGAAGTGGAGCGGAGAAGTGAGGGATGAGTGAGAATGCAAAAGGAATGATCGATTGATCGAATCCTTTGATGGAGAAAAATCATGGAGTACTGAGCTTGGTAATAATAATTGGAGAAAAAACTATAGCAATGAGTAATTATCCAAGAGTTATTTTGGGGTTATGATAAAAAGGTTTATTCGGTGTGCATGTTATATGAATGTTTAAAACACTTGAGATCTATCATCACACTTATAATTTTAACAAATAATTGGTGGTCAAAGCATTGAGTTATTCTTACCATCTCTATGCAACAAGAGTGCTTGTAAAGTCATAATTCATTCATTCTACAACAAAAACAACGCACTAGAATGTAGTTAACTACGATATATACACATTCTTACTAAAATGAATCCTTGCCCTTCAACGGGTAGAATAACAAGTCAAACCATTCGCATCGATTCGCTCTTTTAACAATTCAATTGCTTATTCGTAATATTACAATTCCAAATCTTCCCAAAATACAATCTCATTATTATTATTATTTTTATATTCGCTGTCTCTCCACATAGATCTGCTTTGTGTAAAAGTCTCGGACCTCGCACTCCCACAGCGAATTTACGTAAAACAACGAAAGAACGAATTTCACTTCGCCTTTGGGCAGCGAGCGGAAGTTCGACCATTCGATGCACTTCAGTCGGACGTTCTCTTCGGCCGTCTTTTTCTCTCCCTGGTAGAACTCTATTCGCATACACTGCGCATTGTCGACGGGTGTGGCGAGGAGTTTGCGAAGCGGTTCTCGAGACATAAGATCGCCGTTCTTTGCCAGAACCACCATCTCTCCCTTCCTCGGAATCCAAGCGTCACCGTCAGTACTTCCACTAGTTTGATTCGCCGACCATTGAAAGGAATGCTAAAGTCATGGTCGCTCTCCGACCAGATGTGGCAGAACGTTGCCGCGCCCAAAGCCACAACTTCGTCTGGATTGACGTTGAACTTGAGAGAAACCGATGATCCGAAATGTTTGGTCAATGCTGAATGAACGCATCGCAAACGAGAAGAACCGCCCACCATCAGAATTCGCTTGATGTCTTCTTGATGAAGTCCTGCCTTCTCGATAGTGTTGTCTATCACCTCGATCGTACGCCTGATAAACGGACTCAGAAGAAAATCCATTTTGGCTCTTGTCAAGTCTATCAGTTCCATCTCTTCCAAAACCTTTTCACTGGCAATATCGCTCAGATCGATTTCATAAGATTGTGCTTCGACCAGCCCTTCTTTGGCTTCATGGCATTTCCTTAGTAGTTTTTGCATTCTTCGTTGATAGTCTTTGCTTTTAGAATCATAGATTTCCAAGGGTGTCACTTCCCTGACTTCACGAATAACCCAATCTCGAATCGTTTCATCAAATGCTAAACCTCCAATCTTCTCATTGCCTCCATAACCACAGATCTTCAACACATCGTCACTGATCTGTATTATCGTACAATCAAAAGTGTCTTCATTTAAATCATATACCAAAGTGTAGCTTCCGACCATGCCTTCAAGTCCATAAGAGATAGCCGCAGCTATAGGCTCTTTCAGTAAGCAATAGTTCTCCTTTGTGAAACCAACTTGGCGAATTGCTTCTTCAGTATCAGCGATTTGTTCTTGTTTATAGTCTACTGGAATGTAACAACCACTTTATCCAACTTTCTACCTCGATAAACTTCAGAACGATCTAGCATATGTTTCATTAATTTCACATAGACAGAAACAGGGGTTTCTGTCACTTCCCAACCTTCCTTGTAAAACTCAACTTTGCCATCTCTGCCTTCTCTCATTTTAGCAATGCAAATATCTGGATTCGATAATACTCTTTCAGAATTGTATTGATATCCTATAACTCGCTTTGCATACTGAATTGAAAAATGAGTAGGGGAAAGCATATAAGGAAGTGCCGATTCACAAATAGATACTTCGTTATTTTTGTTGATAGCTAAGACGGAAGGAAATATACGTCTTCCTTGTATGGTCGTTACACAGTCAGATCCAGTTTTCTGATATGTTGTAATCACCGAATTCCTTATTCCTATATCGATTCCACCACAGAATGCACTCATAATAAAACACACTGTTTTCAACTACAGCAATGAGTAAACAGAATGTTATGAAAAGGAATCGTTTTTTGCAAATAATAAGCGATAATAGGCAATTATTTCGAATAGAGGGATCATAAGTGAGCTTATGTCTAGAAAGTGGAAATCAAGTATCTTTAACTATTATTCGATATGGGTAATACACATTTTATATAACAATCTCGATGATATGGCAGAACTGTTTATTACTCCATTCTACTGTACAAGTTGATAATCTAGTTATTTAGTTATTTTATATAGCCCATTCAAATCTGTAGCTTCAATAGGCAAATACTCACCATATTTAGATAAATAACACACTGATTAACGTAATTCTAAAAGCAATGTTCTTTTCACAAATTACATGCATTAACAATCATTGGTTTGTGTATTTCAATAGCCAATACGTTCGCAAAATCATTCTATTAATAAGTTATTGATCAATATTGGTGTATTATCTTCTGTGATTGATAAGCAGTTTAAAGAATTGTTATGAGTACTATTGATTGACAAGTACTAATCATACGGTTGTTAGTGTAAATACTGTTTTATCGATGATGATTAAAGTCTATCAGCAACAATATAACTTTTCGACAATGAACATGGTTTACCACTCAGTATAATTATCGATTCCGACTGTAATGCCATGAGTAGTCAAAAAGAATGGAAATATTAAACTGGCACATATACTTCGATCGTAGATAGTTATGATTGATTCTATTTGCTCGGTCTATTTCCATATGAAACATAAACTGCACAATCTATCCCCACTCATTTTTTATTACTATTCTACAAAAAAGAAATGATAAGAATTGAACTCATATATGTTTACTGAGCAGTTGTAGTATACATTCCTAGCTATATTTTCATAGTATGATTCTTCGACCATACTTGTTAATCAGCAATACCTACAGTGTTATAATCCATGACATTACTGAAAGATCAATATTTTAGTGTTCTCAAAATGTTTCTTCTTCTTTTCCTTATATTAATCATCAATTACTGTAACAAAAAGAATAATAAAATCACTCATAAATGCTACTAAATCATCTTTACGCAATGAATGTACCATAGTATAAAACTACAATCGCTTTTCGATACCGAGGCAATTAATCCATTTTCATAAGAGTTTGCAAATAGAAATACTGTTTATCAAAATTGATTTTTGAATACGGAATAACCATCAATACGATTGTCAAATTGTGTTTCAAAAAACAAATGACTGAACAATTTTCACAATTCTAGACTAGTATCTTGTTTAAACCATTCGCCAAACAGCTGGTCTGTTGAGTCATTATAATACACATGCTCTTCTGTGAATGGATATTCAACAGAATCACAGAACAAAATAGAATCAGTAGAAAAGAAATCACTGTACTCCTCTCGATCATTCCAATTAATGTTGATATCATGATTAAGATTATCAATCAGATGATAATCGGTATCATATATTGCTCTTCAATTCATTATTAATATCATAGCATACTCATCGATTAATAAAGGACAAGTAGGCAATGGAATAGCAGAGACCACTTTATTCCTTTCCTGAGATTTGCTGGGTCCTTTTTTTCTATGAGAATGTGAGTTGTGTTTACCTGCTTCATACTCTATATTCAGAAGTTATAGCAAAACCTACTCTTGTAATATTGACTTCTTCTTGATCGACATATTTTACACGTCTTTGGAGCTACTTCTCTCCCATTACACTTAATGGGGAGGAAATAGGTTGCACTGCGATAACACTTGCAGCAACTGCACCTCCGCCTTTCTCTATAGTTGTTCATTCAAATTAATTAAGTTCCAAAGAAGTACAAAACCCAAATATTCGTGCGCACGAGTTCGTACGGAAGCACAACATCGTCGATTTCAAACAAACAGTAATAAAACCACCTTTCAACGAGCAATGACACATCTTACTTCTTGGTAGAGACACCCACAGACTTGCCGAAGCGGCCAGTGGTCTTGGTGTGCTGTCCACGCACCTTCAGGTTCCAGTAGTGGCGCAGACCACGGTTGGCTCTATGCATCACCATCCCCAATCGCTTTTCTACCTCATCTTCTTCAGACGGTTCAGATCCTCACGGAGATTGGCCTGGAGGTTGTTGGAGACCACCTGACGGTACTTTCCGGTCTCAACGTCCTTCTGTCTGTTCAGGAACCACTCGGGGATATCGAACTGGAGAGGAGTGCTGATCACAGCAATGAGCTTCTCAATCTCATCGTTCGACAGCTCACCAGCGCTAAAAATAAAAACCAATTGAATGAAATAAATACCGTCTCGAGATATCGATCTCGGCCTTCTTGCACACAGCCATGGCGAAACGACGACCAATACCCTTAATAGAGGTCAAGGCATACACAATCTTTTGCTTTCCATCAATGTTGGTGTTGAGCACACGGAGAATGTGCTGGAACTCTCCCTGATTCACAAGAGACTAGAAATTGGGTGAGAATGCGAACATATAGCAAAGTAACACTTCCTACCATCTTGAAAGGTGCTTTCCAAATAATCTGAACCATCCATCCAAACGAGGCGGTCCCCGCGGGAATAAAGTACTTTTACGAGTCCATGATGGACTATTCAAATACATAGATTATCTCAACAAGAATATATTTTATATATATATATATGTATGTATGTAAGTAATATGTGGAATAGGGTTGTATAATTCAATAGTTCAATATTGGTTTCTATTGCTCTTTCACTTTGAGTTTTGAAACGACATCTCTTCACCACAGTCTTTTGCGCAATGTTCGCTTTACTGGTTTCTATTTATTGCATGGATGCAATCGAATACGATTAAGACAATTATATATATATAAGAATAATAATATAAAAATAATAGGAGATATCATGTGTAATAGATGTAACAAGTTTATTTCACTCGCCACACAACCATTATTATAAATAGTTACTCTATTTCCCACACTGTACCCTATTTGTACTCGATAACCTACAAAATACGATCATTATCAAAATAAAATCCGTGCCATCTCTGCATTTTTATTAATAGACTCGAATCGCTGAGTTTACTGTAGTGATGAAGCACTTTTCCTTTCTGCTTGAAGTATCGCTTGTTGTGCTCTTCAGCAAATTATTGCTGGTATTCATTGTAGTTTTATATTCTAGTTGTAGTGTTGTTGTGATTATTCCTTTCTACGCAAACTGTCGGTAGGATTGCGTGTTTTGTATTAGTTTTAGAGTGGAGCTCCCGGATATGTAGCACTCTGTTGATTTCTGTAATAACGATAGAAAACTGTGTACATGGTCCCTTTAAGGAACCATCATACGGAAAGTACTCCTTTTATAATAGCAACAGAGCCCTTGGTACTCTCTGCTAATAAAACCGGGATAGAGGAGAATGCCACTCCCAGCCCCACAAGTCCCAAAGTAGGCCGTTTGACGGAGATCCACAATGTCATAACACCCAAGAGATCGTGGAATAAGCCAACGCATTCGCTTTCCAAGCCGAAGGTTCCTGAAAAACCTGTTCCTCTGACGCCGCGCTCTTCATTCTTTTCGACCCCATCGATTCCAAAGATAACAGTCTCTCCGACTGAATTCTTTCCTGACATTCTTTCGTTAATGCAGTCATACAATGTCTCCTTCCTTTTCTTCTATTATCTTGTAGTTTCCCTTCACTTCGTACCTCTCTTCTTCTCCTCTTTCTCTCTAGTCCTCTCCTGACCCTCGCCACCACCATCATCAAAACCAATGTTCGTTCCCCGTTTCTCCTTTGTCTCCATAGGACCCCAACAAAATCCTCATCCAAACCAACTGTCTCAAAGTCCTCAACTCGTTCCACCCCTTCATCCGCACCATCGTCTTCTCCAAAGACGCCGAAATCCCCTACATTCGAAACTCCCACCTCGCAATCGTCCACGACGTTTCGTACCGATCCCCGCGGTTTTCTCACCCATTCAGCACCAATCCGTACGGGACGCCCTTCTTCAAAGCGATGATGCAGCACCTGGAGGCGCACGCGAGCACGCCATTGATCGGGTTTTGCAACGGCGATCTTTTGTTTTCGTCTTCGTTCGTGCGCGCGTTGGCGTTTCTGCTGGACCAAATGCACCGCCAGGAGCTTCTCTCCAAAGTACTTCTCTTCCTTTCTCGCTGATTCATCGATTCTCATCGTGGGGCGGCGTGTCAACGTGAATTTCAAGGCCGGTCTGGAGCTGCCCGCGGCGCTGTCGAAGCAGGACGAGTTCATAGCGACGCTGGCGCGGTCAGGGTCGCTTTTCCAGACGGACGCGGAGGATTTCTTTATCTTCACAAAGGGAACGTTCGACTGGAAGGAGATCGTGAACGTGGTGATCGGCAGGCCCGGCTACGACAACTACCTCGTGAACTACGCGTACTACCGCCGTCGCTGGATCTCGCTGGTGGACGTGACGAACGCGGGTGGCTTCTGAGGAGGAGAGAGTGACGGCGTAGTGCTGGTCGTGCATCAGACCGATCGATTCGGAACCAAGGCGGGGTTCCGCGCGAATCCGGACCGGAATTGGAACCTGGATTTGATCGGAGAGAACTGGTACATGGGGCGCACGGAGTTCTCCACGTGGCGATTGGGTTCGAAGGAATTTATATTGGCATAACAAGCAGAGCGAACGGAATCCGACTCGCTGCATTTGATTCTGCGCGAAATGGACTCGGTGATCTGCGAGGACGCCTTCTTGTCCACGCAGCTCTCCGTGTTCCGTCGGTTCATTCGCCCCACCGACGTGTGTCTGCAGTTCGGACGCGAGGCCACGCTGGGCTCGCTGCTGCAGTTCTGCCGCGAGCTGGTGGTGGTGGTGTGGAAGGGAACGCACGTGCAGTGAGGAAGGGAGGAGAGAATGAGGCGTAGGAAGCTGCGACGCCATTTTGAGGGGAATCCGCGCGTGCGGATTGTGTATAGTCCGGGGTTTGAGTGGGTTTTGGGGGAAAAATGGGAGGTAGAAACCCGAAGCCGATTCATTCGTCGATGTTTTATCGACGGTATATTGATTCGGTGAAGACGAATGGATTGAAGTATGATGTGGTGATCATCACGAGCGTGGTGAAGCCGCAGATCGCCTATGCCATATCCGAAAAGCGTCAAATGAATTTATTCATTCATTCATTCATTCATTCATTCATTCATTCATTCATTCATTCATTCATTCATTCATTCATTCATTCATTCATCAATTCATCAATGAATCACTTTGTGTATTTATTGATCATTTCGTTATTCATTCAACCATATAATGATCACTTTTTGAATCATTTAAACATTTTAAAAATGAATCAATTGACCCTTCATTATTTCATTCACTCACTTCATTCTATTGATTCTCAATCCATGAATCATCTTCCAAACCCCTTCTATGAATGAATGAATGATTGAATGATTGCATGGATGGATGGATCGAATTCAATCGATTGTTTTCTTAACTGCAGGTTCGTGAGAACCTTCCTCTAGGCGGCTACGTGATCGTTCTGGACACAGCAAAGCCCGAAAAGCACTACTACAGCGAGATCTCCAAGTTCTACACTCTGGTCGAAGAGTACTCTTCTTCCTCCTCTCTCTCTCATTCCATCTAGCGTCCCCACTTCCCCCATCGTCGGCCAGGAATTTTCCGGGATGCAAGTCTTCCAAAAGCAGAGCGAGACCTGCAACTACGCTTCCTTTCCGCCCTGGTGGTTCTCTGTTTGTTCACAAACACTCCATAAAAATAAAGGCTTCACGCCAACCGCCTGGCCCTCCACGGAGAGCTGCCCGCGCATGCGAATCACTTGCAAAATCGTGGATCGTTCCACGAACTGAACGCGAAAACTCGGCAATGCCTCCTCCCCCAATTCCTGCTCGTGCGCCGCCATCGGCAGCGGGATCACGCGCTCCACCCTCCCGAACGTCTTCGCGAACGAGTACGCCTCGTTCACGTCGTAGAACAGCGGGAAGTTGAACAGACACACCGCCACGGGGAACACGCTCATCTGGTGCAGCTGGAACGGCCGCAGCACGCTCGGATCCTGCGCCGCCACCAGCAAACTCGGACTACGCCATGACCTCGCCGCGCCTCGCCTACTGCACATAATCGCGGATGTTCAGCAGCGTGGAAGCGGAGAACGATCCCACCACCGTCACCAGATTGCTCCCGTTCCCCAGCTTCTCGCACACGCTGTTCATCAGCTCGCCCTCGCTGCGCGTCGTCCAGTACGCCACGATCATCAGGTTCTTCCGCGCGCTCACCAGCGAGTCGTACAGCGTCGCCAGCTCGCCCAACGCGCGCAGGAACGCTGCATGCTGCACCGACGCCCCCAGCGCGAAAAACGTCACCAGGATCCCCGCGTCCTCGCTCCCTCGGCTCCCACTGAGCCCGCTGAGCCCGCTGAGTCCATTGAGTCCGCTGAGTCCGCTGGGTTTGGGGGCCGGCGAGAGCGACTGCCGGTCCTGCGGGTGCGGACTGCTGCGGAACGGACTGCGACGCGACACGCTCGGGACAGTCGGGACAGGAGACACATTCGGGACAGGAGACATAGTAGGGACATTCGGGACATTCGGGACATTCGGGACAGGAGAGACCCCATTTACGCCCGCCACGCTGGGCATTGCCGAGTAGGACCCGGCTTTGCCCAGCGCGCCGTCCGAGCCCAGATACCCGAACGAGCCCGGCGCGTCCACGCCCCGATCCAGTGCGAATCCCCGCGGGAATCGGTCGCTGAGCCGGCCATTGAAGGAAAACGGACGCAGCGGCTCCGCGATCGTTTCGCCAAACACGCCGAAACGCTCCGAGTACGACGTGAACCGCGGATATCCCGCTCCCAACGGCTCGCTTCCGTGCCGGTCCCGGTCCGACCCGATCGTGGAAACTGGAGAAACCGTGGAAACCGGCGGGAGCGCGGAGGAGGAGGAGGCGAACTGGGCGGAGCTGCGGTGCGACGCCCAGGCGGGCGCGTAGACCTCGCTGGAGAAGCCTGGATGGAAAGGTAGAAACGTGGAAACGGGTTCGGTCGCGCGTGAAGTCGGCGGAGCGGTGGGCGTCGGCGCGAGAGGGCACGTAGAAGGAGGCGGGGAGGTGCTTGGGCGTGAGGAAGGCGAAGTCGGAGTCGGCGGAGCGGTCGGCGTCGTCGAGGCGATCGCATTCCGGAGAGAAGGACGGCGGCGATTGGACCGTCTGGGAGGCCTGAGAGGAGGCCTGAGAGGAGGCCTGGGAGGCCTGGGAGGCCTGGGAAGGCTGAGAGGCCTGCGGAGGCTGAGAAGGCTGAGAGGAGGGTTGAGAGGAGGGCTGGGAAGAAGGGGAGGGGGAGGGAGTGTGGGTGAAATCCCAGGAGAACTTGGAGTTCTGGCTGACGTGGAGGTCGGGCAGCTTGGAAAACTGGACTTCGAAGGTGAGGGAGTCGCCGTGCACCGGGAAGGCTTGCGATTGGATCACTTGCTTGACCTCATCGGCTTCTTCGGGGGAGCTAAATTGAATGAGGGCTTGCGGACCCGCGTGGTGCTGGAAAAGGAGGATTTTTAAAACGGGGTGGACTTTGTTGCAGATCTGCAGTGTGAGAAGAGGAAAAGAAAAGGAAAATACATCGGCCATTTCAAAGATTGTGAATGGTGATTTCGAACATCCGCACATAGTCACTAAAAGAATATGAGAAGGAGTGTAGTCAAGAGGGTTGCGTTGGAGATGCTGATGTACAGAATAGTTGATCTCAACTGAATGATTGCGAATGATACAAGGTTCTGTTAAATAATGATTATATAAAGAAACGGCATCTTCGAGCCGATCCATCTCCACAAGAGCCTTGGAAAATAACTACACACTTCACAAAACTTACTTGTTCTTTAGGACGCAAAATAACACATATTTTGACAGACCCAAAACTATCAACAAACTTTAAAAATTCTTGCTGAATTGTTAATCACCTCCACAAACCCAATTCCTACCTTTGACACTACTTTTGGTACATTCTTAAAGTGTAGTACTGCAGAGGGAGCAATTTCCTCGTTCGATCCCTTTTCTGGTTCCTTAGTGGTATCTGAAAAGTCAGGTTAGGCCAAACAATAGAACCTGGAGTATCCATGGACTACAAAAAAAGAATCAAACAGCAAATCTTTTATAGCTATGCGATAAATGGAAATGTTGAACATTTGCATAACCGCGGTAATGAAAGCAAATGGGAATGAACAAGCACAGGTTACTAAGTTAGTGAATAAAACAAACAAAACTTGGAAAAATAAACGACAGGTTACAACTATAATGTGTGAGATACGGAGGCATTATAAAGGTGAGGCACTGATGTAACAAAAGTGCATTTTATAATGTACTATACACTCTACAGTCTAGCATCCAAGCATGTACACATTTGAAGCAAGAAAACCTCACCTCAAATGTAGAGTTTCCACCTTTCTAAAAACATCTCCATGCTAAAGAATGCCGGTCACAATAATCACCGCAAAATACTTACCTCTGCTTCACCACGAATCTGAAAGAAATAATAATGAAGAGAGTGGAAATCAAAAAGTGGCCATTATTTGGAATTGCAAAAGGGGTCAAGAAATTGGGAAGAGATCCTATAGATTGAATGGGAAGAGTCGAACTATGCGTAGGAAAAAATATTATGGAGGGGTGAAGTATGATAATTATAGTGTAAATATGTTAATACAGGAAGGCGCATATCTGTGAAGAAGTAGTACTAGTACTAGTAGTAGTAGTAGACTACGACTACTATTTGCAATATCATGGAATCGGTGAAGAGGAAGTAACAATTGGAATAGTAGAGAAATAGGAATCAGAGTTTATGCGTTCCATATTATACTAGATTACACCATAAGAAGAAGTGAGAAAACGCGTTTTCACCGATTCTCTTGACCCAATCTCCCAAACCCAACCACTGCATGATTCCACAAACAAACAAACAAACAAACAGCTCTCTCGACACTTTCCATACTTAACAACCCAAAATTCTTTTCTCTCCCTTATACAATAAACTCGATCTCCTTATAGTTCAATCTCTCCAAAAACTCGTCCAATTCATCACACGAACTATGCTCACTACATTCAACCCCTCCCCTCTCCCAATCCCCACCTGTACGGCAATCCAATCGTAATCCGATTCCCCTTCCTCCGAAACGAATACGCGCAAAGCTCCGGATCGTCCGGCTTCTTCTTCTTGGACACCTCCTCCCACGTCCACCCTGTGGGACTCAACACGACGACCCTCTGAAACTGCGCCGTCTATACTCCCAAAAAAGCCCCGATTTTTACCTCCGCCGGATCTCGGAAGAGCTTGCCCCTCGCCATCCCCACCCACAATCTACCCATCAGTCCTCCGCCGCTGCGCTCACGGCGTGTCCGTCTTCTCTGTGGTGATATGCTGCTTATAAACGCTCTCAAACTCCTCGTAGCACGCGATCCGCGCCTTCCGCTCCCTTTTTCTCACGCTCTCCCGCGGTTCCTACGCGTCCACAAACACGGGGAGGTCGAACGTCTTCGCCAGATGCAGCCACAAGTTCTCCTTCCCCACGGAATACGACTCGATCAGCACCACCAAATCCGATCCGCGGTGCAATCCATCCCGCCAAAATCGGTCCAAAACCCACGCTGCCGTGTTCACCACGCACTGTTGCCGCGGGAAATTGTACGCCTCGTTGTTGTACGTGTTGTCCACCATCAGGAGATCGAGGCTCTCCCCGCGGTTATCGCTGAATCGACGCAAAATCCCGTCGTCCAGCATTCGCGACTCGAATCGGAAGTCGCCAGTGTAGAGAACGCGGTAGAATAAATGGAAGGATGGTTTGTGGGGGTCGGTTGTTTCGTTCCAATCAAACAGAGAAAACAAAAACATGCAGGAGCCGGGACAATGATTCGCATCAATGACATCGACTCGAACAAGTCGCGTTTGGAGGGCGGAGTCGCTTACGTTTTCGTTGAGGATAAGGCTGGTCGAATTGAGAGGGTAGGAAGGGTCCTCGCGATGGATCCATTCCATCACGGCTGGAATGTGCTGCGTCTTGCAGTTTGTAAGGTAGTAATGTTCTCCGATGCGGAGAGGATGTAAATGGTGTCTATCGATTTGAAATTTGTTGGCTACTAGATTGCATGTTGTGGGGGTGGCTTGATTATAACAATAATCATCGCAAAACATACCGAATATATCGCCAATAAACTTCTTGGTAAGTCCTTGCATGTGGTCCGTGTGAAAATGAGAGAAAAACACCGAGCAACCAGACCTAAAAAAATCACGAAGGAAAAGCGTGTGCGGGATTCGCGCACTCGGATTCTGTCGCTGAGGAACCGATTGCCATTTCTTAGTCTTTATCTTTTTCACGGAACTGGACGACAGTGGAGATAAGCTCATTTGAGAATCCGATTCTGTGGCATCCGACGAGCTCACAGACTTTGTGAAATACTGACTAACGAGGTTTCGTTTCGTTTTTTTCGATTCGGAATCTACAAGACACTGGTTTACGTGGACCATTCGAAAGCTTTCCGTGAGAGAGGTAATGTACTCGTAAAGGCGAAAATAACCATTGCAAAACATTCGGATATGTCTTTTCCACACACAGGGCAGTTGATAAGATCCTTCTTAGTTTTGGAGGGATTATCGCCGGGCTTCGTTCCACTACATTCTAAATTAAATGCCACTTCCAAAACGATTTGAGTGTCAACATGGTTCAGTGCCCTTCAATAGGTTGAACAAAAACAAATGCGGAAAAATCAATGGGAATTTTGCAATTCCAAGAATCAACCCATTTCTATTCGCACCCCGTTGTATAGTAATACTATTGATTTGTATAAGAAATGATTCAACTCAAGTTTTTTTGCTCAGGAATCGGAAGGACTTGAAACCATGAAGGAAGTATCAATGATTATTAACGCTGGATGGGTTGTTCCAGTCATCCCAGAGAACACTGTGTATGAGAAGTACTCCGTCATCGTGGACGGAAAAACGATTTTGGATTGCCTCCCGACATCGGTACCCATTCAACTTTGTCATTATTGTTATAGGAGGTTGCTTCCAAGTACACTTCTGCCAATGTTGTAGAACGCCCGAATCATGTGGTAATGCCTGGTTTGATTAACATGCACACGCATGCTGCCATGAGTCTCTTCAAGGGTTTCAGTGATGATAAGTCTTTGATGGATTGGCTTCGTATTTTGCTTATTATTTTGAAAGTATAACTCGCAGAGAAGGACATTTGGCCCGCAGAAGGCAAGTTTGTGGGACCCGAGTTTGTCATTGACGTATTTTCTGAACCAATATCATTTATATTTTTAGGGAACCAAACTCGCCTGCGCCGAAATGATCCGCAGCGGAACCACTTGCTACAACGACATGTACTTCGCGGTCGACGAAGCTGTGGAAACCACCACCAGCATCGGCATTCGCGCCACGCACGGCCCCGGCGTCTTCGGTTTCCCCACCAGCTGGGCGCCGGGTCCTGCGGAGTGTCTCGAGAAAAACCGCCGATTTTTGGAAAAACACACGAAGCTGGATAACGACTTGGCTCGCTACTCCGTCTGCCCGCACGCGCCCTACACAGTGCCGGAGGCCTATTTAATCGAGACGAAGGCGCTGTGCCGCGAGTTCCATGTCCCGATGCACATCCACGTGCAGGAGACCAAAGCGGAGCTGGAAGATTCGATCAACGGCACGCCCAGTTCCAGCAGACACCTCAGCGAGGCTCGCTGCAGTCCGATCGAAGTACTGTTTTTCTCTGTCTGGTTCCTTGCAGAATCTGGCAGCGCACGATCTGCTGGATCACACGATCTGCGCGCACTGCGTGCACGTCACCGACCACGACATCGAATTGTTGGGATCCCACCACGCTTCTGTGGTGCACAACCCCACCTCCAATCTCAAGCTCGCCTCCGGCGTCTGTCCGGTGCAGCGCATGCTCGACCACGGCGTGAACGTCTGTCTGGGCACGGATTCGGCGTGCTCCAACAACAACCTCGACATGTTCAGCGAGATGCGCAATGCCGCGCTGGTGGGGAAGGTCGCGGCTATGGACCCGCGAGCGTGCTCCGCGCCGACGGTGCTGCGCATGGCGACGGCGAACGCGGCGAAAGCGCTGGGATTGGAGGGGAAACTGGGCGTGGTCGCCGAGGGCGCGCTGGCGGATCTGATCGCGGTGGATCTGCAGCGCGTGGAGACGTGGCCGCTGGCGAACGTGATTAGCCACTTGGTGTACGCGTGCGGACGCGATCAGTAGAGATGATGATGATGATGCGAGGCGTGTAGAGTGACGGATGTGTGGGTCAACGGGAAGCAGCTGATGAAGGAGAGAGAGTTGCTGACGCTGGATATGACGGAGCTGAAGCGGATTGCGGAGAAATGGGATCGGATTTTGAAGGAGTTCAGAGCCAATCAGCAGTCTTTTGTTTGTTGAACACGCAGTTTTCTTGTAATTGGTGTGCACTGGGTGCGTGCTGTAGATGGGATGGCGCAGTTTCTAGACAATTTTCCCATTATTAACGTGGTCAACGTCAATGTTCTCGATAATCCCTCGTCAATTACAAATCCATTCCAATTTGAAATTATATTCGAGGCACGATGCGATCTGGAGGACGGTGGGGCGCTTTCCAGCTTTTCTATCATCATTAGACCTCGAGTGGAAAATGACGTATGTCGGAGACTACCGCTCGACAGAGGGAGATCAGGTGCTGGACGATGTGCTCGTGGGTCCGATAACCCAAGGAACGCACAAGTTCTGCTTTCAAGTCCGAAGTTTCCGCTAGCCTTTCATTCGTAGGCGAATGCTCCCAATCTAGAGATTATTCCGGATGATTGTCTAATAGGAGTGACGGTAATTCTCATCACCTGTTGCTACCACAACCACGAATTCATCCGCATCGGATACTACATTTCGAATACGTGCGATAGCAACTGGAAGGACTTCTCTCAAATCCAACGCGAGATTCATGCCGACAAGCCCCGAGTCACTCACACGCCCATTTGCTGGGAATAGTTTTGTACTATACAATCGTTCGTTTACTTGTTGTTTCTTTTAAAGTATACCTAGTATGAATATAATGAATATAAATATGAATGTTATTATTAATCATCCTTTATTTGTATCATCAAACAAACAACGCAAAAAGACATTTGCTGAATTGCCGCGCGATTGGCTTTGATGTCCACTCGATCCGTCGCAGCGATCCCGTTCGTCTGCAGAAGCTCCACGCACTCATCGTTTGAAATCCGCAACAAATACTACAAGTCACATCAATTGAAACCATAAAATGATTACAGCCAGCTGTGCTACTTCGATACTCGGAAAGAGCGAGGAAAGGAAAATCTTGAGTGCGTGACGACGAATCGTAGGTAAATAGAGCTGCATCAACACACGACCATACTTGGGTGCAGTTTCCATCAACTTCAAGTAGTACAAATAATCTACAGACCGAACTGCCTCGACCACAAGCAGCGCATGTTGGATACAACGTTCGGTAATGTGATGTTGTGCAACCACAAGATGATGGTGAATATCGAGTGTATTGTTCATGATAACGTCATAAAGAATGTTATAAGATAGAAAACGAAGGCTTTTGGGGCTTGGAATGGTTTTGTACAATTTTGAAAGCATTGACTGGCACTAATTCATTACGTAATAAAAATTAGAGTAAAAACTTGGTTCAATTCATTCAGATCATTACACACAATGGCGCATTTCACGTTGAATTCGTAGACTTGGACTGTGAATTCGTTGTTGATGTCTTGCACCACAAGATCTTGACGAATGGCTTTCAGTTGGTCCATTACGTACGTTTTTCGGTCTTCCTTCTTCCAGATCTTCTTTAATCGATGCAATGCTTCCTTTAGAACGGGTTCCGGACGGATTTTGGACGGATCGACTTCTGAGGTGAGTCGAAAATAGGATTTTTCGAGTTTACAACACGTTCCCACAATCGGCTGAGAGAGATCACGAGGTGAGACCTGGGTGCTGGTTTCTGCAGAATGGGTAGCAAATCGCTGTCTCCTGCGCTTTATCTCCTCTTCCGTAGGTTTTTCTCCCTCATCTATCTATCTCCTCATCTGGTACACAATTCTCTACAATCGATCCAAACAAAGTCTTTTCCTTCTTCATAAATTGCAAAATCCCAAAAGAAAAAGAAAAACGGAATGGAAAAGCAGAATTGTGTTTACCAGTTTGAGGAATCGGAATGTCATTGTCGTATTCCGTAGATAAGAACGTTTTCAAGTAGGACTGAATGGGAATCGTAAGGGGAAGGTATGTTTCGCACTTTATTCATGGAAGTGCTTCGAACGATGAGAATTTGATGAAGGACGTGAACTCGTTCATAGCAGGCGTGAAATCGTGCGTTTTCTGCTGGTGCTGAATGGTAGTGTGTTGGTATCATCAATCCGCTCACTGAATTGTTCTACCGACTTCAAAGGTCCTCTCACTGAGATTGCGGACTTTTTTGACGATCCCTCGCTTCCTTCTATTTCCTCCCTAGTTTCCGCGTCTTCTCCCCTTTCCTCCTCCTATTCCGATCTCCTCTCCTCCTGCTCTTCCGAGATCCCTCTTTCTCTCCTCTGCGAGGAATTCATCTCTCTGCTCCCCGATCTCTCCTTCTCTCCCGCTCCTCTCCCCGTATTTCCTCTTCTCTTCCTCCTATCGATCCCAGTGCATCACTCCTCTCTCCGCCCTCCTCTCCCTCCACGCCTCCCTCGCCCAGCGCGATTCCGCCCTCCATTCCATTCGAATTCTATTCCAGAATTCCATCGAACCTTCCTTCCACTACGGAATCTCCACGCTCTCCCCCGCGGTTTACTTCATCGACTTCGACGGAACCCTCACTCCCACCGACACTTGCGTTTCCACGTTTCCACGTTTCCACGATTAGGACCTCGGGATCCGCGCAGGAGACCTGTTTTCCCGCGATTCCATCGACCGGCAGGCGCTTTACCGCGATTTATTCGTCGATTTCTCGCGGGAATACGATTCCAAATTCCCCGCGATTCTGGATTCGCCGGATTTGGAGGCTTTTTTCCGCGGGTACAACGCGTTGGACCGGGATTCGCTGATCCCCGTGGTGAAAAGCGGGCTTTTCCGCGGGTTGCGGCGCGATTTGGTGCGTCTCACGGGGCGGCTGGTGGATTTCCGCGGGGGAGCGCTGGAGTTCGTGCGCACGAAAAGCGTGGAAACGTGGATCGTGTCGCAGTCGTGGTACGGAGAGATGGTGAGCGAGGCGCTGCGCCCCGCGGGAGTGTCTCCGGAGCACGTGGTGACCTCGCGGCTGGTGTACGGAGCGGACGGAACCGCGGGGGGCGCGCTGGATCCGCTGTGCGGAGGATGCCTCGCTAAAAGAGAACGACTGCGCGAGATTCTACGCGGAGAAACGCCAGGACGAAACGCTCGCGAAGAGGACATCATTGCCTATGAGGATCGTGGAAACGTGGAAACTGGGGAAACTGGGGAAGGAAAGAGCGTAAGTCAGTGGAGGGTCGGTCTATTGGTCAGGCAGAGCCCGCCCAAAGCATTGACCAGTCTGCTGCTCACCAGTCCGCTTCTACCCAGTCCGCTGACCAGACCAATGCTCAGTCCAATGACCAGACTAATGACCAGACTAATGACCAGACCAATGTTCAGTCTTCCTGGTACGCTTCTGCTCTCTCTCTGCTCTCTCTCAGCTCTCCCGTGTTCTCGGTGGGCATCGGCGACGGCCTGGGCGACCTGGCCATGCTTCTCAGCACGGACCTCCCCATCGTCCTCTCCCCCGGCTCTTCCTTCCGCCGCGTCTGCGCGCGCTTCGGCCTCGCGCTGCGTCCGCTCCTCCTCCTCGACTGCCCTCCCTCCCCTCGCACGCTCTACGTCGCCGACGACTGGGCCCAGATCCTCGCCGTTCTCTGCTTCGCCCACATCGACGCCGCCCTCCAGCCCCTCCCCGCGGAACCGCGGCGCCGCTGCACGCCCGCGGAATGCCGCCTCATGGCGCTGACCAGCGACGCGCTGAACGCCGAGGGCGGCGAGGCCATGGAGCGCGCGATCTTGGAGAGCGTGGAGGGCGGCGCGACGATGATCCAGATCCGCGACAAGACGGAGGATTTCGGTGGGATTTGAGGGAGCTCTGCAAGCAAAGACCGCATGATTTCGCACGCCAACCAGCTCAAAGAAATGCTGCGACGGCGAAACGTCCCGCTCATCATCAACGACCGCGTCGACGTCGCCATTCTGGTTTCCACGTTTCTCCTTTTCGAGGTAGTCGGACGCGGACGGCGTGCACATCGGCCAGTCGGACATGGACGCGGCGTTATGTCGCCGGCTGCTCGGCCCGTCCAAGATTCTCGGTGTCTCGGCGCAGACGCCCTCGCAGGCGGTGAAGGCGCAGCGCGACGGCGCGGATTATTTGGGCTGCGGCGCCGTGTTCCCTACGCAGTCGGTTCGGAGCGGACGGTTGAGCGTAGGTCGAAGGACGACGCGGACGCGGTGGGATTGGAGGGGCTGCGACGCGTGTGCGAGGCGGTGAGCATCCCCGTGGTGTCGATCGGCGGGGTCACCGCGGGGAATGCGGGAGCGACGATGAAGGAAGGAGCGGTGGGCGTGGCGGTGATCAGCGCGATTTTCGGAAGAAGCGACGTGAAGGAGGCGGCGAAGGAGCTGCGCGACGCGGTGGAAAAGGCGCTGTGAAGAGGCGGAATGGGCGGAGGACCCATTGTGCGGAGGTCTGTGCGTGCGCAGATCGGATATTTTGGAAGGAAATGGGGTGTTTGTTGGAAACGGAAAGAAGGAAGGGTGGAGGAAGGAGATGATTTAGGGATTTACCGAGGTATTGAATCCTTGAATGGAAGATCTATTGAAAAAAGAACAGTGAACATTGAACACATTCAAGTTACAAGTAGTGTCAACAACAATACCACAGTTAATAGTGGCGAAACAATTGGTAACTACGTAAATAATATCGATTGGAGTATGCAAAAAACAACTTCACAAAAAATCACACACACAATGAATTATGATAAGGCGAAATACTGATATCACAATGATACATATATTAATTATTGGCTTTCCGTTCCCAGCGTTCTTTACGAGCAAATCTTACAGTTAACATCACAAAAACATCAAAATACTTCCAGGACAATACTGGCTTCTGATCTTGCCGTTGAACCTACGCTTATCACTTGACAAAATACAACTCACTTCAAGTTCATGCTCATAAGTGGACTTTTGCATTGCTTCACGAAGAGTTTGGTCAATATGTAATTGAGATATTTCGCTACTTAACGATTGAGCTCGATCAAAATCTCCTTCAGTTAGCGCTTTTTGAATATCCCTCTCTAAAGCAACCTAAAATGAAAAAAACTGAAGAGTATAACTTCCTTGGCAGTTAATGGTTGCTCCTTGGTAAAATCAAGATACTTAATAAATAGCTTCTGTTCGGGGGTGATCTAGAGAGAAATCACAAATGTGATGCGGATTACTGTTTCTTTGGTGTTTTTGTGTTTATGCTTGAGCGATAAACTTTGATCACTAGGTTTTAATCCTAAAAATCAAAGAAATGCGAAAGGAGGTACCTTTTAAATCTTTATCACTACTATTACCTTTTAATTCCTTCCTACTCTTCATTCTATCAGTTTTAGTTTTGGATGATTGCATGTTGGCAGCATGTTTCAGTTTCAAAGCTTTGATCCTCTCACTCACATCGTCATGCTTCTTTTCTATACTTTCTTCCATTATTACTTGATAATCGATCCAACAAACAAAAACATTTATCTTACAAAGTATTCAATTCATATTCTTCTATTTCTTTTCTTTCTTTTTCTTTTTTCTCTCTCCTCCTTCCAACTATTTATCTATCTCTATTTCATCCTATTGTGTATTCTCTACATTCCACCAATTCCCCATTCATCCATCAGTCCTTTTCGACACTTCCATTTGTACCATTTTCCCACGTTCCATCCAGCCTTTCTTTCCACATATCAATTCCGTCTACGCCGTAGCTCACAACTAGCACACATCCATTCACACTCCAGTTTACTCTCCATACTGCTTCCGAATAGCTTTTATTCAGACTTTGTTTCCACGTTTTACCACATTTCCGCGTCCAAACCAGTACTTGTTTGCTCTATTCCTTATTCCACTCCATTGCTCTTCACTCTTCCACACGATGCGATTACATCCGTCGAATCACCGATCTGCGGGCTCCACGCCACATCTCGTACTCGATCTTTATGTCCTCTCAGTTTCGACTCGAATTCCCACCCGTTTTCGACCGATTGTCCACATCTATTCCTCGCTCCACACCAATTCTCTCACTCCATTATGTGCACATACCCATCGCCGCCTCCGATCGCTACGCGCAGAATATTCGCGTTTTCCGACGTGCCCGGACGGAATGGAGCCCAGCTGATGCAGTTGCAGCCCAGTTGACAAATCATCGTTTGGGTTGTTCCCCATTCCCATTCATCTCCATAACACACACTCAACACTTCCATACTCTTCTGATATATACACGACATAGAACCATCGCTCGATACCGCTGCGAGACAAGCACCATATTCATAAGGCGACCAACACACAGAGTTCACTAAACAGATATCACCAAAGTCCACACAACTCACTTACCAGATGCTTTATGTCCTTCATATGTGTAAACGACCGAATAGGAAGTGTCTTCAAATTTGAAAATCTTCACACTTCCATCATAACTACAAGAAGCCAAAAGAGATCCATAACGCGGATGAGACCATGCGATTTTCCATACAGGTCCGGAGTGTCTTCATTTTAATAGCAAACACGACACAAACTCCTTCAAAGTAAAGAGGAGTTCAGGAACATCCTGATTCATTGAATAAATACGAATTGTACAGTCTGAAGAGCAAGTGGCGAGTAATTTGGAATAATAGTCTAGCTGGACATCATTCTAGAGTAAATGGAACGAAATAGACGAAACAATCATATCTCCATTTTGTATATCAATAGAGATCGAGGGTGGCGACATTTGTAGAGAAGAGTAAAAGGAATGTGAGGAACAAACAAGAAAGTCATAATGAGAGTGCTGTTTAATGGGATCCAAGAGATTCAATTCTTGCTTGGAGAAGATATACGGTAGTATGTACCTAAAAAGACATAACGACGAGTGAATGCGAGTGTACTTTCTTACATAAATAAGCGCCATAAGTCCGAGTGGGAACAGCACTGCGGTATTAACAGAAGATTTGAGAAAGAATAAAACGACGAGGAGCAGGACTTGGACGATGGTATAGAGGTTAATTCTTCGCAGAGGCAGCTAGAATAAACTCGAATGCAGCAACTGCAACTCTCTTTCTGTAGTCGTCAATGTAGAGATTCCGGTCCATGAAGATGAGTCGGATTCCGGGGAACAATCCATCCGAGATGAAGAGCGACGCTCCCATGTACAGCAAAAGTCCGTAGAAGAGTCTAGTGTGTGAGCCAACGATGGGATCCCACGCCTCCGGGATCACGGACAAGGCTCGATCGAAGAAGAAGACGCAGTAGAAGAGAACGCCCAGCACGATCCCGGGCACCCGCGTCTCGCTGACCTCGATGAATCGTTCGTCGAAGACGCCGTAGGGCTTGTAGACGTCCTCGATCACCGACAGCGCCTGCAGGTGGTAGAACGACCGAATGTACATCGCGCTCACCCACGGCATGCCCAGACACGACATGACGAGCGTGATCACCGCCGTAATCGTAGTGTCCAGATAGTCGTACGGACCCCCTTTCTTCAGATTGTTTTCCGGTTTCTCGATGAGTCCGCTCGTTATGTTGTCCTCCAGATACACCAAGATCGTGTACGGAATCGCGGGAAGGATCGTCGCAAACACGGCCCACCACGGAAACACGCAGTGAGACACTTCGGCCAGCAGATCGGTGGAGTACGGACAGGTCTGGACAGACGCCGTTTCGTTTCTAAAGAATCCAAACAACGCGTGCGAACACATACAACGTCCAGTCGTTGATAGCGAGCGAGGGATGATAATGGAGCGGGTGAATGAACCAGGGACGCTCCTGGTAGGAAGGGACCAGACTCTGCACATTAACGAGTCCAGGCGAAACGACCGATGGAGACGGCAGGGAAATGGGCGTGTAGTGAAGACTGGGAAAGAGCTTGTTCACTAGTAGACCCACGATCACGATCGTGAGAAGTTGGGATCCCAACCGGATAAAAATCCGCATTCCCTGTACGAGAAACGTCCTAGAAATGAAGAGCAGAGCGGAAGAAAACGTGGATTTGATGTCGGAAAGTATTTCCATCGTGAAGAGGGTCAGAAGAATCACGAGAGCCGCGAAAAGGAAATACGTCCAATCATGCGTCGGGTCTTCGTGTCTATTCGCTAAGAGGAAGCCCGATCCAAACGACTGCGCTGCCTCGAAGTCGTGCTGAACATAATGGAAGACTTCCACGATGAACAGCACGCTGGTTAGGGAGGAAAAGATGTGCTTTGTGAACGAGGTGATCGGAGGAAACTAGAGCGGATAAAGAGAAATGGGGAAGAATGCACGATTTCCGCCTTGTTAAACGCGACGAGGAGAAGAAGAAGAAGCGATGTCCAAATCCCCACCCACTCATAAACCACAAAGAATGGAAGAGAGAACCGTCTAGAAGCAAAAGCGAGTCCAAATCGCAAACTACACCGAGAGATCGTACAGAACTCCCACAAAAATAGCGATCGGTCCCGTGAGTCCCATTAAAATCATCGGCTGTCCTCCCAGAAAAGCCCAAATGATGGAGGTAATGCTCTGGCCGAGGAGAGTCTCAACGGTCCCGATGTTGCCATGAGAATATTTGTGAATCAACACAGCAAAGATAAGAGTCGGACCGAGCTGGGAAATGAAGATGAGAAATCTGAACAGCAAATTCGAACGACATGTACGTTTTCAAGATCGTGTTCACTGTGTATCCATCTCCGAAGTCCGACCAATAATAGCGCGATCGGGTTGCAACATCCTTCTTCAGCCCACAAAACAACCCTTTCTTCTTTTCTTTCCCTTTCGGATGCTTCTTCTATTCGTCAGCGTACGAGACTTTCTACACTCACCCTTCTCTGGATCCTCACAGCCATATCAGCCAGAGCGTGGATAACATCTGCTCGCGATTTTGCCAGGAAAAGGTCGGAATAAAGCGACTGATCAGTAACGACCTTTGATAGCAGCGTGAACAGATTATGAGACCATAAACTATGGGATGCATCCGATGAGATTATGAAAACGAATCTAGGAATCGAAGAAATCGTAAATGAAGACTTGAGTTGTTGATAATCCTGCTCTGGAATAACAGATCGCTGTGTAAGTCGCGCAAACAAAACATCGTTAAACACTTGGCTTTCTCGAACACTCTACTAACCAATCGATATCACTTCTATACTTCGATCAATAGAAATCCATTTAGGTAAACAAGACCTTTATCCGAAGCTAAACGACGTGCATCCAAACCAGAATCAACTCCTTTTTGTTTATTATATTTTGTTATGATGCCTTCCAAGATTTGGACAAGCGATTTTCCATTACTTTCTTCTTCTAACAAAATCAATCCTGAGTTCAGCAGATCGCAAATAACATGTAAATCTTCAGCATCTTCAGGGTGAGCCTATGTTCAATCCCATTCGCTTCTAAGTACGCGAGAATACATCTCTTCCTGACTGCTCCAGTTGTTGGGAACCAAATTGAGAGGGTGCGGCTGCTCTTCCACATCCCCTTCCAATACCTCACTTACATAACTATTAGCCGCAATGATTCGATTCAACTCTAGAATCGTACTGAAAACTTGCAAATACCTCCCTGAGAACTTACCGACTTTGTGTAATTGGACGAATGAATACTATCATTATCCTGCTTCGAATTGGGAGTCACTCCTCCATGTGATTTGTAATGGAGGACTATGCTGTTGATTGTCGAACTGTACTGAGAAGAACGTTGGAGGTCAAAGCTCGGAGAACGTGACTCAACCTCGGAAAGATAGCTAGAACCATATCTATCGTCCTCATCATCATCCAGTAAACTATTTTGATCATTGTGAATAAACCCGTGTTCACTCGAAACCGACAAAGGACGAGTTGCACTAAAAGTAACGAGAATATACTACGAAGACATTTGAACATGCTCCAATTCCTCAACGACTGAAGTATCTATGCAATTTTGTTTTCTATTATCTTCTTTCCTTAGTTCTTGTCTTATAGTATCTTCGTCTCTTGATTTCTATTTTATTACAACTGGAAAGAGAGGAAACAGTATCCAATTTTTGTAAGGCGCGTTGTAAACGTATTCTATCTCCTACTGCATAGATTCCTAGTTTATCCATATATTCCTCATTGATATCGGGTAATAACGAAACTGTGATATTGTTTTGCAAGAAAGCTTGGGTATAGCTACATTTCACGTAACCCATCATGATATTACTGTTCTAGTCCGTTCTCAGCAAGCCATGTCTCTAAATCACCTTCCTCACTACTCATACAGCTAATAGATAATCGAAAATAGGAATCAAACAAACAAATCTAGCCAATTCTGCATACATGCAACATTATTCATAGCTCTCGACTTTAGACCTTCACAGCAGTCTTCGTCTTTACCTGAGCTGGCTTCGGAGCCGGAGCCTTCGCAGACTTAGCCGACTTCGGCATCGATTTCTTCGCTCCGCTCTTCTTCTTCTTGCTCAACAACACTATCAGAACAACAATCGCCACGATCACGATGATCACGACAACAACGATCAGTACAATCAACACATAGTTCACAGGAGCTTCCAACACCAGAATGTTGATCGTAGTGGTGATCGTTCCTCCCTCGTTTGTCACAGAAATCGTGTACTTTCGAGAGTCCTGCACCGTGGTCGGCTTGCCAGTGATCGCTCCAGTCGAAGGAACCAGAGTCAGACCCGCAGGCAACGTGGGGAACGAAGTCACAGTCACCTCAACGCCAAGAATCGTAGGAACAACGTTCACTTCCTTGTTCTGAGTGAGTTCCAAAGTGGTAGCACCATAATCAATACCCTGAGGAATGGAAGGATAGCAGGCAGTCACTTCCTCCGCGAACGTTCCATTGTTGCAATAACGGCTTCGAGTTCCCTCATAAAGATTCGGACACTCAGCATAAGCAATATCTCCGTTCATCGCTCCAGCAAAGTCGCCTTCAGGACGACAGTAATCAGTGGAGGCGATCAGTTTGGTGAACAGATAGAAATCAGCAAGCTGGAATCTCTTCGTCTTTCCCCAGTTATCACAATTCATCGAATCGGTGTTGGAACACTCCGTAGCCACCAATCTGTACTTGTTGTACGGATTCACATTGAACATGTTGTAAAGCTTCTGCTCAAAGTACGAAGTGAACATTTGACCAGCCTTCGACTGCAGAATCGTCCAGTTCTCTCCGTCATTCGAACCATACAGAGTCCAACCCGAAGGATGGCGGTTGTTGCAGTCATTTCCAGACACCAGACCGTATCGACCGATCGGTTCACGACGATCATTGCTCCACGACCAGATCAGCTCCACACCCTCGCAGATTCCAGTAGCAGTCAGCATCTTCGTGGCCGAATTGTTATCGAATACCTTGTCCGATCCCTCGACTCCAGTCAAAGCAGGCACCGTCGTACCCGTACCATCCAGCAGCATGTACATGTTGTCCAGAATCAGAATCGCAGATCCATCGAAGCTGTTCGTCTCCTCGTTCGCCTCATAGCGATGCAGCTCGAACGCCAGAATGTTCTCGCCCACCACCAGCCGCTCTCTCTGCACGGCCTCTCCGATCACCAGCAAGAACGGTTCACCGCTCTCGCCCGTAGCCGCAGTATCCTCCTTCACCTCCGTATTCTCGGGGAGATTGTAGCGACGGATCTCCACTCCGTTCAGATACACAACCACTCCGGCCTTCACGTTCACAGCGATGTCCATCGAAGCGAACTCCGTCAGATCCTCGATCTGGAACTTCGTGAAATAGTACTGAGTCACACCGCTGGCCGCAGGGAACTGACCCGGTCGCTGCGTCTCCCAGTTCGAGGGAGCTCCGCTCAGAGTGTTCCAGCCCGCAGGAGCGGCCGTGCCGTCCACCAGGTAGCTCCAGTGAGTCCACTGAGGATACACAGAATACGCAGGATTGAAGTTGTACTCCTTCTCCGTCGCTCCGGCAGCCAGCGACTCCGACAGAAGCGTGCGCCCATCCGCCAGCTTCACCGTCGCCTTGTTGTTGCCCCAACCGCCAGTGCCTTGCTTCTTCAGCACCAGAGCATACGTCGTTGCAGGACGACACATCGGAATCGAGAGCGAACTGTAGTCAGCGAAGTTCGAGCGCTCCTCCAATTCCTCGCCAGTCGCACGATCCTTCAACACGAACGAGCACGTAGAGGCTCCCGTTTCGAACGTCAATTCAATGCTGAAGGATACCATGTCTCCAGCGCACTCCTGAACCGTCAGAGTCACCGTCGCCGTCTTCTCATCGCCCAGAGGATTCAGCGCAGTGATCGTGTACACGGTCGAAGCCTTGATGTCCGTGGGAGTTCCAGTGATCATTCCAGTCGTCGTACTGAACGAAAGTCCAGTCGGAAGCTCAGGAGTGATCGAGAACGTGTTGTAATAGGAAGAAGAGCAAGTCCATCCAGGCACTTCAGCACCCGTATAGGCAGTAATCTCGCTCGGACTGAACGACAGCTCCGGAATCTCCAGCGAAGAATAGTCCTGCAACAACAAATTCCAATCAGCAAGAGCATAGTAGTTATCAGTGTCGTCCACACGAGCCTTCTTCAGAGTCAGTTGGTAGTATGTCCACGCCTTTGTATTCGAAGGCATGTAGAAGCAATACTCCGTAGAACGCGAATCGAAGTACACCTCAGACTCGCTCTTCAGCTCGCTGAAGGTCTGACCATCCATCGATGCCTCAATGCTCCACTCACGAGGATCATAATTATTCGACTGAGAACTCGTTATGAAGCAGTAGTTGTTGAAATATTCGGCTCCATCGTTCGCGAACTGGATCGTGAACTTCTGAGTCGGAGTAGTCGCCTTGTACACATAAGCATAAGTCGAAGGATTCATATCGAACAGCTTACCAACCTCGCTCGAAGTAGTACCAGCCGTCGAATAATCCCAATAGCGAGGATGGATGTGCGAATCCTTCAGCAATCGAAGATGCATATCAAACTCAATCTCGATATCCGCACTTCCCAGAGTCAGCACAGCCACAGCGATCGTGTTGCTTCCAGCATTGATGTGACTGATCGCTCCCGTCACACGTCTCCAATTGTACACCGAGCTTCCTCCAGTCGGAGTCGACTCGGCCGTAAGATCGCCCGCTTCCAGATAAGAACGATAGATCTCCTCTCCGTTCAAGTACGCAAGAACTCCGTTGCGAGCCTTCAGATACAACTCAAATCCTTGAGCTCCCTCCTTCGAAGCCACATTGAACGTCGCACGGAACAGCTTCACCTTCTGCGCAGTCGTAGGACGCGAAGAAGCATCCAGAGTCGTCCAGGCAGAATCCGAGAAACCACTCGTGTACCAGTTCGAAGGAACCGTTCCATCAGCAAGATACTTGAACGAACCAGCCGAAGCAGGAAGCAGAGGAAGATCAATCGGCAACACAAACGAATCCTCACCTTCAATTGTCAGACGAGTCTTCGCCAAAACAAACGAATGACCGTCAGCAAGAGCATTAATCGTCATCAAAGAAGTACTCTGCCATGTCGTACCCGAAGAACTCGTCATCGTCACCGTGTATTCACCAACAGGCAAGCAAGTACCCACCAAACTCTCCGTGTTGCTCGATGCAAGAACCGATTGTCCTTCACTGTTCTTAATCGTCCAAGTCTCAGAGGCGGTATTGTAGTTCACCTTCTCCACTGAAACCGAAATGTAGTTGGGCAGATCGCAAGACAAAACAGTAATCGTAATCGTGCAAGTGTAGACCTGACTGTCCACAGAATACGTCGCAGACACAGTGAACACAGTTTCTTCCAAACCCTCCGTAGGAATACCAGTAATAGCACCACTCGTGCTATCGAAGTTCAGACCAGCAGGAAGAGAAGCGCCACCAGCTCCAGCAATCTGCCAGTTCGTGTAGCCAGACTTACCAGGAGTAATGTCCACATTATCAATACCCACCGACCAGGAATAAACATCCTGAGGATACGAAATGCCTGGAGGAACGTAAGCAGCACCAGTGAACAGCAGATTCCACTCAGACATCTGAATAACATTACCATAAAATCCAGATAAAGATTTCACAGCATTGCACTGCCATTTGTATTTGTTATAAGCAAGCTGATTCTCTATCTCAAAGTACTTAGTCTGGTAACGCGCAGTCCATGTTATACCACTCTGAGTATCGAGAAGATCCCACTGGCTTCCATCATTAGAGCCAAAAATGTCCCAATTAACACAATCACGAATATCATAATCGTTAGCTGTCGAAAACGCATACTTGTTAACAACCAAACGATCGTTGTTACCAAACGTCCAAATGTGAGTAGTAGGGAAAGATGCAGAAGTAACGTCCACGCACCATTTAGTAGAAGTATTTCCATCATATAACTTGGCTCCATTTTCACTTGGTCTGTTAGGATTATCAGGAATGCAATAATAAGATCCATCAGAATCAATGAGACGATAATCTTCATTCAAATAGGAAACACTACATTGGAACTCTTCAGCACTTGGAGCACTTGAGCCAGAATGCACTTCAACACCAATAACATACGTATCGTTTTCAGGTGTAGGAATTGCAGCCAAAAGCTGAACATAAGTGTGTTTACCAGTTGTCGAGGCAGTTGCTTCCGTAGAAGAGGAAATCTCTCCGTCAGGAAGATTCCATCGGGTAAGCTCTTGACCATTTACATATACAACAGCGCCACCATTAATTGTAAGAGCAACACGGATACCAAAATTATCGGTTCCAGTCATTTCAATCGAACGACGGAAGTAACGAGTCGTGGTAGTAGGAGCAGGATAATTTCCAGCATAGCTAGTCCAATCCAACTCTCCAGTAGTCCAAGAAGAGCTTGTTTGGGCAGTCGAAGAATACTGCCATTCTGCGGGAGGCCCAACCGTAAATGTCTGACTACAAGTATAGACACGATTACTATAAGAGCCGCCACAAGTCCATACAACTTGAACAATTTCTTCACCTCCTTGCTTAATGGAGAGTTTTGAGCCAGTAGTCCATCCATCTCCATAAGAGTCTCGCATTTGTACATAATACGTTCCATGAGCCAAGCAGTGATCAGTAGGATCATAAACTTTATTATTAATCATTTGTGAATTCACCTCGGAATAAATAGGTGTTCCGGTAGCAGAGGTTCCAGCATAAATGTCCAAAGACTCTTCATTATAGGCAAACGACTTTGTAGTTCGTTGGAAAGTTAAAGCAACCTCTCCTGCGGCGCAATCACTCGTAACCGTGGCTAGAAATTAGGTCAAATGCCAGGATACTACAGAAAACAAACGTGCAAACCAAAGCAAAAGCAATCAACTTCATGATAAAACTTTATTTAAGGTAATGTTATTTGTAGAATACAAATTCTGTCGTGAGTAAATTTATTGGGTAAAAGTATTAGTGCATCCAAGCATTACTCATGATTCAAACTTATTTGATGCACCAAACCTTCTGAACCAATTGTCTTTGAATAATTTTCATTTTTGCTATTTCCTTCTAATTATTGTCGAATACACAACCATTTTTGACCTTAACCTATCTTGTGTTGTTATATTTACTTGAAATTTTAATCACAGTGTTTCTTAAGTTCCTATTTGAGGTTAGCCTATCTTGGGTGTATTTTGCTTATTGAGGTCGAAATGTATCTATTCTGAAGCTATCATGAATTGAGGTATATAGAAGTTTTATTCATGCTTCTGGTCATGTGTTTCTGTTTTATAATAATAATGACTACCTTTTTTTACACGAATACTTATAGTCATCGTTATCTGTACAATATATCGGACATTTCTTTCATTTCGTATTTTCAATGGATAATAATATGAATGTCGGTGTATCTTAATAATTCTGATTTGTATTGACTACTTGTAATGGAAAACAGAGTTATTAAGATTAGCTGTTCGATACCAATAATTCTGGAATTCCTATGTTCTATATTAATAATTGTGCTTTTCTTTTTATTTGCACTTTACTGAAGTTTTAAAATTTATCTACCTTAATTTTGGCTAGCATTCTATTTAGATAAGTAGCTGTTGTGAATACTACAGTCTTCTGTTCGTTTACATTTATAAGGTCTATTAGGTAATACCATGGGGAGAGAGTATTGTCTGCAATGTAATGTAATGATAGCATTCTTTTAGTCAGTGTTTGGTAAGGAGGTTATGTTTACTTTGCTTGTGCGCATTTTTGGGAATGGATTCCTCTTGTGAGTATTATGCTAGGTTCAAATAGTTGGAAAGGGTTATTATGGTTCCTGTGTATTTTTGCTGGGTTTGTTTTACCATGTTTTTCCGTAAATATATTCTATTCATAATATTGAGTATTATTTCCTTTGTATATAATATTTCTCTTTTTGACAATATTTAATAAATCATTTCTTAATTCCAAGTGTTTCTTCCCATCGATGTTTTATTGCTGAAATCAAGATAGCCTTATTCTTTATTTTCCTTTCGTAAACAAAGAAAGAGCCAAAAATAGGTTTCAGCAACAGTTTGGAACTGTACTGCCTTATTTTCATTTTGAATTTTGTATTCCAGCCTATTTTGTCTACCTCTAAGCGTGTTCCATTACTTCAGGTAATCGCTAATTGCTTTTGTTTGAGTAGTTTTGTTAACTTTTTCCTTCTGATCATCAAAACGATAGATACCCCAAATTGTAAATTTTCCCATTCGCCATGAAGGAATTGATATTTGCCCCCCTAATAATAATATAGAGCATAGTACTGTCTTATCTATTTATATTCTATATTAAAAGGGATCATAGTAATATATAGTTATTGGAGGTGAATAAGAACAAGAGCTAGCAAGAGTTCGTGTAAATAGCAATAATGCATTAATAAGGGATGATAATCAGCTATTGCTAGAAGATATTTACACACATATATTAATGACTAAAATTGATTCTTTTTACTATTAATTGGCTTCGTTTTTGTGGATGGTTGTAGCCAAAGAGAAATATAATATTTTCTATTTCCGAAATGGATATTCTGAAGACTAAACAATTAGTTTGTTCTTTGGATAGTGTATTTCGGAATCGAATGCTTTGCTTTCAGAAATGTAGTCATATTCCACAAAAATGGAGATATGAGGATCACTTTTGTACACAGTAACAAATTCTGTATATGCTATTTTACATTAATATTTCTATTATTACTTTTAGAATTCTGCGAACAGCCTCTGTTTGGATTACAACAATGGATCGTACACAGACGAACTGTAATGCAAAGGAATCAGTATTTTGAGATAGAAAAATTAATATCACATGCTTGAATCATTGCCTTTTAAAAATAAGGGAAATCACACATATTGAATGATTATTTAATTATACATACTTTATTGTAGAATAATGTTATCAGCGCTATTTGTTGTGATACTGGCTTTTAACAAGCCCAGTGTCTTTATACAAGCTTGCATTATAAACCAGTACAAAACGATACTTATTATAGCTCAGTTCATGATCAAACATTATGGAAGAAACTCAGCATCGCTATGTATATTCTTAATCTTTTTTGGAGCGAAAGATAAGATAAATGTGAACCAGGCAGCATCATTAATACAGTTATTAAAGCATTTAATCTACAGTTATGCCAATAGAAAAGAAAAAGCGGTTAGTATTAGTGTTTATTTGATTCAATTAGTTTTTCTTTACTGATTATGTGAGTAGAATTATACGATTGATAGGTCAAATTGCTTTTTACTCACGATTCGAGATGATACAGGAATGGAAGAGGTGAGTGTGTGGCAATATCATAATTCATTCTCCAACTTTAGTTTGTAGTATATTATTCTCTGCTGTACAACCTCGCAATCTATTATCATGTATATTTAATCACCATTAAAAGTGTCACACTAATCTGATTTAATAGACATATAATATTTCAGTCATTTAGTTCATAATCTGCGATGGCAGTCATACGATATTCATTACAATCGTTATTGCATAACATGCATATTTAATGGTGGAAATAAAGCAATATATAAGTGTTGATGAATTGTTTGAATAGATGTAATAAAGAGTAGATGCAAACATCAATAACACCATACTGTTTTTATGCTTTTATTGACTTATTGGGTTCAGCAGTAGAAAGAGATTTTATGCGATTTTTGGTATCAGTATATGCATGGAATTCACTGGATATACTATGGCGATTATTTTTCTATTTGTAAAAGGAATGAATGTGTAGATTACTTTTTATTGTTGTTGGTTATCAAGGTAATTGGAGCATCTATCAATTTGCTGCTCATGGTTTTGATACAAAACGGATAATTGCTTTCTGAAAAAGAATAATGTGTTTATCTGGTTTCATTTTTAATGTATCGAAAACAACAGGGCAACGAATGCCAAATAAAGAGGAATTGGATAATGTGTAACTGGAATATATCGGGAGTAACACTTATTTTATGGGGATCATTCGCAAGATACAAGATACGATCATGACCTAGTATTATCGATATAGAAACAACAACAATACGCTTAAACGAATTACCATGTATGTGGGTGATTTCTTTCATTATTAATCGAAGTCATTCTACATATTAAATCTTGAGTCACTGGAATCCATTCTAAACTTTATACACTTATCAGAAATACAAACATTATATTGTAATTATTTTTCAGTGATACGAAACAATGATATGATATTGATTGACTGATTGACTTTTAGTTATGATTCCATATTATTTGCAATTAGGCATTCTCTCGATGTAAATATTTATTCTCACCCAGTAATATCATGTTTTCCATTTTGTTCCTTCAGTGACACTGAACTTTGATTGTTTCTTCAACAAACACGTCACAATACCCGATCAAACAACGCCCTCACATTCCACGCCTTCCCCTTCATTTCCTCTGCTCCCGATCGCATCATTCCATTACTCATCAACGCCTGAATCTCGTTCTGTTTCGCCTGTTTCTCCCTCTCTTCCTCTTCTTCCTTTTCTTTCCGTTCTTCTTCTTTTCGAATCGTTTTCTGCACCGACGCCAACGCTTCCGAACTCACCGCCAACTGCCCCGCGGATTTCCCCTTCCCGCGGGGAATCTGCTCGATCAGCCAATCCCCCTCGCCGTCCCGCGGTTCGATCGAATCGAGCGTTTCAAGCATGTCGGCGCGCTCTTTCTGCGCACTTGTCAAAGTGGTCAACATTCTTCGCTTCGTTTCCTGCGCCTCCGCCAAGGCCTCGAAACTCCTCCGACGCTGCGCCGCGCGGTTTTGGAGCACTTTCTAGAGTGAATCGATTTCCGCGGGAAAACCTCCAATTTTAGCACGAGGTCCATTGCCTGGTATAAAGCGTCGGATGTGTCGTCGGGGTCGTCGAGGAGGTCAGGGAGAACGTTGGTAAAGTCGTGTGTGGAAAGAGACCAGTTGGGAAGATGGCTGAGCTGGGATAAAGAATGGAGGGAAATGATTACGGAATCATGTAATTGTTCGAAAGTGGGTGAAAGAGTGGAAAGAGTGAATCCGGAAGTGATGAGGCTTTCGATGGTGTGGTGGTAATCGAAGGGCTCGTCGGAAGTGACATCTCCCTGGATGAGAGGGAAAACCGGAGAAGTACGGAATTGCTTTCAGGAGAGCTTGGAAACGAGTTGGATGTGTCGATATCGAACGAACGCGATGCATCATCGACCGAGTAATCTGCGGGCTCGTTGGGAACGGCGGTGGGAAGCGAGAAGTCGCGCTTTCGATTCATTGCATAATCTTCGGCAGCCAGTGCGATCGCTTCTTCCACCGATGCTTGCTTCTCGGGGGGAAGAATGCTTCGCGTTCGCCAAACGTCTACAATGTGGCGGATTTTGTTAACGAGAGGGTAGTGGTAGCGAACAGATTCGTAAAAAATGACTGGCAAATTCTAGGCTTTATGGAATTCGAAGACTTGCTCACTTTGGTATATTCTCCACTGAGTGGAGTATTTCGGAACGTTTGAATGACATCATTCAGGACATATCTACAATCTCATTCATTTTATTTGCATCAAACAAAAACAATAGTTTACGTTCTTCTTTACAATATCTGAAGTTTTCTTCCCACACCTACGATCAATTCCCCCTTTTTCATATACTTGATAGGATTCTTTGGCATTATATGGAAACGAACCAATATAGCGTGACGCATCCCTGATTCGAGCTTCTACTCATCAATCCCCTTCTTCTTGGTTCACCTGTTTGATCCAAGCTCCACAGCTTATTATACAGCACGTTGCTGTCAAATGCGTTCATTTGTGAATCGAACTATTTGATTCTGAGCATAAAAGACGTATTTCGATCTATTTTTTCATTTTGGTCACGATTCTTTTATTGTTGCATTTACTCTTTTTTCAGTTGTGAGTTTTTGGACAGTTCTGTACTGCTTATAGTGTATTTCTTGATTTCTGTGGAGATAACTTGTCACTGTCAAGAATCCAAGCTGAATCATCAATGTCAGAAGTATCAAATGAAGGGTCAACAGAAAATACTCTTAAAATGGAGCTTCGCCAGTTGATGGAAGAGCGTGCCTATTTGTACTATCTTATCTACCGTCGTGAAATGGATGCATCAAGTGATGGAAAAGAAGCAGTAAATGAAGAATTTGCGCAATTTTGCATGCAGGTTAAACAACTTTCGGGACAATATGCGCTCTTATTGGACGAGTTGGCTACAGCGGTGGATGAGAACGAGGAAATGTTCAACACACTGCAAGAGATCACGGATGAACGCGAGTCGTTGGCGATCGACATGCAACGTACTTCCAACGAGCTGGAATCCTGCAAGAGCATCCTGGACTTTTTAGTGTTGGAGCAGGACGAGCTGAAAAAAGAATCATCTACCAAGCAGGCGCTTCTCGCGACCTATCAGTCCATATTCAACTCGCAGTGGTTCTACTTCTCTCTCAAGCCGCTGACTCCACGCAAACGCATGAACAAAAAGTGATTGTTATGTTTGAGCACAAACACAGAAACAAAGTCCCAAGCTGACCCCATAAATCGTAGATGCAGTAGCCGTGATTGGTTTAATAGAAGAAACCAATGATCTTTCCACCGACGTGCTTGCGACGAGCCTCCTCGTGGTCCATAATGCCCTCAGAAGTGGTCAGGACGATGTGTCCGAACTGACGGCAGGGGAGCAGGTTGCGGGTCCACATCTCAATCTCGTTCAGCTTCACATCGAAGCGGGGAGAGATGCAGCCGCACTTGTTCAGACGACCAGTCAGAGTGACCACGACCTTTCCGGAACGGTGGTCATCAATCACGGTGATTTCACCAATGTAACCTAGTCCATAACTCGAATTCGCAATACGACTTACCCTTCTTCTGCATGCACTCAAGGAACTTCAGAAGCACCTTGGAGCAAGGGCGGACGAGCACTTGACGCTTACCACGCTTCTCAGCGTTGGTAATGGATTTCAAAGCGTTAGCAAGAACGTTCATCAACATGGCGATTCTACCACAAATGATTAGTACCGTTGGACATCAAATAACACAAAGAATACATACAAGTAACTTTTGAAGGTAGCTTAAGAAAACTTATTATATGGTGAAACTTGTGGTCAGATCGCAACGTCGTCGAGGATGAAACTCCCTTTTCCCAATCGTTATTAGACGTAGAGATTTATTGGTTTATGTGTAGGGACGAGTGATTGAATATAGGAGAATGCCGATAACCGTGTTTAGTCGAGCATTTGTGTTGGGCAGGTGAAGAAATTGACAATGTGGTATCGTACCTATTCTTTGATTGATTCCAAACTCTTTTCAATCCTCTTTTTCATAATCTGATCATTACAAGTCAATGACTCTATTTTGTGGTAGAAAATGCACACTTCAACCCTCTTTCTACACATTCCAATGCAATTTAAATCGATGCAATCACTCAGAATGAAATGAGTGATTCCCGCGGTTCACTTCAAAATGCGTAGTATTCACTCTCTAGTAAATTGTGAATCAAATGAAGTGTAATTGCTTCCTATGGAAATGGCTCATGTCTAGTCGATCTTCTCCATATTTGCGAGCCTCTTTGTACATTCCTTCCTGAGGTGAAAACTCCTGAGAAGAAGGTGATTGGCATTCGTACCGCTTGACTCCCAGGTTCCCTTCCGTGAGCGCTGTCTGTGGACTGTGGTTGCTTTGTTCGTTTACCTTGTGTGCTGCCAGATTCCTCTGTATGGCATTGCCAACGCTGCCTCCTCGGACCCCCTGTACTGGCTGCGTGCGATCTCTGCCTCGAACCGGTAGTTGGCAGTGTTTTGGTGTCATCGTCTAGCGGCACTCTGATGGAGCTGGGAATCACTCCCATCGTGACGTCCAGCATGATCATGCAGTTGCTGACGGGTCTGAAGTTGGTGGTGTACGATCAGAGCGTGAAGGAGGAGCGCGACCTCTTCGAGAGCGTGCAGAAGCTTTTTGGCCTGCTGCTGACCTTCATCACCTCGTTCGTGTACGTGGTGTCTGGCATGTACGGTCCCACGAGCGAGCTGGGCTGGATGACGTGCGGTCTTCTGATCTTCCAGCTGTCGCTCTCGGGCGTGATCGTTCTTCTGCTGGACGAGATGCTGCAGAAGGGATACGGTCTCGGTTCTGGCATCTCTCTGTTCATCGCGACGAACATCTGCGAGTCTGTGATGTGGCGCGCGTTCTCTCCGATGACGATGGACACGGGCCGCGGCAAGGAGTTCGAGGGCGCGGTGATCTCGCTGTTCCACCTGCTGATCACGCGGAAGGACAAGATCCGCGCGCTGCGGTACGCGTTCTACCGCTCGGCGCTGCCGAACCTGTTCAACCTGCTGGCGACGGTGGTGGTGTTCCTGGTGGTGGTGTACTTCCAGGGCTTCCGCGTGGAGCTGGCGGTGAAGAACCCGAAGTACCGCGGCCAGCAGGGCGTGTACCCGATCCGTCTGTTCTACACGAGCAACACGCCGATCATCATCATCTCCTCGCTCACCTCCAACCTGCTCATCCTCTCCCAGATGCTCTCGCGCCGCTGGGAGGGCAGCTTCCTGGTCTCGCTGCTGGGCCGCTGGTCGCACGACGAGCAGCAGAGCCGCCCCATCGGCGGACTCATCTACTATCTGATGGCGCCCGCCTCGCTCTCCGCCGCCCTCGCCGACCCCATCCAGCTCCTCGTCTACCTCGTGTTCATGCTGGGCGGATGCGCGGCGGTCTCCAGACTCTGGATCGAGTTCTCCGGAACCTCCTCGCGCGACGTGGCGCGCCAGCTCCGCGATGAGGGCATGACCATGAAGGGCTACCGAGACAGCGCCCTCATCGACGTCCTCAACCGCTACATCCCCACGGCGGCCCTGCTGGGAGGACTGTGCATCGGAGCGCTGACCGTGTTCGCGGACTTCATCGGGGCCATCGGCTCGGGAACGGGAATCCTGCTGGCGGTGACGACGATCTTCCAGTACTTTGAGATTTTCAAGAGAGAGAGAGAGGAGCTCGGATTCCTGGGGTTCTAACGGGTGAATGTGTGGTGTTTGAGTGGATTGTTTGTTGGAAAAAGGAATGGGGGAGGTGAAGCGAGGCAAGAGAGGCGATGCGAGGCGAAGCAAGGTCAGGTGACAAATGTGAAGGTGTAAATTATTTTGAAAATAGAGAGAAAGATAAACAATCAAAAAGGAATGAATGAGGATATTGGAAAAGGAAACAATCGTATTAATCGCTTTACAATACACACTCCAACCAATCAATTTGCTATCCTATTGTTTGCTGATTGTGTTTGCAACGAAATGACTCACACCGCTCTAAATACACCCATTATTCAATTATAAATCGATGCCCTCACAACAATAGAATCACAGCAATTATCCAATTGTGTCACCCAGGAACACAACGAACAAGGTACGAGACAAACTACAGTGCGACAATGGGTTGCAACTCGCATGTATCCCCAATTCGAGAGCGTGCCAAACCATTTCCAATAGCGTTTCATGAAGTAAAAAACAAGAAATAGTATCTTGGTGCATGAGGGATAACCGCGATTATCTTAGATGCAATGGAATTTCATTTTTGTTCATTGACTGTACAATGCAGGTACGCATTCTAGGTATATCTCACAGTTAGGGGAGTAGACCACGCAATAACAGTGCCAGTAACCCTCCCCCTGAAATTACAGAGAAGTATACCATTAAAAAGGAGCTCGGTAAAGGAGCTTACGGAACAGTATACTTGGCTGTAGAGAATGAAACCAAAAAAGAGTGTGCCGCCTTCAGTTTGCGTAATTTCTAGAGTGGCAATCAAGCGAATTGATGACGTTTTTCGAACAAAAATAGATGCAAAGCGAGCTTTACGTGAAATCGTGATTTTGCGTCATTGTCACCATCCGAACATTTGCGGTTTGAAGTACGCTTTGGATCCATCTCTTCTTTCCAGAGGCTTAATCGTACCGCCGGATCAGTTTACCTACAAAAGTCTTTGGATGGTACAGGTTGGATCCTTTTGTATTCTAATTTCTAATCGCTAGGAGTACGGAGGCTGGGACCTTTACCGCCTGCTCCGCAACTCCAAGCGCATTTCGAATTGGGGTGAAGCCCACATCCGTTCCATCATGTATCAGCTCCTCTGCGGCCTTCTGTATCTCCAAGTACGCCAATCCTGCCCCATTTGATCGCAGAGCGGGAACATTGTGCATCGCGACCTCAAGCCGTCCAACATCCTCATCAACAGCCAATGCGACATCAAAATCATCGATTTCGGCCTGGCCCGCCAGATGAACCACCAATACGCGGAGCATCGCGAATCCCGGGTAATGTCTCTTTCTCCCGTTCATCCCGAGCGACATCGCGGATGCGGGTATCCAGCACCTCCCCAACCCGCAGCGCCAACTCACCCAGCACGTGGTCACGCGCTGGTACCGCGCTCCGGAGCTCATTTTGATGCAGGAATCCTACAACGCCGCCATCGACATGTGGTCCGCCGGCTGCATTTTCGCGGAGTTATTGCAGACGCTGGAGCCGGGGATGAAGGCGCAGCCGCTGTTTCCCGGGAAAACGTGTTTCCCGCTCAGCGCGGGGAGAAAAGAGCGGGGAAACAGCGAGAAGCTGGACGAGGAGTTTCGCGCTGAAACGCACCAGTTGATGAAGATTTTTGATGTGATTGGCACGCCGGCGAGGTGGGTCCCGCGGGGAAGCGATGAAAGGTAGGGAGGATATTGAGGGGCTGGATGAGGGTCCGATGAAGACGGTAGGTTCCGCGGGGATGGCGTGTGTGTGTGTAATGAGTAGTATTTGCTGGGATTGGAGCCGATCGAGGCGGTGGATTACTCGAATTTGTTCCCGTCGGCATCGAATGATGCGATCGCGTTGTTGCAGTCGATGCTGATGTTCAGTGAGATCGATGGCGGAGCGTGAGAGATAGATCCTAAGAAGCGAATCTCGGTGGAAACGGCGTTACGCTCTGCGTTTTTCGCGGGGATTCGGAGCGAGGAGAAGGAAATCGTGATGGCGGAGCGCATTCCGTTCCCGTTCGAGTACGATTCTATCAGCACGGAGACAGAGATGCTGCGTCTTCGCCGTTTGATTTATCACGAGACGGTGGAGTTCAAGTGGGAGATGATGGACAGATGCATGGTAGTGAAACGGAGCAGAGGCCGGTTTTGAGGCGGAATCGCAGCCGAACGATCGCTACGATGAAGGACGAGCCGATCCCGAGGCGAGAGACGCGAACACGTCGATTGGGAAGTGATGGGGGATTTTCGGGGAGAGAACGATCAGGGGATAAGAAAAACTGCTCGATTCTGTAACCTTACATTGTTGCAATACGTTGTTTGTTTGAGTAGAGATACAAATTAGTTCTTTTTTGAATTGTGTGAGAGGATGAGGTTGTGGTTTACACCGCTGTTGTTCCTCACTGTGTGTATCGTCTTCTTCTATGAAATGGTTGCAATGCGGTACGATCGTAATCAGTAGAAATCACTCATGCGGAATACTGCAATTCGAGTTTCAGATGGGTCAGAAGAACGGATTTTAATATCAAGGAGACCTAGAAAGAAGATGGTACAACCATCGGTTCCTGAGGATTTGGTGAAGGTTGGAAATGGAAATTCAGAGAATTTCAGGCAAAATAGGGGTATGGATGCAAAGAATTCGGCGCATTTTAGTAAAGACGTGTTGAAGTCGTTTCAAATAAATTGGAATGTGGAAAGCAAGGGTGGTAGTGTGGATTCTACCAAGTTAGGAGAGAAGAAGCAAGGAGTGGACATTGAGGGTTTAAAATCCAAGGAAATCGGTTTAGTTGAAATGGTTTCTTCTTGTACGGGAGTGGAATGTGAAAAGGATGCTAATTTGGTCCAGCCAGTTCAGGAGGAGAAAGATTCGATGTTTGTACTGGGAACGGAATCTGCTGCTATGTCATCCAATGAAATGAAATCTCTTTCGACGCAATCCCCGAACGAGGAGTCGCAGCAAGACAAGCTCCAAGCGAATTCTAACGAATTATGGAATGATGAATCGAAATCGAATTCGAAATCGAAATCGAATTCAAATTCAATTCACTCATTGAGTAGGGAATCCTCTTCAGAACCCACATCAGCGATGCGAAAGCGTCCTGGTCGTGGTCGTGGTCGTGGTCGTGGTCGTGGTCGTGTGTTCTTGTACAGTCGTTATCGTCGTAACAAACAAACCAAACCAACGGCTGTTAGCAGTACTAACATAAACAATAACATTGCTGTTGTGAATGAACCCACAAAAGCGAGTCACGGGGAGTTTTTTCTTGGTGATACCGAGCGCCTCTACAATACTCGCTACAAACAAGCGATTCGCAACGCCATGCGAAGTAATTCGAACTTCAAATCCCCAAAAAACAAAAACTCCACTTCTCCACCTCGCCTTCCCGCGCCTCCAAAGAATTACGCATTCGCCGAAGATTACGATACACAACCCATGAAACTCCTCGTGTTGCTTTCCTCGATGGAACCCGACACAGTAGTTCCATCGAATTCGATTCATTCGTAGCGCCATTTGTATTACGATGTGAAAAACCACATTTTGATGTACGAATTCTTTCAGAAGTTCTATTCCTTCAAAGCCATTGTCTTTTCCAACTCCACGAACGTTATCGAATTCTGTAGAGAACACAATGTCACCGTGATTTCCGACTATCTGCGAAACCCTTATAACATGCCGTATCTCCGCGATTTGTTCCTGCAGGCGTTTCATTTGAAAAAAGCGTTGTATTACGGGTATATCAACGGCGATATCGTGCTTTCTCCCGCGATTTTCGAGCTTCTAAACGAAGTTCGGCGATCCAAAACAATCCCATCTCTTGTATCCACACTCCAGGAATACTATTCCATAGCACGAAATCGCGGGGCGCGTGGTGAATAGTCGTTACCGCCAAGTGATGGATCCTTCGACCAAAGAATCATACCGGGCGTTTCTTTATGCATGTGAAAAAAAGGGCCGATTACGACACTTCAATAGTGCGGTAGGAATAAAGAAAAACCGCGGTGAGGGCTAGGATTACTTCGTGTTTCCGCGGACATTTCCGTTTGAGAAGATGAAGGATGTGGTGATAGGTCGGGCGAAGATTGACAACTATTTGATGGCGTTGATGTATCGAATGCACGGCTATTTGATTGACTCGACGTATCGAGGTGCGGTTTGAGTGGATGAGAATTGATGGATTAGTGCTTGGGATTCATTTGGGAATGTACGGCTATTTCGATAAGGAAGTGATTGATCCGCAAGAGCGGGAGGATAAGAATTGGAATAAGCTGTATTCGCCGAATATTAAGCGAAGCCATGCGAGTTTGGAGTTTGCGAAGTGGAGAGTGCCGGCGATTACGAATGGCGTGGATTGGCATTAGGCGTTTTTTTTTGATAATTTGAATGGAAGTGGATTAAAGTGAATAGAATAGAATAGAATAATGTGTGTGTGTTTGATTGAATGGATGTTTGTTCAAAGAAAAATGAAAATGGAAATAGAGAGGAAATCAATGAATGAATAAAAAGATGGTTTGATATGAGTCTTGAAGTTTAACCTCGCCTTCTTGAGTCATTCAATTCCTTTATCCATCCATTCAATTCATTCATTCATTCATTCATTCATTCATTCATTCATTCATTCATTCATTCATTCATTCATTCATTCATTCATTCATTCATTCATTCATTCATTCATTCACTCACTCAATTCATTCCTTCATTCCTTCATTCCCTTCCTCTCCATTACCACCACCACAATTCTCTCTCTCTCTCTCTTCTGTTTTCCAACAAACAACCCACACATAAAAAACACTCTTCCACCACCAAAAAACGTCCTTCACACCTCCTCCTTCTCCCCCTCCCCCAGCTTCTTCATCTCATGCACCAAATACTTCGTCAGCCACTTATTAAACGTCTCCACCAGCACATCCAAATACAACTCTCGCACGATCCCTGTACTCACCAGATCCGACACCAGCGTCTCCGCCGTCGACACTCCATACATAAACCGCGCGATCTGCGTCCACGTCGACTTCTGCTCCAGCTTCCGGTTCTTCCCTACCCTTCACCGCGGTTATTTCGCCTACAATACGAGCACACGATCCGGAACGTAAACTCGCAGCCCTCCTGCTTCACCAGCGCGAACGTCAGTCGATCCACCACCTCCGTTTCCCCGTTTCCACCGTCCGACGCGTCGTCTCCACCTCCACTCCCGCGGGAATCCACCGCGCCGTCTTCGTCCATGCCGTCGAACATCACAACCAATTGCACATAATCGACCGTATTTTTGGAATCCTCCTCCGACGAAACCGCCTCCCCCGCTTCTTCGTCCTCCCCCGATTTCCCGCCAAAAACCGAGTCGTCCTGGCTCGCCGCGCGCAGTCGCGAGATTCGGTCCGAGCTGGCCATTCCCGCGGGACTGAGCGTATCCGAGCCGAAGCCGGCGCTGCGGAAGGACGAAAGCGACGATTTATTTCGCTTGTGCAAAATCACCGCGTGCGTCTCCCGCGCCGACTGCATCAATGAAACGCCCTCCGTCGACAGCACCGGACGCGACAAATCCGGAGGAATACTCGCGGGACGGTGCATCTTCGGACTCCCCGCGGGATCCATCCCCGCGGGAATCGCAGAAATCGAGGCGGTTTCGCCCTGGAGGGCCGAAATCGGGGGGATTTCCGGCAGCGTCGTCGACTTCACCGGAGGGAGTTTCCCCGTTTCCCCTTCTCCGTTTCCACGGTCGGCGGTAACCGCGGTATTGGCGATTTCCGCGGCGGCGGCGCTCCAATCGACGGACCGCGTGATGGAGGGCAGAACCGCGGTTTCCTCGCTTTCCACGACGGTTTCGTCGAGGTTCTACCGTGAAAAAGTGGAAACGTGGAAACGTTGGTGGGGTCGACCTGGATGAATTCCTTGTCACACTCGCGAATTGTGTTCAGGAACGGATCTTTCAGCAGCTCCCCCGCGGAAGGGCGTTTCGCGTCTTTCGCGATTAATTTCATGATAAACGCCTTGGCTTCTTCGTCCTTGACGTCGTCGAGGCATTGTGGCAATTCCCCCTAGAACGTGAGGATAACCGCGGGGATCGGTACTTTGGTGACCTTCATAAAAATTTCGAGGATCGTTTTGCACTCGCTGTAGGGAACCTTCTTCGTGATTAGCTCGAGGACGCACATGCCGAACGCGTAGATGTCTACTTTCTCGTCGTAGACGCCGCTAGCGAAGATTTCGGGCGCCATGAACTCGGGCGTGCCCGCGATGGACATCTTGGAGTCCACTCGGCGAGTCGAGAGACCCAGGTCGCCGATGAGGATGGTGGACGTTTTTCCGTCGATGAAGATGTTCGAACACTTCAGATCGCGGTGGATGATGGGCGGATCGCGTGTGTGTAAATAATTCAGCGCCTCGAGGATCTGAAGAGACCAGCGCTTGATTACCTCCATGCTGAGCTGCTTGCCGCGCACGTAGCTAGAGAATTACCAGACATGGAGCAAACAGGGCTACTTGTTTAATGTTCCGCTTGTTACAATTTGGGTGATTAAAATAATTTTATCCTGACTTGCGTCGTACCACGAGGAATAGTACTTGATGAAATGAGCATTGTCTAGGTAGCGGAGTAGCTCCACCTCGCTCACAAAACGCTGTTTTTCCTTTTCGGGGAGGCCCGTCACCACAATTTCGTTCCACGCCACATCTTTACCATGGATGGTATCAAAGCCGCGATATCTGCACTTTACTCCCCGATTCAATCTACTACACTTCTTTAAAGGACCCAGAGCCAAGACATTCATTCAACTAGACTTAAAATTGCGTCAAACACACCCTACCTTCTTATATCGACCCTGCGGCGACTGATCGATCACCGTAAGTTGTCCAGTACTCGCCATGCACGAAAAATGATCAAATTCCTACCGAATTCCCGCGATTTTTGTACTCCTAACAAACAAATCAAATCAAAGTTCATCATCTTTTTCATTGTCTGAAGTTTCAGTTTCAGTTTCAGTTTCAGACTCCGATTTTGTGCAGGGCTTCACAACCCTCACATCGCTCTTCTTCTGCATGCAAACATCCTTCGGCAGCAAGGTCTTCACATCCATCACATATGACAGTGCAAAGCCTCCAACCAACAACGCCACCGTCGGAACCAACGCCACCACATTCAGCAGCAGCCACATCGTCGATTCCGCCTTTCGCTTCATTCCCTCGTTCCACTGCTCCAATTGCTGCTTTCCCTCACCCAGCACGCGGCGCAGCTCCTCCGCGCTCTTTCCCACCATCGGCTGCACCTTCGACAGCGTGAACTTCCCCGCGGGATCCGAAAACAGCGCCACCAATTCCTTCGCGTGGCGGTTTCCTTCCAGCTGCGCGGACTCCAGTTGTTTCCGTGTTTCCCCGAACAGCTCGAGCAGTTTTCCCGCGGTTACGCGCTCCTGCAAGAGCTGCTGATACGCCGCGGCACGTGCTCCGCATCGTTCCTGGAATTTGGCGAGGGAAACTTTTCCGTTTTCGTCTGTGAAAAGAGACACGCACTCGGTGCGCGCTTGCTGCCACAAATCCGCGGCAAACTCGGTGACCGCGGCATTCCCGCGGGTCTGGAGTGTCTGATGCGTGGATTGGAGAAGTGTGGAAAGATATGCAAAGAGAGCGGAGAGTGGATCCATGATTAATGTGCGGAAAAGAAGTCGAAGCGTGGAGAAAAACAGAACAAACAGAGAAAAGAGAGGCGTTACAATCGGGGAAAACGGAGACACCACCGGCTCGACCGTCGCCACGCAGCGTTCTTTGAGCTCGTGGAGCGACTGGCGATGTTTCGGCGGGATAGAATTGGAATTGGAATTGGAATTAGAAATAGAATTCGAAGAATCGGCGGATTTCGATTTCTTCGAAAAAGGATTGGGAAGAGGGAGCGAAGCGTCGTCCTCGATGTGTTCGGAAAGGTAGGGTAGGAATCGATAGCAAATGCGAGCAGAAATGTCATGAGAAAACTCGGTCATTCGAGTAAATACATCAAAATCATCATCGTATTCAGGTCTCTCGCACTGTTCTTCCGGAATGTAGTAATCCACAATGCGCTCACAAACGTCAAAAACCTCGCCCATCTTTTGCTTTACTGCAAGGTTGAGCGAATCGCGTTTCGATAACCAATTATCAACTTTCTGGGTCATAGCTTCAGGGGCATATGCTCTGAAATAGGTATCCACGGTAGAAAGAATGCCAGTTTTCGAAGTACTTGCATTCTACGAGTCATGAGGTTCTGCGTGTACTTACCCCATTCACCTTCACGTTGGGTTCTGTTTGCATTGTTCTACTATAAAAATAATGAAGATGAAGAAAAGGGCGTTACACCCGTACTGAAACTCCCTTAAATAAAAAAGGCGTAAGAAAGGGAAGGAAGACGAAATGGATGGAGATAGAGGTGGAAATGGAGTGTACTTGAGTAATTTCATGTTTTGCACCATTCAGACGTTGTGTACGGAAAATGTGCATTTTGTGCGGCAATAAAGAATGGTCGGGGAGAGTGTTGTACGATATCTGAAAGCGATGTGTATGCTTTAAAATGGAAAACAATGAGAGTTGTTGGGGAAGTAGATGTTTCTGCTTGTAATAAGAATAAAGTAAGTATGAAAATAGATGGATTACCCTTTTTATAACTTAGAGAAATGATTTTCGAAACAAATGGGCTACGTTGAATTCAATTCGTCACAGGATCCTATCTCTCCTCCCATTTCCTAGCCATTTTCAAGCCATTTTCAAGCCATTTTCAAGCCATTTTCCAACAAACACTCCATTCTAAACCTGACAATACTTCCGTTCAAACATCCCTTCCTGCATGCGTCCGCCCATTACATCCACCAAATCCACCACAACCGACTTCATCGCCGTCGTCTTCAGTCCCGCGGTTAACAAACGCACACATTTCCCGCGGAACTCCTCACTCAGCCTGCGCATCAAATCCGCATTCGACGCGAAGAAAACTTGCTGTAACGCCTGCGGCAGCAGATTTTGGAGGGAGATTTCCGCGGGAATCAGCAGCTGCACAAGCTGCGCGACGACATTCACCTTGGTGCGTGACGACACACTCATTGCCGCCATCTCGAAGCCATCGAGGAGGATCTGCGGATAGAGGGCCGAAACCGCGGGGAACGTCTATTCTCAGAAAGTAGAAACGTGGAAACCTGGAGAAGGAAGAAGATGGAGCGGAGGAGAAGGCGGATGAGCTCGTCCTCGTTGATTCGCTGCTGGCTGACCGCCAAAACGAGCTGCGTCATCTCGAGCACGTCCGTCGAATTCGATCGAATGCGGTCCTTCTCGCCTTTGAGCAGCGTGTACTGAATGCGTAGCGCCAGTTTCACGCTCTCCAATTCGTTCCCGATGCGATGCGTCTGCAGCGTCCACGACAGCAGCGAATTCACCGCGGTTAACAGACGCTCTTTCTCATTGGCTCCCACCAGCTCGTAGCACGTGCTCAGCACCGTCTCCACGACATGCAGCGCTTCCTCCATACACACCGACGCGCTGATCAGTTTCCCACACAATTCGCAAATAACCGCGGTATTCACGGCGCCCAGCGCGCCCTCGGCGGCCTGCACGATTCCCTCCAGCAGTCCCGCGGTTTCCCGAATCACCAGGAGATTCGGTTCCTGCGAGGCGGCGGGAGAATTCGCGGAAGTTCCCAGCGAATTCGATGGAATGAATGAGGCGTTCGATGGAACATTCGATGAGGAATTCGAAGAATTCGATGAAGAATTCAGTGAAGAATTCAAAGAATTCGATGGAATGAATGAAGAATTCGATGGAACATTCAAAGAATTCGACGAAGAATTCCCGTTTCCCTCCCACTGCAGCATTCCCTCCAGGATCGTTTTCCCCGCGGGGATCAGCGAGTCCGCCAAAGACCGCGCTGCTTCGCTCTGCGTGCAGCCCGCCAAAACGCTCCGGGCGTTTCGGATGGCCTCGATTCCCGCGGTAAATGTCGCGGTCACGTGCTCGTTCGACGCGGGCGTTTCGCTGGAAAGGAGGGAAACGAGGGCGGGCAGCGGCGCCAGCAGCGAGTTCAGAACCGCGGTAAACTGGGGAAGCGCGTCGGCGAGGGGAAGCGAAGAAATGGCGGCAGAGGCCGCGCGAAGAAAAAACCCGCGCAATTCTTCGCTGTGGAATGCGAGAACCGCGGGGAAAAGCTCCATGAGCTGATGGATTCGGTCCAATCCGAAATGAAACGCCGGTGCGTCCAGTAATCGCATGATGTACATGAGGAGGCGGGAAGCCATGGATTCGGGTGCCCGCGGGAATGCCTCCAAAATGACGGCGAGCAGTTTTTGGCAAAAATCGGGGCGAGAAAACGTCCACTGGTCGAAGGCGTAAAAAATCTGCAGTCCCGCGACTAAAAGCGGGACGTTGGCCGCGAGGGCGAAAAGGTGGGATCCCACGAAGTACAAAAACGAGTCGTAGGGCGTTTCCAGGGGCGTTTCAGAGATCAGTTCCTGCTTTGCGTCGGGCGTTTCATCGAACAGAGAGTCGGTGCGCGCAAACAGCGGGAGAAACTCCTCCTCGATCGCATCCACGATTCCACAAAACAGGTAAAACACGCTCTCTTCCCGCGGGTACGACGCATCCCCCGCGGTTATCACGCTCAACAGCTGCTCCGCCACCGGTGCGATTCCCGCGGGGGAGGACGCAATCGCGAGAATCAAATCCTGGCTCGTCTGCCGAAACCGGTGAAACTCCTCGTCGAAGTCCCCGCGGGACAGCGTCCCCGTCTCGAAATAAACCGCGGGGAGCGCGCACCGGTCCACCAGCAGGCGGATAATCGCGGGAATCACATCGGGCGATAACTGCGGAATAACCGCGGTTTGAGTAAACAGCGCGTTAAGCGCGTCGACCGCCAGCGTCGCGTGGGAGTACGGTAGAATCGTGGAAACCGTGGAAACCATGGAGAGAAGGAGGGAAACGAGGGGATTGGCGGCCTGCGGCACACAATGCAAATGATTGGCTATGAGCACGTGGATCGCTTCAATCAAAACCACGCGCACCTCCGGACTCTCCAGAACCGCGGGGAGAAGCGGCTCCTAAACGTAACGCCCGGCAAGGGAGGAAAAACCGCGGCTAAAAGCGTTTCCACCATGCACTGCAGCGCCTGCAAATGATTGGCTGGCAGCTGCGCGGCCGCGGGGGACGGGATCGATAGAATCGTGGAAACCGTGGAAACCACGGTGGAAACGATGGAAAGAGAGGGAGAAGGCTGCGCCAAAACGCTGTGGAAAACCGCGAGAAGAAGCGAAAAAAGAGGCGTGGAGGGAATCGAACTCAGCGAAACGCGCAGACTACTCGATTAGCGATGAAACGCCCGGAAGAACCTTTTGGTGGAAACGGAGAAACCGGGAACCGAGTTGTTGAAGTAGGAATCTTCGCCGAAGCCCCCGTCTCCCTCATCAAAACCGTCGAATTCGTCGAAATCGTCGAAACCGTCGAAACCGTCGAAACCGTCGAAACCGAGTAGAAACCAGGAAGCGATGAGCTGTCCGAGACACTCGACGATGGCTTCGTTTTGTGTGAGTTGGGGAAGGGGGAGGGAGGTGAAGATGAGCTCGCAGCCGTGGAAGCAGAAGGCCTTGAGGGCTTTCCAGCGAGTGTCGAAGAGGGTTTGGGGTGTGTAAGCTGGGTGTAATGGGGAAGAAAGTGTGGAAACTGAGGTAATTGGTGAGTTTGTGGAGGGTGTGTGGAAGGGTGGCGGAGATGTGGAGGAATAAGGGAGCTTCGAGTTTTTGCTCTTCGCAGAGCGAGAAAATGTTTTCTGTGCGTGAAATGGAGAAAACAAACAGAACGAAGGAAGAGAAGGTCGGGAGACGGGTGAACGATGGACAGGGCAGCGAGCAAGCTGACTATTGAGTCCATTATGTGACGAGGATAAGAAGAGTTGCGTAATAAGAGAGAAATACAAGTCTCGTAAATTGATTGCATACGCTCTGCACTTTGTTTGTAAAGGATTCGACTATTCCATTCGAATAAAGGATATTATTTGGTTCCAACTCTGGTAAAAACGTTCCACCAAGATTTTCAACGCTCCAAAGAGAATCGCGTCATTTAGAGACCCAGAATTTAATAAATATAGAGTCACTTCGATCGCATTCTCGGAATTCTGAAATTCCTGGACCCACTGAAGTGCTAAATTTTGGTTTCCTATTCTATTACGAGCTGCCAGCAAAACAGTACCTCCCGCATTGAGAAAGATCACTTCCAACGCATGTCTCAAGTTATTTGCTATTTCTTCCATTTCTAGTCCTTTTTGCTTAAAAAAGGTGAATCAATTGCCTTTTCTTTCTGTGCAAAAAGGTCTTCTGAAAAAGCGCTTGTTTCAACTCCCCGGCAGAAAGTGGAAAAAACCGCGGTATCCAACAAACAATCCATTCTCTTCCAATCGCTATGTTTCCTTCTCCGAATAGACTCCCAGCGCTTCTAGTCCCTTCCATGCTGCATACGAAGTGGCAATCTTGACGCTGCTTCCCGTCCCTTCTCCAACAAGCACATCATCGACTTTGGCTCGCACATGAAATCTGTTTTCGTGCGTTTTCTTCACATCAAACTCTTCCTTTTCATATTCCAATTTCTTTCCTTGCTGAATACACAGTTTGTGAAGAACATTCCCAAACTCAAAGCGAGGGAGCTTCGAAATGGGCAATTCGAAAAGCATTTTCTCATTTCGAATTAGTTTATAATTATATTCATCCGACATATTGGGTTTGGAGCGTGTTTTGCGTAATGGAATGGCTTTGAGGAGCGAAGTCCTCCAATTCTGCGTTTCAAGGAAGGAAATGAGGATTTCGACCACTGTATTCACATTTAAAACTGGAAATGAGCAACATGATCAAGACATGAACTGGGATGTGTGCATTCCGCATAGAATTCTTTGATTGGCAGACGAAACGACGAAACTCCCAATTCAGAAGCTCGCATTGCGCTTTGATTCTATGCGTGTGATTGGGGTAAAGACAACGACACACTTTATTCACACTCCGATCGATGAAACCCCCGATCACATACACTTTGGAGGGATCGATGGAAAGAAGCGGATCGGATGCATCGGGAGAAAGATATATGAGATCGGCAGGTGGGAAAACCTGCTCTCTATTGAATGAATGGAAGGAAAAAAAGAGGGGAACAAGGATTCGGTGTGGAAAGTGGCTTCCCAACGATCGGCTCGCGCGTTCGCGAGATGGGAATTGGTGGAAGGAGAGTGGAGTTAAGGAAAGGAGAATGAAATGGGGAAATGGGGAAATGGGGAAATGGGGAAATGGGGAAAGTAATAAAAAAGGAAATGAATGACATTAATGATTTCAATGATTTCAATGATTCAATTGATGATTTCAATGATTCAATAATACACTTCAATAAAACAATTCAATAAGGATATCATTCCACAAATATGTAGGGAAATGTGCTTTGAAGCCACTTTATTAGCATTATGAGCAAAGCACAACTGCTTCACCAAACTGTTCCGCTCCTACAAACATCACAATTCAAAACAATTCCCAGTACAAAATCGGTCATTTTATCCTGATAACCCACATCAATAGCAATTCTCTGTCCATATTTCATTCCATCAAGAAGCGATTGCTGCTTCTCAGCCTCTACCCATCAAACAATCAACAAAATAAACAACCGATTCGGCGCTCCTCGTCAGCAGTAGCACGCCGTTCTTCTTTTGTCATATTTGCATATTTTGCATCGCGCTCTTGCGCTTCAGCACGTCGCTTTCGTTTTCTACACACTCAATTACCAGAGAAGCGTCAAACTGCAACTCCCTCGATTTCCTTTTCTTTTTCTCCTTTGCATATTGGATCCTAGATATAATTCAACCATTTCTATGCGCACATTTCCTCTTTTGTGAATAACGGCTTTTTAAAAGGTTGGGCACTATCCACAGCACCTTCCTCCTTTGATAAACCCACCGGATGTGTGAATTGGCCGATTTCAGTATTTGCGGTTTCACTTGACCCACTTCCAGTACCAGCTTGACTTGAGAGCATGCGAATTCGAGTTAGTGAAGAACAAACAACCCGTTGAGAGTACCGGAGGGCAAAACAAAGCATAAATACTCTTTCTCATTTTGCCTCCTGAAACGCCCAGATTTGAGTATGCGTGTACAAGACACAGTTTCGTACATCGTCCCTATTGTGAGTGTGCTGATAGCAACGCTCTTTTTGTTTTTGAACAGGAAAGCTGCAACGAATTTGAATCAGGTTTCTTTTCTTCAGTTTTCATGTAACAACTAGCCTACTACCCTACAAAAAGGAGTGGTTCCAATTCGAGAAGTGGCAAATATTACGATTAACCTGGAAGACAAACTCATTGAAGGAGATGCTACAATCTATTTGAACATTAAAGAGAGAACCGATATGATCGTTTTGAGCGCTGCAGAACTGCTTTGGGAGATGTTTTCGGTTTCTCTCACATCAGAAAATCAAGAGCTGATTCCCATCCACAGTTATGAGATAAGAGAACGTAGATTCTGCTTTCTTTGTCAGATCATCTTCAGAAGAGCAAGACGTTGTGATTCACCTGGACTCCGCGCTCTCTCCAGGTCTCTATGCGCTGCGAACCTTGTACGTAGCAGTTATTCGAACCGATCTGATGGGTTGTTATCTGAGCTACGAAAAGGGCCAGCCCTTCGTAATGACCCAATTCGAGCCGAACTTCGCCCGAACTTTTCTCCCCACATTCGACGAACCCCACATCAAAATGGTTTTCGAGATGACGTTCATCACTCCTTCCAACCTCACCCTTCTTTTCAACACTCCACCTCGCTCTTCCTCTCCCATTCTTCTCGAATCCCGTTCCGGAACCCTCCTCTCTTACACACAAACCACCTTCGAACCCACTCCTCCCATGTCCGCCTATTTACTTGCCGCGGGAATTGGACCCTTCCAATCGATCCACCAAAACACACGTTACGGAGTGAAACTCTCCATCCACTTTCCGCTCTGTACGCCTTTCATTCCTCACGCACTCTCATCGATAGGGGCGAATCCCCGCGATTTTGAATACGCTCTGGGCGTTTCAGTGCACGCCTTGGAGTTTTTCCAATCGAACATCGGCGAACCGTATCCCTTCTCGCACTTACAGGTGCTTTTGGCGCCCAATTTCGCGGCGGCCGCCATGGAAAACTTCGGGCTCATTCTGATTCGCAGCGAGTATCTCGCGATCCCCGCGGGGGAATCGAACGACGACCTGAAACGGCGGATTGGCTACGTGCTGAGCCACGAAATCGCGCATCAATGGTTCGGGAATTTGGTGACGGCGCGCGATTGGAGCGAAGTTTATCTGCAAGAAGGCTTCGCGACGCTCCTGGGCCACCGCTGCGTGGATTCCCGCGATTCTTCGCTTCAGTCCACGGCGACGTTCTTCGCTGCAGATGTCGCGGAGCTGTATGAATACGACGTGGAAGCGAACGCCGTGGCGATCAAGCCGGAGCTTCTCTCCGGTAAGGACGCCGTGAATAGTTTTTCCGCGGTTTCCTACACGAAAGTGAGCGAGAAAGGGGAATTGAACCGCAGAGCGCGCTGCTGCTCGGCGCCATCGAGGACGAAATGGTGGAAATCGGAGGTCCCGACGCGTTTCGGAAGTTCGTCAACCAGTTCGTGTGGACGTTCCGTTACAACAACGTGGGGAGTGAGGAGTTCCAGCGACTGGCGGCCTCGTTTTGCGGGGAGTTTCGGAGAGAAGCGCGCGTGGAAATGGAGAAACTGGTGGTTTCGTGGCTGCGGGGAGCGGGAATCCCGCGAATTGAAGCGATTCGCACGTCGAAAAACAAAATTGTGCTGATGCAGGTGGCTGCGATTGGAGGTGGGTGATGGATAGAAGCGGTTTGTGCTTTCGCAGAGCGAATTCGAATCGAACCGAGAGACACAGAAGCACAATTCTCACTTTTATGTTCCCCTTTTTATCGATTTGTATCACAATTCCACACAAATTGGGACGCTTCAAGTCAATTTTGCCACAAAGACGAAAGAAATTCTTTTACCGCCTCATGTTTCCACGTTTCTACTTCGAACTTCGAAGAACATTCCGGCCATTCTGAAACAAAACTCCCCCGAATTGTTGTTTTCCTCCATTCCATTCGAAACTCTTTCCAATGACACACTCATTCGAGAGTTGCGAAGTCGATTTTATCTTCTACGAAATGGAGAAGATTCGGTTTCCACGTTTCTCCAATTCATCACACGTCTGATGGCGTTTTTCGACTCTTCTCAGCAATACCCAGTAATTATCATCACACAACTTCTTTCGATTCTAAAAGAACTTCGGCTGACTCTTCGTGAAAATCTTCCGCTTCTCCCGCGGTTCGACGAATGGATTCGGCGCCTCTTCTCGTCGTACCGCGACTCTCTGCTGCAAAACAATTGGAACGCCATGGATTCGTTGCAGAAATCCGCGGGGAAAAGCACACTCTTCTTCCTTCTGTGGGTCCACGATTCCACGACGGAATCTTTCATCGATCGCCGATTTGGCGGAAAATCGATCGAATTTTTGGAGTTGGGATAGGAGAATGCGTTTCGATCTAGTGAACTTCCTGGGGATTTCCAGGAAATGGCGGCGTTGCGTTATCTTCAAAAGCAGATTACGCAGGAGAATTATAGGAACGAGATCGATCGTGTTGTTTCAAAGGTGTATGCGAATAAAAACTTCAATGTAATAACGCCGTTATCCTTACTCGAGACAGACACGATACTAGCTTATTTGTTTGAGTGTGTATTGAAGGAGAATTCCACACTGTATACGCAAAACATTCTCTATCTCTTTGCTTATTTGAACCAAAGCATATCCTTCTGAACCGAAAAGTGAGCAATGCAGCCTTAACGAGAGCCGTTTGTGGGGAAGCAGACAGCAGAAACAGTAAAAGCAAATGCTGAAAAGCTCGTGAAAGCATTTGGAACAGGGTTTATTTTGAAAAAGAATGTGGCTAAATTCGCACTGGCCGGAGTGGGAGAGGAGTGGATTCAAGTATTGGAGGAATTACGAAGATTTGCACCGTCCCAATTCGCGCAAACATTTGAGGAGTTCGAGTCGAAGGTCAGAGCAAAGCGTTTTTTCGAGAGATATGTGGGAACAGAGTTGATGAAGTTGTTTGGGAAGTTTAATGTTTGTTGCAATCTCTCGTCGAACGCTAGGGAAATCGGAGGAATCAAACAAGGAAGCGATGACTGCTGAATTCAGTGCTTTGCGGATTCTGAGATCGACAGATGATTCCTCATAGTAAAGTGAACGAAGAACGCATAATAATATAGAGCATAGGGAAATAACTTATCTCGGGTTGATTTCCAGATTCACACAAATTGATATAACTAAACAGCCCCATAATAAAAGAAAGTACTAGTAATACATAAAATTGCCCCAAGAGATTCCTTGTATAATTATATGGGAAATACGTTATACCGATTGGATCTTCACATATTTTGCAAGAGCAACGTATACATCTATATGTGAATCATAGGACATAAATGCGTTCTATTGACGGACTTAGAGAGAACTTTTTGAAAAGGTCCAGACAAGTTCACTTTTTGAAGATTTGGAATATCTATATCTAATACTAATATAAATGCAAAAGTACTTTCTAACGTTACATGGCGAGGCTCGCTGAAATTATCCCATTCAGAACTAAGGATAACTGACAAACTAGGCAGATCTAGAATGATGAAAGGAAAATCGATGAACACTAACTTCTCATAGTTAGGGAGCAAGATAAATCATTTCTTCCAGAGAGGGCGCATTTTCCAAGCTTTAATGACTGTAAAGAAGGAAGATCTATCCAAATTAGAGTAGTTAATTAATGTTAGTACTTTCAATTATTGTATTCACAGAATATCGAAATGATTGGTTACCCAAAGTAATATATGTGAGGTTTGGAAGATCTAAATCGTATCTCCTCCTTCCGGTAAATACCATTTATCACAAATGAACTACAACAAAAACACCACGATCCATATTCAGTAAAACCAACAGCACCAAATTGAATTGCCTGCAGTTTTGGTAGATTCTTCAATTCAAAGTCTCCAGCAAAATCACTGAAACTGAATTTACCAATTTGAATGGATTCCAATGATTCACAATTCAAAATGTGGAATGATTTCGATTTATCATTTCCTGAAGTATTCTTTTTCTGCGTGAATGAATTCTGGCCGATTTTGATCGTTTTCAATCGATTCAATCCATCGATTTTGAATGTTTGCACTGATCCAAAACAATCATTGCCGATTTCGATTGATTCCAAATTATACAACAATGAAACATCCCAATCAACCAATACACAATTGTCAATCAGTTTCAAATGCTTGATTCCGATATTCATTGGTTTGCTTCCATCGCCTTCATATTTTTCATCAATAATACTTTCAATACCATTACACCATTCACATTCATTCACTAATTTACCATATCGATCATACACTTTTCCACTTCCACATCGATTATCATCACACCAATATCCTTCATATTCAATACATCCATTATTATGATAACTCGTTCCATATCCAAATCGTTTCCAGTCGATCATTATACCCTTGTACACCAATATTCCATCATCATCATACATTTCACCATATCCAAATGGAGTTCCCAACTTGTTTTCTGTCAATACCAAGCCTTCAAATCGACTTCCATGATCCAAATCCACTATTCCTTCCACTACTTCTATGGATTGTTCTTCATTATATGAAATAGCACCAATTTGATGATTTCCAAACACTTTCAACACTTTCTGCTCATTGAGGGCAAATCCTTGATTCATCAATACTCCATTATCGAATTGCAATACTACACATTCTCTATTACTCAATATGAGTGAAATCCAGCCATTTGGTTTCATTTCTTTACCCAAACATCCCTGCACATTTTGAATGATTAAACAATCAATATGATAGTTGCTAATAACAGAATTGACAAAATCAGCAATGTTTTGCATGGAAATGAAAAGAAATATGGGAACATGGGTTTTTATCAATAATCTATCATTATTTCTCGATAGAACACACGTCATGGATTATTGTGTATGGCTTTGATATGCTGGTATGTTACAAACTAGAATACATAGGATAAAACCTCATTTTCTCCACCCACTCCTATTTTCTTTATTTCGGTGCTTTTCCATCTATTCATATATTCTTGTGTTATTTTCAGATACTTATAGCTATAATTGTAAAATATTACGCATTTTGATCACCTTTACTCTCTCATGTCAGAATGGCTGTTCTATTAAGTCTAGAATGGATATATGTTCTTCAAAATATATCAATTATGTGGTAGTTGATCTTGTTTTGCAGCAATCGAACTCACAATAGTGAATACTGTTAGAATGGTTTGATTCGTAATAGAGAGTATGGCAGTAGTATGTAGAATGCAAAATCCATCATTTCTATTTGACAAGTGGATTATTGTATTGATTCTCTGTTGATACTTCGATTCTCTTCTGTCACAATGATCATCCATATTGAGTACAAAGAATGATATTGCAGAGAAAGGAATGTGGTTCATAGATTGAAATGGTGAATAGGAATCATAGTATCATTAAACAAAACAATCGATTGAATAATATGATGGATGGAATCCATGAATCCTATGAATGAAAACCTTGCTTTCTATTTGATCAACAAAACAATGTGAAATACAATGTGATTAACATAGCAATAGTATTAAATAAACAAGTAATATTGAGTGAATGAATGAATATGCCATCCATCATAGAGATCTCTTCCACTCACTTCCACTCCATCTTTCCATTCCACTTCGCGAGTAGCAATCCGAGTTTCTTCATCGATCCAGTATCCTCGACCATTTCGAAGAAACAATTCTTTCGATTCATCATAAACGAATTCACCCACATAGAGGGGAATTCGATTCGAAGCGGTTGTGTTGTTTCCGTTTCGCTTTCATTCCGACATGGTGGTTCCTTCGATCCACCCAGTCCGATCTTATCCAGTTCAATCATCTGCTTATTGCTAGAATAATAGATCAGCTCCAAATTCTATTTGTTTCGCATCAATGCTACATCTCAGATTCTCTTTCCTCTTTCCTCGTCGCAGATGTCGTTATGAAGTCCAGAATGTCCGACACGCCTGCATCCTTCAGTCAGTAGTACGATACTTGGGAACTCTGTATCAAACACACCTACTTGGGAGTCAGATTGCGAGGAACCGACACAGGGTAGTTGTTTCGGATTCTATAGTTACAAATAACCACGATTTTTAGAATTCACAGTTCTGGATGTATTACTGAAGCACTTACTTCTCGAATTGCTGGTTGGTGGACAAATAATCCTAATCGCCTTGAAGAAACAAACGCATATTCGGCTCTATTTTGCCAACCAAATACAGAGTATCCGCTTTTCGAATCAACGCTTCGTGTGGAGGAAAGTGCACTGGCAGGCGAAAGCCGCACTGTTCTCAAAGTAGGATGGACTTTCTTGTTAATCATTCCTTTCAAAACCCCGATGTCTGCGCAACGGTTGACGCGGGTCTGTCGGAGAAGGTGAACATGCTCTTCGCAGGCACCACGATCGCGAACGGGCTGTGCAAAGCGCTGGTAGTGCGAACCTGCATGAACGCAGAGATCGGAAAGATCCAGCGCGCCGTCATGGACGCGCGGGAAGACGAAGAAAGGACCCCGCTCGGGCAGAAGATCGGCGAATTCGGCGAGTGGCTGGGCAAAGTGATCATGTGGATCTGCGTCATCGTTTGGATCATGAACTTCCATCAGTTCTCTGATCCCGAATTCGGCGGTTTTTTCCGCGGCTACATCTACGATGACCTCAAATTGGATGTTTCCACGTTTCCACGTTTTGACGTGGTGAAGATCTGCGCGTTCTGCAATGAAACAATAATTGTGTGGAACGACGTGACGCCGAAATTCAAAGCGGAGGATGAGCGGAGGGATGCGGCGCGGCACCGATTTCTGGGCGACGCTCGATTGGGTGAACGGCCGTCTGGAGCTCTCCTGAATGCGCAAATCGAGTCGGGCTGGCGGGGAGGACCGAGGAAATCCGCTGTCCGCTGCGCAGCTACGACGGTCCGCAGCATTCTGGCCACGCGATGCTCGTTGACGGGGACGCGTACGAAGCCATCGAGCAGGATCTCTGTTTCATTGGCATGGTCGGCATCAAGGATCCCGCACGCGTCGAAGTCCGCGACAGCATCGCGCTGTGCAAGAAGGCCGGCATCCGCGTCTTCATGGTCACTGACGACAATCTCGTCACGGCGGAATCCATCGCGCGCGATGTGGTCATTTTGCAGCCCGGAGAAGAAGCGGAGGCTTCGTTCGAAGGTTTCTCCGTTTCTCCGTTTCTCCGTTTCGGTGACACGTAGCGCGTGAGTTCATGAAACTCCCTCGTGAGCGGCAGCTTCGGATTTTGGCGGGTCATGGGGGTCGCGTGTTCGCGCGTTCGGAGCCGGTGCACAAAAAGGAACTGATCAGTCTGCTTTGTCAGATGGGGGAGATCACGGCGATGACGGGGGACGGCGTGAACGACGCGCCGGCGCTGCAGCAAGCGGACATCGGCGTGGCGATGGGGGTGAGCGGTACGGAGGTGGCGAAGGAGGTTTCGGACATAGTGCTGGTGGACGACAACTTCCGGACGATCGTGGTGGCGATCGAGGAGGGCCGGTCCATCTACCAGAACATGAAGGCGCTCACCCGCTATCTGATCAGCTCCAACATCGGCGAGGTCGCCTCGATCTTCTTCGCCGAGGGAAAGACGAAGAGGTCGACGCTGTGGCTGACAGCTCGAATCACCATCGAGATATCCAACGTGCTCAATGCGCTCTTCGAGGACTGCTGGAGTTGTCATTCCATGTGATTCTCCTCGATGAAGTGGCAAAAGCTGCTTGGAGAGCGATTACGCGGTGAAAGGAGAGAAACGGTTACAAATGGAGAAGGAGGAGTAATTGGAGTGATGTGTTTGTTGAATACAGTGGAAGAAATGGTTGATGTGCAGGAGAATGGGAATAGGCAATTGGGTATTTACAAGGAAAACGATGTGTGTGTTAGTGAATTGGGATAGGATCAATCATCAATTTAACTCGACCTGTAATATTTTGAATCTGGATATTCTTTTTTGTTTCTATCAATTGCTGTGAATTGATTGATTGCATACAAAAATGTTAATGATCCAAATGGTATCCGAACTAACAATAGAAATACCGATAGTAAATACAATGATCACTGAATGGAATGGAATAGAACGAATAGATCTGATGCTGGATATACATTCCTATTTAAGGAACAAGATCAGCTAGAATCGCAGAAACATCTATGATTAATTTCCAATCAATCAAATTATACTCCAAACTGATTTTTCTTTTACATTCTCGAATGAACGGCCAATGAATCTTGTAGGCAGATTAACATATTGAAGATTGGGTATATCTTAGCATTATAAAAACTATCATTATTTTTATATACCTTCTAAAATTAGCAAACGAGGATTTACAAAACTCTTCCCACCAGATGTGATGGATGTTAAATTTGGAAGATCTGCATTTATACATTTTTTAATTCATTAAGTACTTTGCATTACTAATCCACATGATTTGTCATCTATTCCCGCGAGAGCACCATAACCGAGTGTAACGGATTGTAATAATGGAAGATCTACATCCAATATTTCATGTATATGTATCCATACTTTCTATTCTTGCTATTGTGAAATCGCGTAATACAGAATTACCAAACGTTATGAATTTCAGATTTGAAAGATTATTAAATTCAAACACTCCAGCATAATCACTGAAACTGTATTCACCAATTTCAATGGATTCCAATGATTCACAATTCAATATTTGGAATGATTTCGAATCATCATTTCCCCACCAATTCTTATCCTCTGTGAATGAGTTGTTTCCGATTTTGATCGTTTTCAATCGATTCAATCCATCGATTTTGAATATTTTCACTGATCTACAACATTCATCGCCGATTTCGATAAATCGTAGCCACTCGAATCGATTCAGATCCAACACATTCAAATCGTTACAGCAATTCGATGAGATCGTCAAATCGGTCACTTGTATATTCATATTGCACAATCTAGCAGTATTTGTGACGAATACTCGATAAGGACGAGAGTTATATTGCGGAGCAAGAGGATTTCGACAAGTTCTAGGAATTATAACTCTAGATAATGACGACATTAATGTCGGTATTGTATTTCCATTTTTACACCCGCTCATGCTATTCCTCACTCCATATCTCCCAGTGTTATCCGTATCTATGTCTTCACCTTCTTCAGTTATTTCAGCGCAACAGCTTCCGTTTATATGTCTGTAGTTTAACTCTTCGTGGTATTCTAGATGCTCTTTTTGTGCCAAAGAAATTTGAATTTGCAGTCCATCGTCGTGTTTAATAATGCGCATACTATTAACTTGTTCCAAAGAATACTCCAATCGTTGACTGAAATTAATTCGGCTGTTATCATAATCAATAACCTCAAATGGATTGTTTCCATCCCTTACTGATAATTCTGAGCGGCTGATCGTAGTACTTTGGTCTCTAAGATAATTTACTCTACGAACTTGTGTTATAGTTACTATTCATTAACATATTATTTTAAGCGAAACATTCTTCACACATATAATATTACTTTAGGATAATTTGAAAATCCAAATGGATACTCAGTATGTTTTGTTAAAAATAACAAATCAACATTACTTTGTATATTTGCTATAATATTGTGTAAGGATGCATGTATAGTTAACAAAAAGGGTATCGGTATTTGGATATCGATTATTATTCATTCTGAGCTTGCCCATATATTATTACTTACATTATATACTTCATTTTATATTAAACTATATAATTTAAAATTGTGAGTTTGTATTGGAAGAATAGAAAATAGTGGTTATTTTGTACCATTCCAAAAATACAAATTCGGTGTAATATATGTGAAGTACTGTTATGTTTATTTCCCTCGTTGTTAATAATGATTAAATGTATTGGAATCAGTGAGAGATATTCTAATCGCTTTTGTTAATCTGTGCTTTTCGTGATATCATGAGCTTTAAAGAAATTATGAAAGTCAGTTGCAGTTTTTGTATGCATTCAAATAGACCAGTGAATAATAATAATCACACAGATTTTGTGAATATTATTTAAATGTGATAGTCTTTTGTGGGTGTTGAATGATATTAATCAATGTTATTATCACTATATCGATATCGTCTCATTCTTATTAATGATATGCTTTGTAAGAGGATGCTCTGCGAATAGTGATCTTCTTTTTCTAATATGAATCTTCAAAAAACAATGCCTCACAATTACACTTTGACAACTGAATTCAAGTAGATTAGTTTCCAATAGACCGATCTTCTCTTTTTGCCTTGATAATAATGGATTGACCATTTGCTTCAATGTTGTATTCAAATTAGTGTTGCTGCATATGATATGATAGCACTATATTGAAATAGAATCTTATCTAGCCGACCCTTACTTTCTTGCTAGAAGTATTTGCTTATATTAATTATGATTTTTTTACCCTTTATTACTGTTTAACACTAGCAGTTTTATTCAAGAATAGTATCAATATATATATATATCGATGTAATACAAGTAATTGTTAACCCACATAATAATGTGCTTCTAGCTGTAATACAAAACCGACAACTTATTATCCTTGTTGACCACTTATCTTATTACTTGCTACAATGCGAGATATTTCTATGTGTATTTTTGCTCTTTGACATAAGGGTTAGTCTTTCAATAATGTGATTCTCTGTGAATGAGTCAAATATGAGGTTTTGCATCATATTCCAGTAGTAGGGAAAAGGCGAATAATACGCGGAGCCCAAAGTCGCCCCTCCGACCTCATCTACGAGAGTGCGCGGCTCAAAGTCGCCCCTCTGACCCCATCTTTGTTTTCGCGTATTCCCGTCAGAACACAAAAGATCCCCCAAAGTCACCCCTCAGACCCCCTCAACTGGTACCTTGATTTTTGCGTTTCATAAGAATTTCAGCACTCATGAGTAAAACACGAGTGCTGAAATGTGCGATATCCATGACTATTATGGTTGTTATTGCTGGTCAATGTGATCATTTTCTGCCATTTCCACTATTTCCTGCCATTGCCTGCCTGGCTACCTTATTGTCCATAACAAGAAACGCGCGGAAACCCATGGCTGCCATTTTCAGCCAATTCCTGCAATGTTAACCTGACTTCCATTGTAGGCCATGGTATCCATGGATGTGATGGGGCAACTACGTTGCCCCGGGAGGAATCTTCGATTCCTCCCCATTGTCTTGTTGACTAAGGTAAAGAGAGAAAGACCATGCACTACTCCATGCTTATTCAAGGCTCACCTACCAACGGCTCATTTACATGGGTTAATCCGTACAAGTACAAGAATCCCTATATCACTTCCATGACTGTCCTGTTTCATCCTAATGGTTCAATGTTTAATAACGTAGACACGACCAATGTGGTTACTAACAGCAATGACGAGACTGTGACGATCCCTGCTGGTTATTACACGATCAGTGAGATCATTGCCTTGCTCAATACAATGTCTGACACGCTGTTCTCCATATCTACGAATGCCTCGTCATTCGGTTGTATCTGGATTCAGTCCCCACACACGATTGACTTCACAGATGCACCTGACATTCGTGAGATCCTCGGTTTGGAAGGACGAACGATCATTCTGCCTTCTTCGTTCTACGGTTCGAACGTGATTGATATCACGCGAAATCGCCAAGTGATCCAGGTCTACTCGACGATCGTGCGATCATCGGACCTGAAGATTGCCAACCAGAACAACAACCTGCTCACCACGATGATCATTGACGATCCAACGGTTGATTACGTGCGAAGTGTGGAAGACGTGTGTATTCCAATGATCACTCGGTTTGATCAATTGATGTTCGTGTTCCGCGATATGGAAGGCAAGATGATACGACTGAATGGTGAATTCGAACTCCAGTTGACGATTGAAGACGTGTACGAGCAAAGTGAAAATAGCGTCACTTCTGCTAATCAGTTCTCCATGATTGAAGTGTTCGGTAATACCACGAAGAAGGAAGTGAAGCTGGACAATCCTCTCTCGTTCGACCAGTGCTACATCTCGTCTGTGTCGTTGTATACGGACTTCGTGTTGCACAACGTGCCGACTGACCAAGTGGTGCTAATCAATGCTGGCGCTACGATTCAAGAGATCGCGATACCACGCGGTGCATACGACATCGAAACGATCATTGCAAAGCTGAATGCAAGTGATGCCCTGTTCGAATTGGTGTATAGCGGTGAGAATGCGTTCCACATCACGGTAGATCACTTCTACATGATTGATTTCACGAATGCACCAGAGATCAGGTCGATCCTTGGTTTCGAATCGGACATCTTGGTGAAAGGAGTGGATAACCCGAAGCGCTACTACCTGTCTTCCTCGTGTAATCACGTGGTTGTTACTGATGACAGGGAATCGCACATGTTGACATTGCCTGTCGGTTACTACACGTTCAGCGAGTTCATCGAGGCTGTCGGTGCTGAAATGGTGAAAGTGCTTCCTCTCATATCCATGACGATCGAGGATGATCATGTACGATTCAATGTCCAAGCAGACGGATGGTATTTCGATCGATCCAGTGTTGACACGACGATCGATGGTTTTGGTTGGACTCCATGGTTCAAATTGACATCAACGGTACGCAATCTGTGCATCGAACGACCTGTGGAAACTTCGTTCAACCCTGAAAGCGATTCCCCTCCTGATATGACGAATGATCAAGGTATGGGTGGTCATGCGTACATAGGATCAAACACCTTCATTGCGTATGACTGGAAAATGCGTACGAATGATAATCGGTTCCTGCTAAAGCCTCTCGCGACATACACGATGCGTTTAGCTGATGGTTCAGTACTCGATAGTGGTGAATTCTACATAACGGAGGATACGTCTACCCCGATCAAGATGAGTACTCTTACAACCACATGTTTTAATGAGCTCAATGCTCGATATGCGAGTGCTATGGAGCTACCTCCATCTCACCAGAATGCGATTGCATGGACGGTGAATGACAATAGAGAAAGCATGTCATGGACTGCGAAGGACTATGCACCAGAATTGGAATTGCATATCACATCGGAAAATACAGGTGACTTGGTGTCATCGAATGGTTCTTCGATCGGACCTTGGTATTCCAAGGATAGTATATATCACACGAGAGTGTTTATCGATACGACGAATTTTATACTTGGAATACGTGGATATGGCGAAAGACCTCTCACAATCCAACGAGGTCATTATAGCGCTATTGATATCGTGAATATGATCGCTAATGTGATCAATAAGATATATGTAGATGCATCTCTCGGAGGGTACTTGGTATATGTCATTGCAGATAATGGTGGTCGAGTACGAATGGGATGTCGAAATGGTACAGAACCACGATTCATATTGTTTTGTGATAATCCATGTTTCAAGATTATACCCGGACCATACGCTGAACCAGGTGGTGTGTATCTGTCTTGTTATTTCGAGTTTTATCGCAATTACTACATCAGGATGCCCGAGTTGACATCACCTTACGAGTTTGCGATGGCAAACATCGATGGTCTGAATGTGACGAATATGATCAAAGGTAGTACGTATTCCGATCGTGCTGTGTCGATCGAATTCATACAACCGACACGTGTTACGTATGTGAGGAATGATGAAGTTGTTGTTCCATCATTGGCTACCTTCGTTGACTGGGAACAATCTGAGTCGTACACGGCTAACACAACGATTCGCTTCCCGTACGGAATGATGACACTGGACGAAGGGGGAAGCAGTGCTTCCCCCGAGACTGATATCACGTACACGGATGACACGGTGAACCACACGTGGACCATACCATCACGATTGACACAGGCTGACATGATATGGCGCATGAATCAATGTTTTGACTCGGCTGCACTGAAGATACGATGGAAAGCTGAGTCAGATGGGTACTACATTCACGCAGACTACGTGTTCTCGTTGAGTGGCAACCTGGGAACCATCGTTCCCGCTTCAGGATCGCAATCGCATACATGGCGTATCCCTTTCGACGATGGTGTGTACTATGCCAACTATGGTCCGATGGTTTCCGAGTATCCTGTCGATATCACGAACGGTCTATCGAACATACAGCTGTATTGCAACATCGTGAAAAGCAAGACGATACCACTGCTTGCGAATGTCCCGATGGACAGCTTGTACAAGAATTACTTCTACAAGAATCGCATGTTGGTACCATGTTCTGAATTGCTTGATCGCATCGTGTACGAATTGAAGGACGAAAATGGTGACCCGCTATCGTTCATTGGGAACGTGTACCTGATAATCGGCTTTACTGTGATAGATAAATGAATCTAGTGTTCAACATTGCTCGAACGTACGAACATGAATTCACGAGTAACAATCTCATCAAAAGTGACATGGTAATCGACAGAGTGACTATGAAAGGCGATTCGACTGGCACCTGCCTTGTCCTTGATCGAGTGAACAACATGCAAGAACGACGACAGTTTCCGTTGGTTGTACTGAACCAACAGTGTACGGAGAATGCACACATGAACGTCGTGGTACCCAAAAGTCGCAAATGGTCATTCTCGTTGACCGATAAGACTGGTGCAACGATTGCCTTACCAATGCCGATTACAGTGTGCATTCACTTCCACACAATAAATGAGTCATAATCGTGCACTACCGGTAAGTGTGATTAACCACAATACAGTAATTCCGAAGAACAACGAACGATACCATGAAACGTTCAATACCGTGATAATGCCTCGTGACCTTGTGTACAAGATCACTTCGATTACATGCAAGATCGATACCACTTCTCTCTGGAACATTCGTACAATGAATGTGGTGAAGGTTCAAATGCTGTCAGGGTTTGAAATGGTGTACAACGTCGGTCCTGGCTACTACTCGATTACCGAGTTATGCCGTGCGATAGCCGATTCCATCCAGGTAGACGATGTTAACCGAGCACACCTGAACAGTGACGTGGCGACCGCTGTTGACCTTAGTGGCGCACCTGATTACACGAGTATCCTCAAGTTGGAAGGTATCGTTGAGGCAGGCATGGTAGCGAGTGAACCCTACGACATCACGAATGGCATGAGTGTGATCCGAGTGTACAGTAGTATCAATGCTCAAACATTCGGTCTGAAGAGTCCGCTGATCGATAACCTGATTCATGTATCGATGGGACTGAACAACATGATCACCTGGGACAACCTATCGATCGATGTGATTGAACAAACGAACCTGGATTCCATTGATTGGGTACTGACAGATGCGAATGACAATCCGATCTCATTGAATTCGAATGTGTACATCTCATTTACGATATCTTGTAAGCACAACTTCAGTAAAGAATGGATGAATACGTTGCTACAATTCCAATCATTCGATTCAAACCACACAAAGTGAAATCGAGAAACATGATGGACAAAATGTTGAATCGATATTTCGATAATGTCGTTGAAAGTGAATTCAATCAACAACGAATGAGGAGTGAACAATGGCGACAGAAGCGAACCTTGTTTGATTCGTACATGAATCTCTCACCTGCTGAACGTCGTCGTGTATCCGTCTCGGACATGCGTGGATATCAAATGCAGCGAATTGATAATGAGAACATGCTGTTGTATTCATTCGAGGACAACGTGGTCTACAATGTTAAAATTGACAAACAATTCAACAAGATCATTGTTCAGTCTGTGAATCACGAGTTGTCTGATATGGAGAAACGAGCTGTGTTTGATAATCCATTTGGATATGAGCCAGTATCGCCCTATCGCATCCGCTACCAGAGATTACAGGTTGGCAATGCACAAATCGTGAATCTGCCTGGTGATGTTGGAGTCAGCATCAACGAAATGAAGAATACTACTGAAACCATAACGGTTGCAGCTCAACGAATGGGAGATAGTATCAACACATTTAATCTATACAGTGTATCGTTTCATAATGATATTAATAGCCTACGAACTGTATTATCTTTAAATGCCGACCCAGAGGAAATATATCTACTATGGAATGACGACAACAGTACGGTATACGTTTATAGCTTAACACAAATAGCAAAGCGGGGTAGTCAGGAATACTATAATTTGCTATCTGAAGGTCGTGTTGAACATGGTCAATGGTTGATTAGGCCCGAATCACGACATGTGGATCTAAGAGTGAAATACAAGAGATGAATGTACCGCCTACGATAATCGAGATGGATGTGGCGCCCATTATCGCCAAGTTGAATGAAGTGATTACTGTGATGAAGAATTTTGATATTTAAATGAACCTTGGCAATATTTATGGAACAATCAACCAAGTAGCACAACAATTCAATTTCTTAGAATATGAGCAGAATGGCTACCCTATGATGATGAAATTGTTGGCAAACGTTAATTCTAGATTGACAAATACGAACCAAGGAATCAAATTGTTAAGTGCCACATATGCTGAAGTGGCAAAGAATCACTCAATATATTCGAATTCACTCTGTTACCTGGATACGATGACAACTCCGAGGATAAGTATGAGCTATTCACGTGTTATCAAGTGTCCAAGCCGAAAAGGAAGAGTGGATATGTGTCACTTTGCATCGTGAATGACACACGTAGTGAGAAAGTTCTTCCAAAGCACTTCTTGTACATCAAGGACTTGAATGATTTCAAACATCGCATGACACGACAGAACGATGTGAAGAATAGAAATATAACGAGAAACGTGAAGTGCAGATTCTGTGACGACTTCTTTGGATCTTGCAAAGCCGTTCATGCTCATGAAGTACAAGCACATCGAGAACTCGTCAATGATAGCGAAGAGAACGAGTTGTCGAACGAGGAGACTCGGTTACGATTCACCAACCAGAGATACGAAATGCCAGCACCGGTCGTCGTGTACGCTGACTTCGAGTCAGCCATTGACAACAAGAACAGACACAAGCCCATCATGTTATCCTCTCTAGCCGTGTCTCGTATCCCTGCCATCCAGACTCAACTGAGAGTCTTCCATGCACCACACGGGAGAACGAAGAGGACCTTCGTCCTTTCATGGACTATCTCACAAAATTGCACGAGAGAGTGAAAGAATACCTCTTCGATGAATTACCCCTCGAGAACCTTCCAAGCATCGAGAAGGACTTTCGTTCAACAACTGTGTGTCCCTTCTGCCACAAGAAACTAGAGGATGACAAGGTGAGACATCATGTACCTGTGGCAGGTGAATACACCACAGAGAATGGAGAGGTACGCCACTTCAAAGCTGGGCAGTACATCTGCACCTGTTGCACCAAGTGTAATCTCCAACTCTCGTTCAACAAGAAGAACTATCGATTGCCAGTCTACTTTCACAATGGATCGCACTACGATTTCACATTCATCATGAAGCTCATCGCAACTCATTCAACCTCTAGTGACTCCTTGGAAGTTATTCCAACCACTGAGGACAAGGAAATACAGAATGAGTACAACGGCATTCAATTCAAGGACTCGTTGAAACTCATCAGTAGTCCACTGCGTTCCATTGTGGCACAGACACTTGGAGGCAACTTGGACCTCTATGTGCACACCAAACAACAACTACGCAAATACTGTGAATCTCGAGGCAAGCAATGGAGTGACGAGTACATCGATCTATTGACACGGAAAGAACCCATGTTCTACAGTCTCATCAAATCGTACGAGTCATTGAACAATACCGTCATTCCATCTCGCGAGCAATGCATTGATGATATGAAGGGAGAGATGATGCCCCAAGACGAGTATGATCACATGGTGAAGCTGTGGAAGACATTCGATATCAAGACATGGTATGAATACTACGAATTGTACAATGTACTCGATGTGACTCTCATGGCTGATGCATTCGAACACTTCCGAAACACCACACTGAATGCATTCGGTGTTGATCCAATGCATTACATCACAGCACCACAAATGGCCTATTCGCTCTTCTTGAAGGTCATGATGGAGGGCGATCATAGTGAGAGTAGCCTCATGACCCTCGCAAGGAAATGGGCTCAGTACATCATGCGCATTAATGCGAATGAGGGTCTCGCCGAGAAACAACTTGTGAAATTGTTCTTGAATCGCATGGGTGAGTTCTATGAGAGCAAGGGAATTCGATTGATGGAGACAAATGATATCGATGACTTCATGCGATTGTTGAAGAACCTGCGAGGAGGTATCACACAGATCGTGAAACGACATGCCAAGGTCAACATTGACAACAAGGAGCAAGCAACGTCGTCCCAAGGCATCTACTACCTGGACGCCAACAACCTGTATGGAGGAGCCATGCATCGAATGATGCCTTACGAGTTGGTGGGTGTACCTGAGCGACGAGAAGTGATGGAGAAGATCAATCGTGACCCAAATGGATGGGTTCAATCACTCAACACGTTCGGCAAGTATGGGTTCTTCATCGAATGTGACATCGAGGCACCAGTGGAACTCCACGACAAGTTCAATGACTTGCCATTCTTTCCCGTACAGCAGGCGGGTTTGTACTCCGATGGAATCAAGAAGTACGCTGAGAAGAACGACATTGTGGACAAAGTGAAAGAGGTGAATACACCGAAGCTCATCTGCGATCTTGTACCTCGTCGCAAGTATCTCGTGCACTACTCTCTGTTGCAACTGGGCATTCAACAGGATTATCGTGTCACACACATTCACCATATCATTCGATTCAAGCAGACACCGTTCATCTTCGAGTATGTGAACATGTTGAGTGAGAAACGAGCCAAATCTAAGACCACTGTGCAGAAGAACCTGTACAAGCTGTTGGCAAACTCGACCTATGGCAAATTCGTGGAGACTGGGCTGAAACGGATGAAAGTGAAGTTCGCTAACACATGAAATGAACGTGAGGCAATCATTCAGAAGCATGGGTACGACATGATCGCTGGGACAACCATGTATTCCGAGAATCTGATCGGCATCAAGTTGAATACACCGGTGCGCAGGGTGGAGAAGCCATTCTTCATCGGGTTTGCCATTCTCGACATGTCCAAACACATCATCTACGATTTCTACTACAATGTGCTCAAGAACACATTCGATAACGTGGAACTGCTAGGACAGGACACGGACTCACTCATCGTGCAGTTGCACGATCGCGGTAACATCGTTCACAAGATGTGTGACATGTACAAATCGTTCGACTTCTCGGAATTGGATAACACGAGCTACTTCTATGGAGAACTCGTGAAGTACTATGAGCATGAAGTGGACAAGAGCAAGTTCCCTTCATTGGACTCGTTCCTCAACTTCAACAAGAAGTTGCCTGGTCCTATCTTCAAGGACGAGCACAACGGACATCGCATCACGGAGTTCGTGGGACTGAGACCGAAGATGTACTGTCTGGTTGATGAGAAGCAAGTGATACACAACGCAGCAAAGGGAGTTCCTCGCAATGTTGTGATCGATGGTGAGAGGATGAGCGTGAAGAATATCGACTTGTACAAGCGTGTCCTTGAGGCAGAGAAGAAGAAAGATGCAGTGATCGAAGGAGCTTCAAACGTATCAACAACCAGGCCTTCGATATCAGCACGAAGGAGCAAACCAAGACCCTTATGACGTGCACAGACAACAAGCGATGGATCTTGGACGACAACGTACACACACTAGCGTTTGGACATTACCGATTGAAGGACATGTAATGCCCCTCTGTAAAGGAAATGTTGTTTTTACTTTTTTTTCTTTATCAAACAGTGTATAAAGGGCAGACAATTACCACATTGGCAGAAAATGGCCGAAAAGGTTTTCGCGCTTTTTGCGCCATGGTACTCGAGGTTGCCGAGCAGACAATGGTGGTCAGGCAGAAAAAGGAAGCCAGGTAGGAAATGGTAGAAAAAATGGGTTCCCGCTTTTTGCGTCGTGGTCCCTGAGGTGACCAGGGAGAAAAAAAGGAGGCCAGGTTGAAAAAAGGAGGCCAGGAATAAAAATGGCAGAAAAAGGGCCGAAAAAATTTTCGCGCTTTTTGCGTCAATTACTAACTACTATATATATCGAAGTAATACAAGTAATTGTTAACCCACATAATAATGTGCTTCTAGCTGTAATACAAAACCGACAACTTATTATCCTTGTTGATTACTTATCTTATTACTTGCTACAATGCGATATTTTCCTATGTGTATTTTTGCTCTTTGACATAAGGGTTAGTCTTTCAATAATGTGATTCTCTGTGAATGAGTCAAATATGAGGTTTTGCATCATATTCCAGTTATGATAACGACATATAAGTTAAACATTCCCATTAATACAATCAGGGATAGTTTTTTTCACTAAACGCTTATGCCATTTCTATTCTCCTTGATAAGGAATTCACCAATCCTAATCAAATCAATATTTTTGCCTATCTCTATTATATCATTTTACTGTTATTCTCTCCATCCCTATATTTCCTTTCCTTTCTTACTATTACCCTCTATCAAATTTCTTAAACCCAATATATATCAAATTCCCTATCCGTTAGCACCTTTTCAAACTAGCCTTCTCATTTAAGGACATCTACTATTGATTTTGTGAACTATCCATTCATAGATTTGAAAAGTCTGACTAGTTTTGCTTCCCTCTTTTAATCATTCTTTCATCCAGATGGAGAGTGACACAGATATTGATTTTTCTGGATCAGATATTGAAGATTTGTTCAATACAAATAGTCCTGAGTCCCGTGGAGGAAGAGCTGAGTTGAATGCTAAGAACGATGTTTTAGACCAAAGTATTTTGTATTTTCTGGAGCGTTTATGTTATAGAGTATGGTTATGAAACATTCAGCTCGGGTCCTAAACGTTTAGGGTGGCTTTTGAATCTTGTGAATACTACCGTTCCAAAAATTGGTTCTCCCGACCAGTCTGGCTTGGACTGTTTCTTTATTGAGCAAAATGGTAATTTGTTCAAATCGACTCTAATATATCGGTATTTTAATGTTATTAACTTTTACCTAGCCCCTATTTTTATATCGCAACAAAAAAGAACCGTGAAAAGCTTGTGGCAGGATATTTGGAACGAAAATATCGCCAGCAACTCTCTGAAGTTGTGATAATCGAAAAATTGGACCTAGATAAAATCGAGCACATTGTTGGGGAGTGAGCACTGCCTCCTTCCTTCATCCATAGCAAATCAACCTATCTCCGTCTCTTATTCCACAACGTCAGCGATCTCATGGAAGTCCGTTCCGACATCCAGTACTTCGTGAAGAAAAACACCTCCTCCGATCTCGGTGCCTCTCTCTCCGTCCCTTTATTCTAGTCATCGAGCCCGACGAATCTGACGATCTCTCTTCCGAAGACCCCACCAGCGCCATTCTCGACATCCGCGAGTTCGACGTCCCCTACCTCGCTCGTGTCTGCATCGACCTCAATATCCGCGTGGGCTGCTGGTACGAAGTCGTTCCGGAACCCGCGGGAATCCGACTGCTCCGGCAAGAGCACATCCTGACGCCGTCGAACCCGAAAGTGTTCGCGTTCGACATCGAGACGAGCAAAGCGCCGCTGAAATTCCCCGACGCGACGAAGGACGCGATCTACATGATCTCTATCATGATCGACGGGCAGGGCGTGCTGATTATCAACCGCGAAATCGTCAGCAAGGATATCAGCGACTTCGAGTAGAACCGGAGAAACGGGGAATGAGTGGTAGGTTCACGCCACATCCGGATTATAAAGGACCCTTCCATGTGTTCAACGAGCCCTCCGAAGAGCAGTTATTGCGTCGATTTTACGCGATTATCGAGGTGAGGTGTATAACGAGGTTATAACAAGACCGAAAAACCGAATATTTTTGTCACGTTCAACGGCGATTTCTTCGACTGGCCGTTCGTTCGCGACCGCTCCCAGCTGTACGGAATCAACCTGCAAGAGGAGCTGGGGATCCGCGAGGTGAACGGTGAGTTCCGCGGGAGAGCGTCGGTGCATCTGGACGCGTTCGCGTGGGTGAAGCGAGACAGTTATTTGCCGCACGGATCGCAGGGTTTGAAGGCGGTGACGAAGGCGAAGCTGGGGTTTGACCCGATCGAGATCAACGCGGAGGATATGCTTCGGTTCGCGGTGGAAGACCCGTTCTATATGGCGTCGTATTCGGTGTCGGATGCGGTGTCGACGTATTATTTGTATATGAAATATGTGCACTTGTTTATTTATTCGTTGTGTACGGTGCTGCCGTTGAATGCGGAGGACGTTCTGCGGAAGGGATCGGGAACGCTCTGCGAAATGCTGCTCATGGTAGAGTCGTTTAACAACGGTATTATTTACCCTAACAAACAAATCGAATCCCCTTTACGCTTTTTCGATGGTCATTTGCTCGAATCCGATTCCTACATTGGTGGAACCGTGGAATGTCTGGAGAGTGGAGTCTATCGAAACGACCTTCCCTCCGACTTCGCCATGGACGCTTCCGCTTTTGAGGAATTAATCGCGGCCGTCGATCAAATGCTCACCTTCAGCATCGAAATGGAGAACGGAGTGGGCGTTTCATAGGCGTTTCATTGTCTAGCTCCGTCGACACGACATTGCGAATTATGACGAAATTCGGCAGAAACTTGTGTACATGTTAGAACTTCTTCGCGATCGCCCCACTCGTCGTGAAACGCCGGTCATTTATCACTTGGATGTGGGTGCGATGTACCCGAATATTATTCTCTCGAACCGGCTTCAGCCCTCCGCGATCACGTGCAAGGAACGCTGTGCGAGCTGTCCGTATCGTAGCGAGGAGTCGAACTGTTTGCGAGCCATGGCGTGGCGATGGCGCGGCGAGTATTTCCCGCTCAAACGGCAAGAATTCGACCATCTGCGTAGCCAGTACCAGCTCGACAAGCCGCAGAATGAGGAGGCGCTCCCCGCGGAACTGAAGCGGCGCGTGCGGGAGTACTGCCGAACGGTGTATGGGAAGCAGAAGGAGACGAAGATCGAGATGAGAGAGGCGTGGATTTGCCAGCGGGAGCATCCGTTCTATGTGAACACGATCAAGGCGTTCCGCGATCGGCGGTATGAGTGGGGATTGGGGCCGGAAATGAGGAGCAGGTATAAGAAACTGACGAAAGTCGCGGTGAAGAAAGTGGCGGCGGCGAAGGAGCTCGGAGATATATCCTTTGATTGATTGATTGATGGGTGGATGGATGGATTAAATGGATGAATGGAAGGATGGGTTCCACGTTTTGGTTCCACGTTTTGATGGAAAGGGTGGGATGGTTGAGGATTGATAAGTTTTGGTTTATTGTTTCCACGTTTCCACCCTTTTGTTTGTATTTCCATTTTTCTCAGTATGTTTCCACTCTTTTTTTCCCCGTTTTCCACCCATCAGTACCCACCAAACCATCCACTCATTCATTCATTCATCGACCCATTCATTCATTCATTCATTCATTCATAAACCGTTTCGTTAACCGCACCCCGTGAAAATCGCGGAGGCCAAATCGCTCGTTCTTCTCTACGATTCGCTGCAGCTCGCTCACAAATGCATCCTCAACTCCTTCTACGGCTACGTTATGCGCAAAGGCGCGCGCTGGCGATCCATCCAGATGGCCGGCGTGACCACTCATCTGGGAGGCACCATCATCACGGTACCCCGTTTCCACGTTTCGCTGACGCGCGTAGGGCGCTCGGAAGTTGGTGGAGCGCGTGGGGCGTCCGCTGGAGCTGGACACGGACGGGATTTGGTGCATTCTGCCGCACAGTTTTCCGCAGTCGTTCAAATGGAAGACGAAGGACGGAAAGGAGTTTCCGATGGCGTACCCGTGCACGATGCTGAACTACCAAGTGCACAAACTGTACACGAATCATCAGTATCAAACGGAAATCGATTCGGTGCATCATGTGTTCAATACGCGATCCGAGAACTCGATCTTTTTCGAATTGGACGGACCGTATCGCGCCATGGTTTTGCCGGCTTCCACGGAGGAGGGACGGCTGTTAAAGAAGCGATATGCCGTGTTTAATCTCGATGGCTCCATGGCCGAGTTGAAGGGATTCGAAATGAAACGCCGCGGGGAACTGCAGATCATCAAAATCTTCCAGACGCAGGTGTTCGAGCGCTTTTTGCTGGGCTCCAATTTGAAAGAATGCTACCAGGAAGTCGCCAAAATCGCCAATTACTGGCTGGACGTGCTCTTCCGAAAAGTAGAAACGTGGAAACCGGTAGAGAGTAGGGGGAAGGACTGGAAGACGAGGAGTTGTTGGAGTTGATTTCGGAGTCGAAGTCGATGTCCCGCAAGATCGAAGAGTACGGCAAACAAAAATCGACGAGCCTCACCACAGCACGCCGATTGGCTGAATTTCTAGGCAATGAAATGATTCAAGTAGGTCGCTTTGCTCCCCCTTCAAGAGTTTTCTTTTTTTTAAATCTTTCTTTTAACTTTTAAAAAATCTTTGGTTTTGATTCTTTGGAGGGGGAGATGGAATTGTTTAACCAATAGTCTGCCGGTACCACCTCCAATATGATCATCTCCCGCTTCCCCGCGGGACAGCCCGTCACCGAGCGGGCAATTCCGACGCCCATCTTCAACACGGAGTCCAAAATTCGGAACTATTTTCTGCGGAAATGGTCGCACGACTCGTCGATCACCGACTTCGATATCCGCAATTTCATCGACTGGGACTACTACATCGACCGTTTCTCCAACACCATCCAGAAGATTATCACCATCCCCGCGGGAATCCAGAACATCGACAACCCCATCGACCGCGTCAAGGAGCCTGATTGGCTGAAACGCCTCATGGAGCGAAACCGCTCCTCCGCCAACCAGAGCAAAATCAGCGGCTTTTTTAGCGTCTCCAAAATCCCCGCGGGAGTGAAAACAGCCAAAAAAGCACCCATTGGGGAGAGTGAAAAACCGCGGGAGAGCGAAGCCGCGGAAATCGAATCTCCCAATGAAATCAATGAAATCAATGAAATCAAAGAAATCAATGAAACCGTGGAAACCGTGGAAACGGAGAAACCTCGGGCATCGGTGAAGCGGAACGCGGATTTTCCCGCGTGGCTGGCGGAAAGGAAACGCCAATGGCGTGAAAAAACGGGCGGATTTTCGTCAACGCGGTCGGAAGTTTCATCGAGCTCGGCGTCGAATTCCCGCGGGTATTACCAGATTCTGGAGATCGAGCCACCGACGAGCGGGAATGAGTCGTATTTCTGGGTGCTGAATCCCGCGGGGAAGCTGCAGAAACTGTCGGTGCAGGTGAATCACGTGCTGGTGGTGCACAGCGCGAATTCGATCGAAGACCCGCGGTTCCGGCCGGTGCAGCTGACGCTCCCCGTGGAAACGGAGGTTTCCCGCGGTTATCTCTACGAGCTGGAGGTGAAACCGCGGGAATTGAAGCGCACGTTGGAGGAATTCGATCGAAGTTCGCTGTCGAATTCGATCCTGGGCGTGTACCAGGCGAACGTTCCAATCGAATTCCGGGCGTTTCTCCGAACCGGGTGCGTGGCGAAACTGTCGCTACCGAGCTCTGCGATAACCACGGGAATCATGAAGCACGCGGTGAACCTGGGTCGCGACCCGCTGGAATTGTCCCGATTTCTGCCATTGGAGGCGGCGGACGCACCGTATCTCACGTTTTGGTTCGACCAATCCGCTGAGGCGTAGAAACGAAACTGCCAAATTCACGCGGATTTTTCTCTATGTCAATCTCCTCGACAAAAACCGCGGGTTGTGGGCCGTCTTCCGATTGGTCGATTCCAACCAGGAAAATCCCGCCGATTTCCGGAATTCCCGCCTCGACGTCCTCTTCGTCGAGCAGAATTCCGCGGGGAAACGCACCGACGACCGCGTCCCCTTCAAGTCCCTCCTCGCCCGGGAGTTTCACGCTCCATCCCCGCGGGAGAACGTGGTTACCGCGGAAATCCAGACGAGCTTCGAGGGCTGCATAACCGCGGTTAATCGCTATCTGGAGGCGTACGCGGCGTCGGCGCACGCGGTGACGCTGGTGCACGCGCATTCGCCGTTCTCCCGCGGGGAACTGCGCGGCTGGCTGCGCGCGCTGAATGAATTCCCGCTGCTGAGCGAAACGCCCGGCTACGCGGAGGGTCACGTGGGCGAGCTCACATGGCGGCGCGAACTCGCGGGGATCGCCATCCGGGCCTTCGCGGAGAGTTTCACCAGTTTCCACGATCGGATTCAGTGCGCTCGGTATGCGCGGATCCCCGCGGGGAACGTGGCGAGCGACATGAGCACGCAGATCAACGACGTGCTGTTCGCGCGCTATTTAACCGCGAATAAGTGCATTCTGTGGTGCTCCCCGCGGGAAACCCCCGATTTTGGCGGCGTCTCGCTTCGCGGTTTGGGTGGGCGTTTCATGTTCGGAGGTTTTAAATGTGTAGATTGGGTGGGTTCGATTCCCGCGGTGAACGAGAGCGGGCTGGTGCGGAGCTTCGTGTTCGATGTGTCGGTGCACAACGTGGTGCTGAACGCGATCCGACAGTGCGACCAACTGCAATGCTCGCTAGGAGGCGATGTGGTGAGCGCGGATGATCGCTGCGGTCACGTGTTCGAAGTACTGCGACTCTTCGTCGCGGGACTGTTACAGGATGTTGTCGCGGAACACAGTTCCATAGCGAACTTCGCGCTCATGCATCTTCATCGATGGCTGCTCTGCCGCCAGGCCCTCTGTTTCCACCCTTTGCTGCTCCGCGTCGTGCACCGCTTGACCAAAATCCTCCTTAATTCCGTACTCCACAAATCGCCTTTTTTTTGTTAATCTCATCCATAGATGTGTAACGAGATGAAACGCCTCGGCCTGCAAGTCATCTACGCCGACGAAACGCGCATGGTGCTCGCTACGCGCCGCTTCTCCCTCGAGGACAGTCGTCAATCCATGAGGTACGTTTTGCCACACCGCGCTTTTCTCTCCGCTCCCCGCGGGACATCTGATTGGTAGTTTCATCCTGGACACGCTGAGCGCCAAGGAGGCGTTTCAGTTCGTTTCGCTGACCCCGGAGAACGTTTTTGCTACGCTGCTCTGGCTCAATCCCAACAATTTCGAAGGCTTCCGCGTGTGGAGCGCCGATTTGCTCGACCAGCCCGCCGCTATCAAAGTAGTCCCGATTTCTGGAATTCCAGAAATAGGAGGAAATCGTGGAACGCTGGGCGCTGACCTCCATTCTCCCCGAAACACTGCGGAATTATTTCGAGGACGTCGTGGTCGCGCTCATCCAGCGACCCGTGGAAAACCGCGGGAAAGTCGTGCAGAAAATGGCGGGAAAACCCGTGCGGAACGAAGACATCGCGCAGCAGGAAGCGGAATTCGTGCGGAATCTGGTGCGGAACACAATTCATCCCGACTTGCTTCGCATGGTACACAATTCCAAAAAAAGTCCCGATTTTTGTCGTAGATTTCGGAATTCAACTCGATGAATGTGGACGAATTGAAGGCGTTCCCGCGGGAATTGACCTCGTTATACCGGCTAACGACTCCAATCCTGGAACTGGTGAAACTCCTCTGCAAGGTGATCAGTCTGGATAAAACCGTGGAACAGGAGGCGGTGATCATCCGCCGCCAATTGCTTCGCAACCTCAAAGTGAAGGAATTCGCGGGGGAGGCGCAGTTTTCGGACCCGTTTCATTCGTTCGTGATCCCCGCGGTTGTGTGTCCGTACTGCAATTTCACGGTGAATTTGGACATTTGCAGCGATCCGGAGTTGCAGGAGTCGGTTGGTTTTTTTGGCGGCAAATGAGGGGTAGGCGAAGATTCGGCCGTGGCGGTGCCGCGAATGCGACAGTCCGTATGACATGATGAGCATCGAGATGGCGCTGATTGAGATGTGTGGACAGATGGTTTATGGGTATGCGACGCAGGACTTGAGCTGTAAAAAATGCCAGCAGATTCAGCGAAGCAATCTGGACATGTATTGCTCATGTAGTGGAAACTGGGGAAATAAGGAGATGCAAGCGGAGAAGGTGCGGGAGCTGATGAAGATTGTGAAGGAGAAGGCGGAGTTCCATGGCATGAAGTGGCTGAGTGAAACGTTGGAGCGATATGGCATAGAGTGAATGATTGTTGTTGTTGTATGAGAAAGGAAGAGGGAAGGTGTTCATAGTCTTACTAAAAATGGGATTTGTTGGAGTTTGTTGAAATAAGGACTGGGGTGATTCATGGGTGTGGTGAGATAAGATATAAAATTAAAAAATATACACTAAATATGTATGTATGCAACCATAGCAACCATCTCCATAATAAAAAAACTGCAATTCTTACACCGACTCCATCTACTGAAATGTTTCTTCCAATTTAACACGATCTCCTTTGCACACCAACATTCATTTCGACTCTCCTATTCAATTCAAATGATGTTCCTCTTATCAAATCGAACACTTCTAACTGTCCCAAGGTTATATTTTGGGATATTTGGGGACATTTTGCGCAATTGGTCCTTAATAACCATCTTTTAATCCTTTTTTTAGAGATGAACCATCTTCTTTGTACTGTGTTATTTTGTGTGTGTATTGCTTGCGTATGGCGTTTCTATGGTGTCTTAATGTAGGCGGCTGATTTTACCGAATTTGCTTATTTTGATATTACTATAGATGATAAAAATGCCGGAAGAATCATTATCGGCTTGTAGGCGCTGTATTGTGTGGCTAAGGTGTAGGTACGGTGATGTTGCTCCAATCACCGTAAGAAATTTTTTGGCTCTCTGCACTGGAGAGTACGGAATAGGTAAGATGGGAAAACCCCTTCATTTCAAAAACTCTGTGTTTCACCGGATAATTCCCGGGTTCATGATTCAAGGTGGTGATATCACTCGCGGCGACGGTCGAGGCGGCGAGAGTGTGTACGGTGATCATTTTGCGGACGAGACGTTTGCGATAAAGCACGATCGTCCAGGGATCGTGTCGATGGCCAATGCAGGCAAAGACACAAACGGATCCCAGTTCTTCATCACAGTCGTAGGCCGTACGACCATGATGTCAATGCATAGAGCGCCACTCCCTGGCTGGATGGTCATCACGTAGCGTTCGGCGCGGTGACGAAAGGAATGGATGTGGTGTCGGCGATCGAGGCGTGCGGAACGCGCAGCGGGAGCCCGACGGCGGTGGTTCGGATCGTGGATTGCGGCGTGTTGGCAAGCGATCAAACGGAAGATGAAAATGAAAGTGAAAATGAAAATGAAAATGAAAATGAAAATGAAAATGAAAATGAAAATGAAAATGAAAATGAAAATGAAAATGAAAAGGAGAGAGAAGGAGAAGAGGATGAGGAAGGATTGAGTGTGCTGGAAGAGAAATTGATGGAGAAAGTGGAGAAGAGAGAGAGAGAATTGGGGATTCGTGGAAACGAAGAAGATGACGATGATGAAAATGAAAATGAAAATGAAAACGAACGAATTTTGAATCATGAAAACATTAATTCACTCATTACGGATAACGACATTGAGAATGGGATCGAGCGTGATTTTGAACACTCCAATGCCCAGCAGGCTTTGGACGACGATCCCATCGAGCGCGAGGCGGACCCTGCAAGCCACTCCGCGCATCTCCGTGGCCGCAGCGATCGCAGCGATCGCAGCGAGCAGCTGCAGCTCTCCGCGTTCGACGATGTGGACGCAGAGGAAATCGAAGAAGCCGAGGAGAGCGACAATCGACGCAGCGCGCATCTTCGCGAAGAATCCAATCGCTTCGAGTTGTGTGTTTGAGAAAACAAACCAGAACCAAAACCACGGCACGCATTGAAATCGAGGAGAACTCGCTTCGCTGTGCAGGAAATCGGCTTCGCTCCACGCCAAGCCTGTCGACTCTCCAATCATCTGCAATCTGCGCATCGCCTTGAACCGCAAAAACAGCTCCGTTTCTTCCCATTCTCCGTCTTCCTTGATCACTTCGCGGCTTTCTAGCTTCGCACGCAGATCATTCAGCTCCATCGCGGAAAATGCGGGCGGATAGCGGATTTGGATGTGGAGGAACAACGCTCCGCTCATCCCCGTGCTGCCGATCGGAATTCCCTTGCCCTGGATCGCGAGCTCCATGCCTGCTCATCAACCCAATACGAATTGGAGAAACCGTCGAAACTGGGAAGAGAGCGAGAATAAAAAAAAGTTTCGTTGGAAGGAAGCCGAAGCAACGCCGAGAACCCGAGAAACGATTCCTCAACCGAAATGGAAACGTTCGTGTGCAGATTCTACGCTAAAACGATGGGAAAACCGCGGTACATAGCCATCCACGGAGTAAAAAACGTGGGGCAGCACACGCAGCTTTACAAAAACGTCGCCTCTTCGCCGTAAAAACTGTTCGTTTCCCTGTGTTTCATTGTTGTTTTTTTAAATTGTACAACGCCGCGAAAGGAAATTTCGTAGTCGCTTCGAATCCCTCCATTCATGTTGACTTCCACAAAGTCTTCTATTATTTTTATCTACATCGAATTTTATTTTCTGCGTGTTTTTTACGCCGCTGCCGCCGCAGTGAGAACACGAAAACTCGCTGTTGGGAAGATGGCCACTTCCGCCACAGACGGAGCATACAGTAGAGTAGGAATATCCGATTTCGCGAGAAATCACTGTGCAATATTCGCGAAGACCCGTACCGTTGCAATAAGGACAGACATGAACATGTTCCGGAGTGGAGACTCCTGTGCCACGGCAGTGTGGACAGATGGATGTGCGGTTAAAATAGAGCGTTTGGGAGCGAATTCCTTCATAGAGGGAAGAGAGAGGGATGGGAAGAGTCAACATAATGGCTGGCGCTTTGGCCAATAAGCGCGGCTTAAAAGTGGCTTCAAATCGGTAATACTAGGAATCATCCAACCATTCTATGAAGACTGGAGAGAAGGAGTGAAAAGAAAATGGCTGGTTTGTGTATTGCTTTGTTTGCTCCTTCTCTTGCTCCGACTAGATAAAATCGAAAATATAGAATAAACCTCTTCCCCACCCAAATCATAAGTTCGCTTCTTGTCGGGATCTGAAAGAGTTTCATAGGCTTTTACAATCTGAACCATGTAAGGAAAGAATAGAAATAGCCACTTCCATAAAACGATTTACATCTTCCTCTGTGGGATTCCGTAGTTTATCAGGATGAAGGGTTAAGGACAGCTAGACGATAATACCAATTCGTTTGTTCTCACCTTATAGTAAGCTTTCTTGATTTCCTTCAATTCCGCGAGTGGACTCACTCCCAAAATCTATTGATAATTCCAAAGGTCACACTTTCTCACTTCATAGTACGATTTTGCTAAAACTATGTAGAATAGGAGTATATCCACAAATAAAATAGAGAAGAGTGTGAATTGTCCTCTCATGGTAACATCTCTTTGGAATTGCCTGCTTGGTTTGCATATTATGTATGATAAATGATGAATCGAAGTGAAGGCCTGCTGGTCTAGTGGTATGATTCTCGCTTAGGGTGCGAGAGGTCACGGGTTCGATTCCCGTGTAGGCCCTTTTTTCCCTATTTTTTCTATTTGCGATTATAAACAAACAAACAAATAAACAAACAACTCAGATTGAAATGTCACTGTCAATCTGTTTGGTTGACAGATGCTGCAAACTCGAAGGATGAATGGTACACTGCTCGAGTTGTGGGAGCTCTACGTCTGATTTGTCTTCCATTGAATGATACCCAATAATACCAATTTGGAAATATAAAAAAAGGAATCTTTCTCGACGCTCAGTCTCTTCAACGCGGGCAGATTGCGCAGAGACAACACATTCGAGAACACAAAACAGCCCTGTCCGATTTGCACTTCCTCCAGCGACCCCAAATCCGACAAAGCAAACACGGGACAGTTCGTGAAACTATAGGAAGTGGTCGAATTGCTTCCGATGTGGATTTCGCGAAGACGAGGCGTGTCTGTGCTCGTAATTGCTGTTTCAAAAATAACATACTTTTCACCTCAAAAACCACAGTGTCAACGAACGAATAGGGATCGATGTCCACTCGAATCAGCTGAGGCAAATCTGTTTTGTTAGTCTTCTGCAATCTTCGCAGCTACCCGAAAGCACAAATCGTTTGTTTAAAAACGCGGATTCACGTCGCCAACGTTCTGGATCTTGCGTGATGGAGTGCGGATTTAACTGAGAAGCGCAGTTGGATTGAATGGAAAGAGTTTGGAGCGAAGGGAGCGATGAGAGCGTGAAATCGGTGAGCTTGGGAAGACTGTTGGCTTGGAGAGTGATGGAAAGAAGCGATGGGAGATCTGGGGAATGAAAAGTTAAAAAGAATGAGAAAACAATCGAAGGAGATGGTAGCGAGGTGTGGAAAGGATTCGGGGATTGAGAGAAATCGAATGGAAGAATCGTTTAAGCACAATGTTTCGAGATTCGGACATTTCAGCAATAACTGAAAAAACAAGTCGACGTATTCCTGCGATAAACTCGCAGCAACATCATCTACAGAAAATGAAAGCAGGATTCGAATGGTTCTACTTTGCAATCGAAAGAATTCAATTACACACTTCGTCTGCGACTTTGCGCTTTTCAACAAATCCGTTACCGCCAATCCATTCATCGCAGCGATCACGATTTTGCGACCAAAGAAACAACGACCGGAGTGATTTTTCAGCGTTGTTGCCGTGATGGTGGAATTTTGAGGCGAGAACGAGAGAAACAAACTGTGATCCCACACATTTCCGTGGTAGAAATAACCGCGGTACGCCACATTCCCATCGGAATCAAACTGGGTGCCAAACCCTTCTTGCTTTCCGTTCAAATAGAAGCCTTCAAATGTGAGTTGCTTGTTTGGAACATCGCGATAACACGAGCACAATCCATGCGGCAAGCCGTGGCGAAAGGTTCCCTCCATGATCACGTTCTGCGATTCCGAATACAGAACGCCATTTCCCTCCAATTTCCCGCGGGAAAACATTCCGCTACTCTGAACCGCTCCCGAGGGGAAGAAGGTTTTCCCCGCTCCTTCGAACAACCCATCTTTGAAGCCTCCTTCATACACTTTCCTGTCATTCTCGTCATACAAAACGCCTTGGCCGCATGGAATTCCACCGATTCGCTCGCCTTCGTAGCGACTCGTCTTCCCATTCGATGGCGACTCGACTGCGAGCGGCGCGATGTACTCCTCCAGTGGCTCAAAGGGAATCATACATCCGCTCTCCGTCTCTTCAATCTTCACGCGATCGAAATAGCCCTTCTTCACCACCAATCCCTGGCGATCGTACAAGATTCCCATGCCGTGCAGACAATTCTCCGAAAAAGATCCTTCATACACGTCTCCATTCTGAAAGTAGTATGTTCCCTTTCCAGAAAACGACCCCTTTTCCCAGTATCCTTCGTATTTTAGTTGGTTTCGATTGTCAAATAATCGCCCCAGTCCTTGAGCCATTCCGTTCTCCATTTCTCCTTGATAATAGGAAGTAAATCGACTGCAAGTGGGGCGTACAAAGGGTTCGGAGGAAATGGGAACGTTTTCTTCTGAAGAGTTAATGAATTCGTCAGAAGGAATTCGTATCGTTTTGTGATGATCAAAACTATCCACAATCGATACGATCAAATTGCATTGCTTATCAATCAGCAACGTGATTCGGATTTCGACTCCTCCGAATTCAAGCTGCGCGGATGTGTATTCGAGTGGGATAAAAGTAACAGGAACAAGATCTTCCACTTTGTAGGAATTGCCTCGTAAAAGGGAAAGAACCGCATTTCTGTTTTGAGAAAGCGAAAAGAACAAAGTGGATGTGGTTTGTGTGGGAAGCGGAATACCTTGCTTCAGAACCACCATTGCAAAGCCATCTTGAATAGCGACACTCAACGAATGATCCAAAAAGGCAAAATCATTACACAGAGAGGGCTGCAGTTGATTCACTTGATCCGTGATTCGCGACATAAAAGACTTGAGAGACAGATTAACGCCTTGGAAGCATCTTCGGACCACTGGAAGACTGGAATACAGCCCATCTAACAAAACAGATACATTATTTTGAACCAATTCGCACCATTGAGCAACAATTCCACATAGTTGCTTCAGATTATCGGAAAAGGAAAGAGATTCCTTCAAACTTTCCTCGATTTGCTTGTATGTGACTTGATACGATTTGAAAGAAAGAAAGGAGGAGTGGAATGCAATCCGAAAGCAGGAAATCTCCTTATCCGAGTCCAAATCAGGCAAAAGTCGAAAGAATTCGTACGATCGGTGAAGGTGATGTCGAAGTTGAAGTCGAATCGTTCGATACAGGGCTCTCAATTCGTTTTCTGGAATGGATGACTGGCTCGAATAAAGCGACTCGATGACTTTGTTTGTCAAAAGATGAAGGGGATCCGGATTTTGGATGGGGAGCAAAACACGCTCTCGAATCTCGGACGTGTTCGTATTTACCAAACAAGCATAAAACAGAAACTCGGTACACTCGATATAAATGCAATACTCCACCGAGGAATAGACAAAGGAATAAAGTGAATAACTACAGGAATGGAGAGATTGCAAGCTCGACAGCACAACCTCTCTCGCCTCCGATGAATAGTAATCTGGAAAAATCACAACCACTTCAGAAAACTCCGTTCCGTATTGCGACTGCCAGGAAAGCTTGCACGCCTTGAAGAACTCGCTCCACAACGTTTGCAGATCGATCGAGTCATTGGATTCCGATTGAACTTTCACCCAGTACCCTTTTGCTGAAGATTCGACAGCTACGGCAGCCAGGTTGTAGTGGGCAATCAGTTCCGCAGTCCACTTTTCGGGAAGGAGCATCCAGGGAAGATTGAACAAGATGCTTTGGTTTTCGAACAACCCCTCATTCTCGACAGAGAAACAATCCATGGCTCGCAACGAGGACACATCCAAGCTGCCCTCGACTTCGATCTCGCCACTTTCGGTATAGAGCCATCGGAACGCGTCAAACAGACGCTGAACGAGAACCACATACCCTTCCTTGACGAGCAGAAATGCAGGATTGGATCCCATGTCAAGTATGAAACAAACACTCCATGCGTCAATATACGTCTTCACAAAGTCGACATATCGCATAATATCATTGAAGTTGGTGAGGTATCCCAGCGAAACGCGGATTCCTCCCACCGGCTTGCCATTGACCATATCGATCTCGTCGGAGCAGCTATCCTTCTCGAGCGACAGCGTTTTCAGCACACTCTCCGGCTCCTTGAGATACTTCCTGCAGGCGCCGGGATTGCAGTGACATCCGGTGCGTACATGAATGTTCTTGGCGGCGGACTCGGTTTGGATCTGATAGTACCCGATATAGCTCCCGTTCGCCCGCAGGAAATTCATCGACAGAATCCCTCCCTGCACGTCCTTATTATTCGCCTCATGCTTTCCATAAATCTCGACGACCGGTCTGCCATTGCTAATCATCATCTCCCATCTCCTCTCCCACGAGTGCTTAATCTGCGTCAGCTGCAAGTACAGATACCGCGTCAGCGCGTACACGTGCTGGTTGATCGCCTCCATCCCCAGCTGCTCCAGCGCGTCCAATCCGTACCGCAAACACGCGATACTCAGGAAATTGATCGTTCCATCTTCGAATCGACTGCACGGCCGTCCCTACTCATCACTCCTCCAAAAAGGGGAAACGTGGAACACGCAGAAGTGCTCTTGGTCGCTGGCGATGGACACCGTGCCGCCGCCCCAGTAGAACTTGTTGAGGATGCCGATGTGCTCGTTGCGGAGGAGCAGCGCGCCGAGTCCCGTGGGGAACCCGAACATTTTGTAGAAGGACAGCGAGACGAAGTCGGGGTGCACTTGAGAGAGGTCCAGGCGGTTGGTAGGGACGAAGGCCGCGGCGTCGAGCAGGACGAGCCACTTGTTGCCCTAGGCGTGATCGGGGTTTGGGGGAAAAACGTCGTGGAAATAGCCGTCTTGGACTTGTTTGATCCAGCTGAGCGGATATTTGACGCCTGCGAAGTTGTCTTCGGCAGGGTACGCGAAGAGGGAGTACGTGTAGTTGTGGTCTTCGTGGCCGAACATTTTCTTGAGGTCGTCTTCGCAGACTTGCACGCAGGCTTCGTCATGAGGCATGTCTTCCTCGTTCATCACTTTGAAGCCGCTCCCGAAGCGGAAGGCGTATTCGCGGATTCCCAGGACGGAGTTGTGGTTCTGGAGTTTAAAAAAATGGCTCGAATGGACGTACTTCGGCCAAATAGTAGAATTTGCTGTTCTTGCTCCAGGGGAACACTTCGCCGACCGTGTGCAGAGCACCTGTCGCTCCGCTCGTGAAAACCACAGAGTAGTCCGCAGGCGAAGCGTTGAAGAACTTCAGCACGCGCTCACGCATTTGCTCCACCTACGCGTGACACGGAACGCGGGGAACATACCAAATGCTCCGTATTCATACTGGAAGGATTGCGGCTGTGGGCATTTCCATACAACCCGCTGAGAAGCAGGTTATTGCACTCCCGCACCTGGGATTCTCGGTACACGCCAGCACCTGTATAGTCCAAATAGACAGCTCCATGAAGACGCTTCATGTCTTCCTCACGAATCGAATCAATCGTATTGTTGTATCCATAGTATTTTCCGAACTGGTTAATAAAATCCGCGAACTCCGGGCGGCTCATCTCTTCAGCAACCGCCTCATCGTCCATAAAGATCGGGAGGTCTTCAAAGTCCACGGAATATGCAAATAGCACAGAAAGTAAGCAAAGAGCTGTCAAGAATTTCATTTTTATGATCTTTCGGATTGAAGAGAATTTTCTAGAAGTCGGTTTCGCATTTGATAAATCGATACAATAGAGTACCCTTGTGAAAGTACACCTTCATACCTCTACTTTTCACCCTACAATTCACCTTTCCTTCTCACATTTTCGATGTTGACCTTACTGAAGAATAGTAATAGAACAGAAAGAGTTCGGATATTGCATCATCGCTCATGAGGTAGATCCTAGTCACACTGAAGGCTTTGGGTTCGACCGACCTTCAGATCACCGAAGTAGATGCGGAGCCTGTACATGAATGCGCTGTATAATCAAATTATAGGAGTTTATTTATCAAAGAGGCGATGTGAAGCTTAATGACTCGAACGAAGTTTTGAAGTAGTTATTTTTGTGCGATTCAACTGTGCAGAGCCTTGTGCGCCGAGTCTCCGCTGTACGGCACGCTTCCTGCGGAAATGAAGGAACAAGCCGACGAGGTGAGTCCGATGTTGTTTTTTCTCATTTTTCAGTGGCTGAAATTCTGTTACGAACAGCTCGAGACTCCAGCGACGGTTCTCACCTGGTTACAAAATGGTACTTTAACGCGTGATCAGGTTCCTCCACTCGTCGATTTTTTGCTTTCTCTCTCACTCGTAGGCCGAGAAGAAAGCGCGATCTGATATCATGATGCTGCTTCGTAAGATCGAGGTGCGTCTGAAGGAATCTCCGTTCCTGGCTGGAAATGATCTCTCGATTGCCGATATCGCGGTGGGAACGTGTCTGCGCCCGCTGTTCGTGCATGTGCTGGGCGAGGTGGAGCGAAAGAACAATCAAAGCATGTGTGTGTGGATCGAAAAGTTGTACAAATCGGTGAGGATGAGGATGGGTTCTGATGCTTAGGCGGCGTTTATGGAGGTGTTTGGCGAGACGACGTTGTTGGTTAGTGCGAAGAAGGGTAAAAAGAAATAGGATGGTTTGTGGATTTGCTTGTTTGTTGGAAAGCCAATTGATGATTCTGTGGATGGGGTTTGGGGGCACAAATGATTGTGAAGACTTGGAGAGTGTGGTGGATGTCCATTCCAAAATAGACTGGGCAGTATTATGATAAGAGATTGGGAGATAAAGAGACACAATGAGGGGAAACATTATGTTGCATCACCATTACCTGAATATTGGGCTGTAGTATAACAAACTCTATAAGGATATTGTTTACATGTGGTACCAGCATAGTTGGAACGTACCCAGAATTAATGGTCGATTTTATGGAATGGAACTAAATAGCAGCAAATATGGTGTAATACTCTCCACCTTTTTTTGAAGAATTCTGTGTATTAAGCCATCTAGCAAACGAACTTATAATACACTTGTTCTAAATATTATTATTATTATTATTATATAGCTAATATGTAATAATAGTAATATATATGTATAAAGGGTGTGTACAGATTGTTGTCTACACAAACCATTACCATCCTTCCTTATTAGCTAATAGTCTATATTCTTATGGCTAAACATTAATATATGCATCCAGCTAAATACTATAAACATACAATTCCCTCTTTTTACTCATTCAGTTAAATTGGAATAAGTGTCCACTATTATATATTTGTAAATAGTCATGCTTAATATTGTACCACTACAATATATATCACAGGATGCATGAACTAACTGAATTGTGTTTAGAGGTCATTCTTATGTTAGTAGTGTTCAAATAGCTTAAATATTGCAAAGTATGTAATGTACAATTAATACATCATAATACTACGTATACCAGTTAAAATACTGACGTTTTTTGTCTATTTCCGTTACTCCGTTATTTTTTTTATGGTTGACATGAAGGTATTTCTTTTGCTCTTGATTTTGTCGCAAATTTGCATTTCTTCCTCTCCTTATAAATGCAATGAAGAAGGTTATCGTGCGTATTTAGCTGAGTATCCCTCAAAGTGTGGATATGACCTTGCTAACTGCAGAATGTATTTTCTCGGGTAAATCATAATCTATAGGGATTATTTCAACAACTGGAAGCTTGCATGCTTGGAAATTGAGAGAAAGTCGGAATACCGAAACTACCCCATGAGTTTCTCTATTCTGTCTGACTTCAGTGATGATGATTTGGATAAGCAGATGGAACTCGGAGTGACCTACTCTGGTGAAGGTTCCTTTGCTGAACCTGAGGAGACTGTACATGACTCGTGGTCTGGAGACATTGTTAGTCGTGATTTGTGTACTGGGGCTGAAGAATACTCTCTTTCTAATCCTACATCGACGTCCTGGGCAAGTGCCTTGATCATTGCTGCTGAAGCTGCTTTGAAGAAAGAGAATGTTCATGAAAACTTGTACTTGCCTTATATTCTCAAGTGTCTCCCTGAGAGTCAAGAAATTAAACCCAATGATGTGACTCCTATGGATATCATAGAATTTGTTTCAGATAAGGGACTAATGAGTGAAACAGTAGGTTTAAGTATCATCCAAAACAATGGAGATCTTTGCTCTGCAATTGCTCCCAAATTCTATTTTGAAATAACAAAGAACGATATTCCGAACAAGAGCGGGTTGATGAACTTTGCTGCTGAGGGCAATCCTGTGATTGTGCTGATGGCTCTGGACTTGACTCGTCTGAAGACCGCCAACGATGTGACAGGCGATGATATTTACACGGGAGCTACTGACCAGCCTTCTTTGTATGGTTTGATGAAGGGATACGATGAGAAGAAATGGACCGTGACTTTCAACGTGGTGCCTTGCGAGAATATCGAGATGAATCTGCCTGTCGTGGATAATGACACGAATGCCAACTATGCTGGAATTGCTGGATACGCGATGTCGATCAAGGTAAAATCTGTCCCTCCAGTAATCGAAAAGCACGATTCTCAGAAGGAAATTGATACTATTCCTATTGATGTATCAAAACTGATATTCACACATGGTGGGGAAAGTGATGTCTCTGTGTTAAACATCACATATCTCTACTTGGAAAGTTTGGCAATCGGAGCAAATGCATTCCCCTTTGTTGTAACCTTAACTATTGATTGCCCTATTTTATCTGATATTGATATCGACGATAATAGTTTCTCTGGAGCTGCTGTACGCAGATTGTCAGATTATAAGGGATACTTCGGATTAAATACTCCGAATCTGATGCTTATGACTGTTGGAATGCAATCTATGTTGAATTTCGTGGCGATGTCGGTGACGCAGATCAGTACGAATTTCACCATGAATTTAAGTGCTTATTCTATGAGCAATATTCAGAGAGTTGAGTATATGGTGGAGCTACCGATGGATATTATAACCCATATTCAGACTACCATTGAAAATAACGAGGGACATTCTGGAACTGTGGAGGTTGTGCCTATCAATCCTCCCACTACACTTCCTCCACCAACGTCTGAAACTCCGACAACTGAAGTTCCAACTACTCAACCTCCTACTACTCCTAAACCTACTCCTACTCCTACTCCTACTCCCACTCCTACTCCCACTCCTACTCCCACTCCTACTCCCACTCCTAAACCTACTCCTAAACCTACTCCTACTCCTACTCCTACTCCTACTCCTACTCCCACTCCCACTCCCACTCCCACGCCTACTCCTACTCCTAAGCTTACACCTACACCTACACCTACACCCACTCCTACACCTACTCCTAAGCCTACTCCTACACCTACTCCCACTCCTACTCCTAAGCCTACACCTACTCCTACTCCTACACCTACGCCTACGCCTACACCTGAACCTTGGTTCCCTATTTACGATCCTTTCATTCTCGGAGATAACTGCAATTATGTCACTCCCGATGTTTGTAAACAGGAGATCATTGCGGAAACTAATGTAACCAGGCTCTATTTATCTGTTCGTGATGCTTATCCCAAGAAGGCCTTGGCTCATACCCGTGTGTTTGCTCTAAGCGGAGTTGATAAGATCAGTGTTGGATTGTGGAATACTTCATTGAGTAAGCAAGTTAAAAACATCGCTCCTATCGATTTATATATTATGCATGATCCCATTAAAGGCCGTACTGTAAGTACTGAGCTTGCCTTACTACATTTGCAGTTCCTTCAGTTCACAAGGCCTCGAATTATGTATATTGGTGATGGAACTTTGTATCGTGAGGGATTCCTTGAGGTGTTAAGTTTCATGGATGAGCACGCAGATGATGGCTGGTTTTTGAACTTGGAGGAATTCTATGTTGTCAAAAACTACATTGCCACTTATGATTATTTAATGGAGGCACAAAATCCCGGGTATATTGCTAATTTGACTGAGCAAATCATGCAATATTTGAATTGGATATGCACTGATAAGATAAATTTCCCCAAGTTGAGACTCATTAACCTGAACATGAATGGCTACAACTTGGTGGGAGCTTCTGATTTTGCTGAGGCCTTGCAGAATGCTTGCTCTAATTATACCGATGTTACTATTGAAGCTAAAGAAGAAACAGTCAAGTATCCTGTGTTCTGTGTGGATGATTCGGCTTTGAATGATCGGGTGATGACTCGAACTTATTACTATGATATGAATGATCCGATGGATGCTGCTCAGTGCCGTTTCAACTGGAATTGGGAGGTAACAGGTGCCTACAACAATGAGATCACTGGACCTTATCCTATGGGCGACACTCCTAACTGCCCTGGTTATGAATAAAGATACTACTTTCAATAACCATGATTGCTGAATGATTGTGATTGTTAAAAACACTAAACTCTCGTTGTTCAAGAATCTGTATTATCCATCACCCCAAGCATATTCTGCCAGCAGTTACTTCTATATGAACCAATACTCCAATCACTTCATTTTCTCATTTGTATCTCAAACACTACCACATAAAATACTCCCTTATTCGACTCACAACTTCATTCACTGGAGGCAAAGCACCCTTCCCAACATCACCGCATGCCAATAACTTATCGCAAGGCTCGATTACATCCACTCCCCACGTTTGCAGCAAAGCCAACTGTTGAGAAGTGAGTGGATGGTTGAACATCTCAGTATTCATGCAGGGGGCGACGACAATCGGCTTCTTTGCTCCCCACGCACGGTAGGTACTTGAAAGCAGATTATCGCAGATCCCATTTGTTAATTTGGCAAGGGTATTCGCCGTGAGGGGAATGATTGCTAGTAGGTCTGCGCGTTTACGTAACTAGATGTGAAGAAAACCTCTATGTTCACTACATCCACATGAAGCACGGGATCCTTCTTTACAGAGTGATAGTTCTTCCATTCATCATCATCTGTTAATATCGGGATATTTAATCCTACAAACTGTTCATAGGCTTCTGCATTGTATCTCGAATCAATCAATATCTTTAGCAATACTCTTTAGCAATGTTTAAGAAATAAAGCGACGGCTTTGTAGCGACAATGAGAATCTTTTCGTCAAACATCCCCAAAAGCCATACTTCAGCGAATTCGTAGATTTTCACACAAAGTTCGGGGACCTACAGTATCGTTTCAATCGACAGAATCCCCACTTTGACAGTTGCGACACTTCCCGTAATTCCCAGCAAAACGGTGGGTCTTTTCTTCGTTTCCTCCATACCAGATCGCTAGTTCCAACAAACAAGAAACAAATAAACTTATTCTGGCAGCGTGGCATACATCACCTTCGACTTCCAGCAAAGCGGACTGATCTGCGAATACACGCAATACAACAACACAAAGAAATGAACTACCAGCATCACCAATCGCAGTACAATCGGTATCATCTTCCCGAACGAAAACATGCACGAACCTACCCATCATCACCATCACCATCATCATCATCTTACTTGCCAACACTCCCGTCGCTCCGATCAAAATCTCCAGCTGCACCGTCGTGCTTCGCTTCTCCCCGATCAGCATCGTCGTCGCCCGATTCAGCGCCACGACCGAGATCCCGCTCAATTCCGCCACCACCGCGAAGAAAAAGAAAAATCCCGCGGGAGGCGGCAGCCAATAGGGCACCAGCCAGAACCCCGCGAGGTACCAGACCGCGAGGATCCCCGCGGTGATGAGTTTCCAGGCGGCGGTTTCGCAGTGGAAGCGTTTGAAGAGGGGGTCGAGTTTGGTGAAAACCGCGGCAAAAGCGTTTGAAAAAGCGCGGCAAATCCAGCTGGCGGCGAAGAAAAGGAGGAGGAGGAGGGCTGCGAGGGCGAGGTAGTAGAAGGCGAAGGATTCGTGGAGTGTGCGTCGCCATTGATACCAAATTTCGTTTAAAACAAAAACAAAATGATAGTCTTCCCAAAACGTGGGAAGGAAATAATCGCGGTGACCCAGCGAGTACCGGAAATTGATCGAGTACACCGGGAGGCGCTTGTCGGCAATGCCCGAGCAGCTGTACAAGTCCCAGTTGAATTTCTCGTACCACATGAGCGAGGCGAAGTTCATGTAATTGTAGAAGCGACGGAGGTTTTGGCTAGAGTCGATGGGAATTGCCGAGTCTACGAGGAGTCCTCGGCATCGCCGAGTTCGAAGAGCGGCGCCGCTTGGCTCTGCTCGTACAGCTCGGTCGAGTAGTACCCGTAGTGATTGAATTTGGTGTATTGGTCGATAGTGGCGCGCGTTTCGAGGCTGTTCGCGAAGATTTCGCGCGTCGGCTGGTGGCCAGGCGTCAGCACGATCATGTCGTTCGAGTACATCTAGGGTTAACGAAAGGCGGAGCCACCACGAGAGGCTGCTCGTCCTTAAGGCACAGGTAGGAGCATTTGAAGAGGCCGTCGAAGTTGTGGGCGAAGATTGTGTAGGGGTCGACGAATATCACACGCTCGTATTCCTTAATGTCCCAGAAGTGCAGCAGATTGCGGGTCTTTTGCAGATCCACAGGAATCGCTCGCTGCTTGTATGCATTTGTCACATTAATGACGGACACCTTCATTCCGTCCTTCTGAAATACCTTTATCTCGGAACTCGGAGTGTCCTGCCCCGTGTACACCACAAAATCAGCTTCTGACTTCATGGACAAAAACGACTGATACATGGTGCGAATTGCAATCAAATCAGATCGGCTCAGCTTTCCACCCGTGTAATACATGGTTACAAACGCGTATTTCGGGTTTTCTGCCTCCACCAAAGCAATCAGCAGAAACAGGACAGAAATCATTGATCTACAGTTTACAGTTTAGCTGGAGTGCCCACGATAAGAAATGCATTGTTTCTTCCTTGAATAAAAAGGTGTCTAACAAACACAATTCAATAGGAATAATCCCAAACGTGCATCAGATGATTATAAAAACTGCAGCTGCCCACAAAACCCTCGCGCTTTCCCAAATCGCAGCCCTTCTTGTTGATGTAGTCCACTCCATACGCCAAAGACTCCGTTCCTTGCTCCAAATACCTCACCTTCGCAGAAATCTGTCTGTTTTCATCATACTCCATCACACAGAACCCTGCTCGCATCGCAGCCACCAAAAACTCATTCTTCGTCGTCTCGTTTCCTTGCTCGTTTTCTCCCAAATAAAAGTTCGCATTGTGTTTATATTTTATTCTCCAAATTCCAGCGTTGTTCTCCACATCGAAATCGCTCACGGCGCGTTTCATCTGTCTTCGATCGAACATTCGAATGTGTCCGTCGTAACTCCCCACCGTCAAGTACTCTGCATCGTGTTTGTTCCAACAAATAGAAGTCACACCGGCCTCGAACCCCGCGGTTATCGAAACCGGGGTATTCGACGCGGGAAAAACGCGGGAATCCCACTGTTTTAGCAGACCATCATCGCCGCCAGAGAACACGAGATGGCTGTTGGAGGGGTCGAAAGAGGCGATCCAGACTTCCGCGGGGACGGTCGTGTAGGGAAGCGTGTGGCCGAACCACTTGGATTGCAGCTGGAGACCGCTGTTGGTCACCGCGCAGAGAGCCACCTCGCCGTTCGAGAGAGAAACGGCGAGGAGAGGAGTGTCGCTGGGGTTGAGCTGATTGCTCCAGTCCACGCTGAGGCAGATTGTGGAGGGATCATTGATGAGGAGACGCTCCTCTCTGCCCCATACGGTGTTCGATGGGTTTGAAAGATCAAGAGGAAGAAGGGAGAGGTAGCCATCGGAGAGGGCGAGCGCTAGAGTGTGTTTTTGGCCTACGCACTGCGGATTGAATTTCATATCGAGAATTCCCGATAACGACCGTTTTTCAAATGTGTGGACATGATTGTTGTCTCCCTAAACCTTGAGGAGAGGAAAATCACTGTGTACTTCGAGTTGGTGAAGTACAACACAGCCATCTCGCTTTCTCGTAGCTTCATCGAGTTGATACGTTCCAGAAACAAAGAATCCTAGGGATGAAGTTGACCAGGGAGCCAAACCATCGTAACTATTCGGTATTACTTCTACAGAGTCTGCAAAAAGGGTAGTATCGTAGTTAAATAGCGTGTTGTACATGTTCAAACATACAATGGTTGAAAAAGTGAGATTCGTGTGTTTTCGAATGAAAATTGATAAGGGACTGGTTATGAGTACAACAAAAACAATAGATACGATTATTTGTAGGCAATCTACCACATTCTAAGCTTCTTCCATCAGCATTTTCCTATCTTTTTTTCCACTCCATCCTTATTTCTCCATCGACAAATGAATCTCCAACAAACACTTCCACCTCAAAATCGATTATTCACTAGTTGTACATCCTCACTCAGTTACACTTCAACTCCCCCTCAAACCCGTTCGTGCTCTTAATCATTCCTCGATACTCCTCGATATTCTCCGCCGTCAACTTCACCAGCGACCTCCGCGTCAGCTTCTACGCTCAACGCTCCTCTCCAATCCCACCTTCTTCGTGAACGGACACGTATTCTTCGGGTTTCGATTCAGCACCTTCACCCACGAATCGTACCCCATCACATGTCCATACGGCGAAATCGCAGGCTTCACCACCGGCATCATCGTCATCGGATCGATCAAATCCTTCACTCAACGCCCTTCGCTTCGCCCTACCGGCAACACGCTCTTCTCTTCCTCCTCCCCTTCCCCCGTTTCCCCGGTTTCTCCGACCTCCAGCCCCGCGCTGTCCTCGCTGTCCATCCAATCCGCCGCTCGCCGCGCGCCCGTACGTCGCACCAGCGTGCTGCGGCCGCGTTTGTCGTGGAACCGGAACACCAGCTTCCCGCTCTTATCGAACGAATAATTATCGTCCTTGATCTCACCCTCCTTGATCAACTGCCGATAAAAGTTGCTGCACTGGTACCCCACGCGTCCGGGGATCTGTCTCGAAAAAATACCCCACTTTTCTGGAATTCCAAAAATACCCCCTACTTGGTAGTCCACGCCCTTCTCTTTGATCAGCTGCAGAAACAGCGCCTTGTCCTTCTGGCTCCACTTCCCCGTCGCTTGCGGTTCTCCCGGGTCGTTGAAGCGATAATAGTACTGATTTGGATTCGTTTCGCGGTTCCGAAACGCCTTGATCCGCGCCTCGCTCCACCCCAAGCGACGTAACGCCTCCACTGGGATCGTTTTCCCCGCGGGACCCGAGAGAGCGCGGAAAAACGAAGCTTCTTCTAGCCGTCAAAAACAGAAAAAAACCGCGACTTTGGATCGAGGAGCGTTTTTTCCGCGGTTCGGAGTCGCTGTATTCGTCGTCTTCGCTTGCCGCCTCCGCGCGACGGCGTTTTGGACGCACGGGGGAAACCGGGGAACTGGACGAATCGGGGGAAGGGGGCGTTTCGACGGGGGAACGTGTGCGAAGATTGGCGAGCTTGGAAACAGGGAAACGTGGAAACTACCATGATAAGAGCGTCATCGAGACTGAGTCGCGGGACTTTGCGATCTTTGCCTTCGCTCCCCGCACTACTCGAGTTTCCACTGTTTCCACTGTTTCCACCGTTTCCACCGTTGGCAGTGGGGGATCGTCTGCGCGAGGAAGGCGAGGGCAGATCGAGATCGTAGAGGAGTTGCGAAGAGGAGGAAAGCTCCCAATTCTCTTTGTCGTCCTTGTCTTCGCGCTCTTCGGGGTCCCATTCCAAGGCCTCGAGGAGCTCATGTCGCTTGTCTTTGTACTGGAAATAAGGAGGGGAAGGGGAGAGAGACGTACCATGATGGAAGGGAGGTCGATAGGCATCTCGCCAGAACTCATGGCCACAACGGTGGTTTTGAAGTCAGCGTCTTCGAGAAGACGTTTGATGGCGAGCAACTAGAGAGGAAGGAGTTCGGAGGGCGCAGTACTTCGTTGTTTCGACAAGAATCAATGGCGAGTTGCGCGGCATCTTCGCTTATGTCTGGAACATGACTCAGTACGTCCGCAACCTGATTCTAATACACGAGAACACAAGAAATACTTTCTGATGCTTTTGATTCACGTTGAAGGTTCGAAATTGACTCTGTATGTTTGCTAACGACTGCTTAATCTTATCCTAGTATAGGAGTGAGAAATCATGCAAAAATGACAAAGCACCATACACGTTGATCCTCAGGAATATACGCCAGAAAATCATCCTCTTCCTCCTCCGTTGCTGAGTAGTCTTCTGTCTCCCTATCCGAATTTGCAGAACCACTCATGTTTGGCAAGGGGAAAAATGATAGAAAAAAAGACCAAAGAAAATATTGGGTCTTTTTGATGAGTGAACCTCGATGGCAAGCTATTTTTCTAATTCGGGTGTTTTCCCGAACGGAGTAGGGTAGATAGATGTTTTGACGACGAAATCGGATGGCGAACGGCAATGAACCTTTCAATTAAATTCATTCCACCTCGGAGGCGTATCGCGGTTCAGGCTCTCTAGTTCACACCCATCTTTTCCGAATGCCTTGTGGAGGACGCAGAGCACTTCTTGTTTTGCCTTCTACTTAGCACGCCCACTCTCTTTTCCACTCAATGAATAAAATTCGATGTTCAAGCTTGTTTAGTATCAGTATTGTGGGAGTTGAGAGACAATTTTTCGTTTATGGACTCAAAATTACCAGGTAAAGGTATGGATAGGTAGGGATTGGAATGCTTGGCTCTATCTCTGTAGTTCTTCCACTTGGGAAGAAGTACTCCTCAGCAGTCCCTCCTACATATTTTTGATACCGATAAGCCCAGAATTTTACTCCAATGTTGACAATTTAAAGGATATCGTATCCGACGAGTCAGAACTCCAAATGCTAATATCGAACGTGTTTAAGCTTCCATTTGACTCTGCTAATGAAAGCGAAAGTGATGAAGAAGAAGAGAAACGCGAGAATCGATACAGAGAGTTTTATGCAGCGGTTCATCGTCGCTATATTCTTACCGAAGATGGAATGAATCATATAGTACGTCTCCATGCAGTTTTGGCAACTAGTTAAAACGACAATCGAGCGGAGCATTCGGCGAGTGTCCCTGCTGCCGTTGTCAATACGCTCACCTCTTCCCAGCAGCGCTGTCCGATTTATTTGGAGACGACAGCGTGAAGCTGTTCTGTCCATCGTGTAAAGAAGTGTACAATACGCCCAGTCCGTTTAATCGTTTGTGCGGATGCTGGAGATTGACTGTAGGTGTGGACGGTGCCTATTTTGGCTCTGCGTTTATTCCGACTCTGGTGAAGGAGCATCCGGAGGTTTTGCTGAATCCGGGAGCGAAATACGAGCCAAGGATATTCGGGTATAAGATCCACTGTACCAGGTAGGAGGAAAGAGAGGGGAGATGAGACGTAGTCCCTATTATAAAAAGTCAGTGAAGAAGCAATAGTTTGATTGTTTGTTGGAAATAGGATTTTTGGCGTTGATAAAGTCATTGCAGAACGATCGCTATGGATGTGGAGGCGAAGTACAATGAATTGTATGAGCATATGAAGATGTTGCTGGAGTCCAAAACACCGGATTATGATGAAGTGAAAACGACTGCCGGAAACATTCTTGCTCTTCACCGATCGTTTCCCGCCGATCTCCGATTCCGAATATGGGAAGTGTTGCTGGATGTTGCAGAGCGAGTGCGTTTTTGAAAACGGCGTGAAATCTAGGAAGAACCCGACTTTGATTTGATGACAAAGACACAGGCCGTAAGATCCGATCATGTCAGTTGACGAAATAGCGCTTCAGTAACGATCATGTTCTCATCATGGATGTGGAACGTTCTTTTAATATGGTCGAGGAGCCCAGGAAATCAGAGTTGCGTTCGCAGCTGCAAACCATCATCTCGACTTACTGCGCCAAATACGACGTTGCTTATTGGCAGGGAATGCACGACATGGTCGCCGTGCTTCTGCTGATGGAGCCGCAGCCGCCTCTTCCCAAAATCTTTCTACTGCTGTCCATGTTCCTGCAGACGTTTCTCCCGTACGTTTTTGACGACCACGACTGCATGTTTCTCCACCACCTCTTCGAAATGATCCGTCTGCTGCTGCAATACCACGACCCCCGTAATGTCCCTTCATTTCCTTTCATGGTCGCAGAACTCGCGTTATACCTGCAGAGCCACAACGTGATCCCGTCCATCTTCTCTCCGCCCTGGCTGCTGACCCTCTTCGCGCACGACATGTCCCAGCCGCTCCTGCTGACGATCTGGGACCAATACATTTTCTACAAAAACCCGGCCATCCACGTGTTCACCGTGCTCTCCCACCTCATCTCCAACAAGCAGCGCATCCTCACCTACCCGCCCAGCGAGCTGCTGCAGCTCATCACGCACCTGCCCTTCGAGAACGACGAGTCTTCCTTCCTCTTCGACGAGCACCCCGATTCTCCTTCCCTCGACCCTGCGCTCGACGAGGTCTGCCGCGCGCTCAACGCCGAGCTGCGCGACCGCCACTGCGACCCTCGCGTGATCACCGACGTCGTCATCGAGGGCCGCCGGCTGATGCAGCAGACGCCGCCGGGGTTCGTGCATCGCCTCAACGACCTGCTGAACGACAAAGTGTCCGTGTCGCTGGAGTCGCTCGAGTGGTACCAGGCCGCGCCCTGCGTCGCCACCAGCCCCGTGGAGATCTACACGTTCCTCCTCCGCGGGGTCGAGCGGAACGTCAACTGCCTGCGGTACCTGCTGCTGGACACGCGCAGCGCCACGGCGTTCCGCAGAGGGCACATCGCGTCCTCGAAGAACGTCTCCCTGCACACGCTGCAGAACGCGGAGAAGACCGAGCTGCTGCTCCGCAAGATCCGCTCCCACGATTACCACGTCGTGGTGCTGGACAATGGCCGCGAGAGAGAGCGCGAGGAGGACGTCGGCGAGCGGCTCGTCCGCACGCTCGTCCAGAACGGATGCAAGTACGTCAGTCGCATCCTCGGCGGCTTTGAGCGCATCGCCAAGCTTATCGAGATCGAGGCGGGGGCAACCCAAGCAGACGGAGCTACCGCGGGACTCATCGTACGCGATGAAACGTCCCAGATTACCGCGGAAGAGCTCATGCGACGCTCCGAGCTCGCTATGGAACCCGGCCATCGAGCGTCCCGACAACCCGTGCGCACCAGTTCGCCAAATGGGGAAACTGGGGAAACTGGGGAAACCTCGGATGAGAAACGGGGAAATTCCGATGAATCGGAGAAATCGGAGAAACCGGAGAAACCGGAGAAGCAGGAGATGATCAAAACGATCGATGGGAAGCAGTGCCTGCTGTACGAGTGCTGGCTGAGCAACGGGCAGGTGAAGGACTTCGCGTGCATGAAGGTGCAGAAGGTGCAGAAGGAGGGGAAGGAAGTGTTCGTGTACACGACGGAGAAGCGGATCGTGCTGACGAAGTAGGAATGGGTCGGGGGTTGGAGGGTAGCGGGTTCCTGTTCGTGATCGATATAAACAATTGCGTGGAGAAGGGGTACGCGATTATCGACAATCGGTATAGCTATGCGTCGATTGAGACGGTGAGAGCGAGTAGGGGGAAATAGTGGAATTCCAGAATAGCGGGGAAGGATTTTATTTATATCGTGATCAAGCCGAATAAGGAGGGAAAGAAGAAGCAGTTGCTGTTTAAGGTGGTGAAGAGGGATGATTGTGTGGAGGAGCTGAATGCGAAAATGAAGCGAGAATTGTGGGATGTTTGTTGCAGACAGATTTTGTTTTCTTGGCCTGTTAACTCTTGTTTGGAGTTAGTTTTTCATGTCATCAGAATCATTGGTGAAGCTTGGTGGCACCCAGAATAAGGCATGGGCGGAAAGTAGGCTTCCTGCTATTTGGGTAATAGAATAGACGCACATAAGTCTTACGGAATGAAGATGCTGAAAAAAATGGGCTGGAAGGATGGAGAAGGTCTCGGAAAGGATGGTGCTGGGCAACAAACCCATATTCAGATTAAACGAAGAGTAGAAAACGAAGGTAGGGACAGAAACTCCTTAGTTTGATGGTTTATAGGTTTGGGTCTTGATGAGTCGGACCGAACGAATCAAACCTTTATCTCCACGATCGGTAACTTTTCGGAAGTGTTGGAAGGTTTAAATAAAGAGCATGCGGGTGATTGTTTGTCGTTTGGTTAATTTGTAGATGTGATAAAGCTAATGAAAAAGAAGGAGAAAAAGGACAAGAAAAAGAAGGAAAAGAAGGATAAAAAGAACAAGAAGAAGAAGGATTCGTCCAAAGTCACAACGCGTCACAAGTAGAATTGTAGAGTGTGTGAGCATTTGTAGATATAAGAAAATTTTGGAGAACAAGACGATTAGCAACTACTCAACCGATGATCTGAATGCCATTTTAGGGATATCTCCTCGTGATGAATCAATTGTTTGTTGGGAACAAAGGAAGAAAGGGGTTCAAAAGAAAAACAATAGAATAGTAAAACAATATTTGTAGAAATTAGTCACTCTCATCATCATCATCATCATCATCACTCTCCACATAGAAACGACGTCGATTCGGATTCCCTTCCAAACTAAAATCACTGTCCGAGTCTTCTTCATCACTCTCTTCCTCCTTCACCTTTCCTTCCTCGTCTTCTTCTTCCTCGTCATCTTCTACAACCTTCTCAACGGCTACAGACTCCGATTCTTCCCATTCCTTTGGCCATAACCCTTCCTTCTTGATATGGTGGATTTGATCCTTCATCAAAATATGCTCTATCAGAGAGCTAACACCATTTTGTTTCCCAGATGCAGTAGTGAACTGGCCTTCGGACTCTGTTACGATAACATAGTCGCCTCGTTTCATCCAAATTAATTTATTAAACTTGGTCGGCAACAACGCCAGCTGCTTCTCTCCGTTTGGCAATTCCACCTAGAGATAAATGTTTGCGTATCTTCCAATACTTCAAACACGTTTCCACCTCTTCCTATCGAAATGCGAGCAATACTCTCTCCTTCCTTTGGAACTGGATACTCATCCATCAAACTCGACGTGACGCCTTTCCGGTACGCACTTTTTCTCTTTTGAAACGACATTTTGACCAAAGGCAATTTGAGACCACTTGATTACTGTGTATGAAAAGATTCAATGAGGAGCATGTTTGCCCGAGTGGTCCAAGGGGTCAGGTTTAGGTCCTGATGTGTTAAGTCACTCGAGGGTTCAAACCCCTCAGCATGCACTTTTTCTTTCTCCATTTGCTTTTATTCTGCCTGAGAGATGATTTGTCGATTGAAGCTCTTTCAACGTCAAATTCGGTCTTTTTCGACTGTGCTGCCTCGCTTGGTTGATAGTGTCTCTGGAGAACTGAAAGTCATTCAACAAAAGGGGAAAACGTTATCCTGGTACAGCTGTGGCCCAACGGTGTATGATTCTTCTCACGTTGGACACGCTCGGACATATGTGCAGATTGACTTATTGCAACGTATTCTATCGCGCCGGTTTGGGATGAACATCCACTCAGCAATGGGAATCACGAATATTGACGATAAGATTATAAACAAGTCAAGACAGACGATGATTCCGTGGCAAGAAATCGCGTCTCGCTATGAAGAAGAATTTATAAATGATATGCAGCGATTGAATGTGAAAATGCCCATGTCCGTTGTTCGAGTGAGCGATATGATTCCAGAAATTGTCGACTACATTCGCGTCCTTGAGGACAAGGGAATAGCATACAAAACATCTTCAGGGATCTATTTTGATACTCAATCCTCTCTCTACAAATATGAGAAACTGGTGCCTTCCATTTCAGACGTGGAGAGTCAGAGTCGTTTAGCGCAGGATCCAGAAAAGCGTCATCCGCGTGATTTTGCTCTGTGGAAGCGAGCCGATGACATCGATTATTCGTGGGATTCTCCGTGGGGTCGAGGTCGTCCGGGCTGGCACATCGAGTGCTCCGTGAACTGTCATTCGTTGTTCGGCGATCATCTCGATGTGCATGCAGGAGGGATCGATCTGCGTTTTCCGCACCACTGCAACGAAATAGCGCAGTGTGAAGCTTATAGTGGTGGTGGTGGTGGTGCATGGTGTGACATGATGCTTCACATCGGCCACATGTTTGTCTTTCTCTGTTTTTTCAATCAATAGTTTTATTGAAGGTCGAAAAATGTCCAAGTCACTAAAAAACTTTATCACAATTGACCAGCTTCTTCAGACCTATTCTGCCAACGATTTCCGCATGTTCTGCATGCTGAATCATTACAGTGCGCGCATCCAGCTCGACGATAATGGGCTGGTCGAGGCACAGCGTCAATGGAAAGCGCTCGAAGCTGTATGGAATTCGGTTTGTCGTTTGAATCGTAGTCGATTCATCGAGTCCAAACAGAGCTTTCGAAAGGAAGCCGTTTTGGTGATTCTGATTCGCGTGTGGTGAGGCGATGGCTGGAGAAATGGAACGAAACAAAAACCAAAATCGACGAGAGCTTGGCGAACGACAGCAACACACGGCAAGTCGTGTCCGAGACGCAGAATCTTCTCCATGAGATTGAGAAATGCTTGCTGGAGAATCGGCAGGCGCTTGCAGGTCGCGTGGCATCGCTGATAGCGAATGAGATGATCGATCTGTACACCGATCTGGGGTTCGTTTTTGACGCCAAACCAACGGAAATGAGAGATAAGGAGATGATCGATGCGCTCTGCGAGTTTCGTTCTGCAGTCCGAACGATTTGTTTGAAAGACACGCACAGCGAGGTGAGTCGGGAAGTCCTTCAAGCCTGCGACGCGCTGCGTCAGAGCGCTTCGGATCGGTTTGGAATCACCATCATCGATGGGAAATCGGATGTCCGCTGGGTGGTGGGTCCGTTGCCAAAAAAGCAGCCGAAGAAAGCCAAGCAGGAGGGATTGAATCCGTCGGTGCCTCCCTCGGAGATGTTTCTGGGCAATTCCGAGTTTTCTGCGTTTGATAAGGAGGGAATTCCAACGCATGATAAGGACGGAAAGCCTCTGTCAGCTTCGCGGTTAAAGAAGTTGCGGAAGCAATATGCTACGCACAGTTTGATCCATTCGAAGTGGTTAGAACAAAAGAAAAGATGTGTTTGTTTGTTGGTAGATACAACTCGATAGAGAAACGGTTCTTCTTTCTTTTCTGAGTATTACAGAAAGGGGAATCCTTGTGGAAAAGTGTTTGTTTGGTATTGAGATATTTCAATTACAATCATGTTATGCAGTACTACGATATGCATTTACTGATCATTGATTCATTTATACCAAGTGTTGTTTAGGATTTGATTCTATATTCTATATTCTATAGGGTAAAAAACATCCACATTCGTTCATTTCTGATTGAAAACAAACAAATCGAATATTTAAAAATGTTTATATCATTCAATTCAATCATTATAGGTTTTCGGACTTAATTCCAATTTACCAATTTCTCGGTGATCATCGGAATATACAGAATATATGATACTCGTATCTTTGTTACAAGTAATTCGAACACGAACCATTTTGCGACCAAATTCTTCTTGTGCTTCTTTGACCTTAATCGTGCCTTCAATTCTCTCTTTTCCGTTGAATGATCGATATACATCAATATCACTTCCGCTCAAATTGAAGTAACGAGTAATCGTAATAGGAATATCTACACCAGGATGTATGTCAATTTGCAGTTTAGAGTCGCTTTGTTCACTTTTCACTTTGAATCCTAAGCAACATTCAAGTGATTCGGAGACTTCATGATACCAATTGTTCACTTTGACGCGCATGGCTCCTTCAACGACAGTTGTGTGAGGATTATAGTCTCTGGTATTACTCACGGGAACTGATTTAAACAAATCCTTCAAATGGTTTTGGATGTGAGGAATCTTTGAAGAACCTCCAATCAAAATAACACTAGAAATGTATTCCTTATCAATATGACTCTCGGCAAATAAACGCTTTAAAGCATTATCAATGCGTCTGATTACTTCACCATCTTCTAGTACACTGGCATTGAATTCTTCGACATTTATTTCGACATCACAATTGCCTCCAATGTCAGTAAGTATAACAGGAACTCTATCTTCAGCGGATAATCGTTCTTTCGCATGATGGCAAGAATCTAATAACTTATTATAGTTCTTTCTGTATTTCGGTGAATCAACGTCATCTCCCAATAAAGCTTCACCATTTTCGTTTTGGTATCTTTGTAATACATATTTACAAAAGATTTCATCGATTTTGGTACCACCCAAGTTTGGATCACCACCTTGAGCTTTCACATCAAAATCGTCACCATTACGAACCATTAATGTTAAATCCAAGGTACCTCCTCCAAAATCAAATACCATCACTATCTCACCTTCTTTTATACGCGGTTTCGCATTTGGGTCCGAAATGAAACGAATTCCAGCAGCAGTAGGTTCTTTCAAAAAATATAAAACATTCAAACCAGCTCGTTTCGCTGCTTCTCTCAAAGCTTTCTTACTAGTATCAAAGAAATAGTTAGGAATTGTCATTACACAATCGCGAAACTCAGGATAACTGTCTAGCCTCGCTTCAGCCACCTTTTTGCACTTCTTGAGAATCTCTGTAACTACTTCAATAGGATACACATTTCGAGTTTCCTTGTTTTTTCTAGCTCCATATGATACTTCAAAATACGGATTTTGATGTTCATCAAACTTGAGTGGACTATGAAATATTCCTTCATCAATTTCACTATCTCCAAATTGCGATTTTACCTTTCCTAATATCCTTTTGACGCTATATACATAAGCCTTTGTTGATTGTGCAGTATCCACAATATCAGGTATATGTATTCCGTGTTTGTCAATCATTGCAACGGAGGGAATACAATAATAGTTCTCAGCAATGTCGACTGGATTGAGATAAGTTCCATTTTTATATATACACACTGCTGTATTCGATGTTCCGAAATCAATGGCAATACAATCCTCAGTCTTTGACGTACTCATATTGTTTTATGAAACATAATACATAATCTTTGATTATCAAGAACCACTATGCACATCATTTAAACTGGTTAGATTGTATCACTATTATTATTGATTTCGATATATAATATATACCAATGCAATAGAAAATGAATTGAAAACACATAATTCCAAAAACGATATGTACCATTAATATTGTTTAACATTTTTGATAATATACACTTATAATCAATATATATATATTAGTTAGTATAAACTATGGCATACAATAATGTATGTTGCGTGTATATGATATTTCATTGCGTTGGTTGTTGTGTTTGTATATTATTGTCACAAATTGTGTGTGATACGTATGATCTACTTATTATCAATCACTCTGTTTTATAGATATATAACAGATAATCGTATTATCTAATTGTTTTCCTAAATTAGGTTCGGATAATTCTTAAGCATAGTAAGAACTATTACTATATTACGAACAACATCGGAAAATACTTCGAAGTTTCGAGCATACATTTCAGTGGTAATTGCGACCCACATTTTATTTTCTATGTACTTTTTCACACATCCATTCAACTAGTACTCGTAAAGCAGTCAATATCTAATTTATTCTACGTCTCAATGATTCGAGAATATGATATTTAGTGTATTGTTGTTTGAATCATATTATGTCCAGCGAATCTCGAATTAATACAAGACTGCATACTATTTTGTAAGATTCATGGATATTTCGGTTGTTAAAGTCAGAAATTTTAACCATCATATGGATTCTCTTTAGAATGATCTAAAATACTTAGCAATATTATCATACTCATTTATGGATCATCGATTTAATCATACTTTGTTTTGCCTTGGATTTGATTCTATATTCTATATTCTATATTCTATATTCTATAGGGTAAAAACCATCCACATTCGCCCATTTCTGATTATAGACAAACAAATCGAATATCCAAAAATGTTTGTATCATTCAATTCAATCATTATAGGTTTTCGGACTTAATTCCAATTTACCGATTTCTCGGTGATCATCGGAATATACAGAATATATGATACTCGTATCTTTGTTACAAGTAATTTTCACCCTAATCTTTTGTTGACCAAATTCTTCTTGTGCTTCTTTGACCTTTATCGTACCTTCAATTCTCTCTTTTCCGTTGAATGATCGATATACATCAATATCACTTCCGCTCAAATTGAAGTAATCTTCTATAGTAAAAGGAATTCTCAGACCTGGATATAAATCGATCCGAATCTCGGAATTGTTATGCCCATCGCTCACTTTGAATCCTAAGCAACATTCAAGTGATTCGGAGACTTCATGATACCAATTGTTCACTTTGACGCGCATGGCTCCTTCAACGACAGTTGTGTGAGGATTATAGTCTCTGGTATTACTCACGGGAACTGATTTAAACAAATCCTTCAAATGGTTTTGGATGTGAGGAATCTTTGAAGAACCTCCAATCATAATAACATAAGAAATGTGCTCTTTATCATAGCGATTCTCAAAGAATAAATCATTGATCGCTCTATCAATGCGTCTGATTATTTCACCATCTATAAGTATACAGGCATTGAATTCTTCGACAGTTATTTCGATATCCTTGTTTGTTTCTACATCGTCATTATCTATAAAGTCGGAAATGAAAATAGTAGCTTTATTTTGAGTAGACAACTGTTCTTTGGCTTGACGGCAGAATTCCAATAGTTTAGGATAACATCTCTTATATCTTTAAACCCACTTCTCCTAATGAATTTTCACCGTTGCTTTTTTGTAATACATATTTACAAAAGATTTCATCGATTTTGGTACCACCCAAGTTTGGATCACCGCCTTGAGCTTTCACATCAAAATCATTACCATTACGAACCATTAATGTTAAATCTAAGGTACCTCCTCCAAAATCAAATACCATCACTATTTCTCCTTCTTTTATACCTAAGTCTATTACTTTCTTCTCTTTTCCATTCATTATTTCCCCTTTATCTTCTAAACAACAAATTCCAGAAGCAGTTGGTTCTTTCAAAAAATACAAAACATTCAAACCAGCTCGTTTTGCTGCTTCTCTCAAAGCTTTCTTACTGGGATCAAAGAAATAGTTAGGAATTGTCATTACACAATCGCGAAACTCAGGGCTAGTGTCCAACAAATTATCAGCTTCCTCTTTACACCTTTTGAGAATCTCTGTAACTACTTCAATAGGATACACATTTCGAGTTTCCTTACTCTTCTTAACTCTATATGATACTTCAAAATACGGATTTTGATGTTCATCAAACTTGAGTGGACTATTGAACATTCTCTCATCAATTTCACTATCTTCAAATTGCGATTCCACTTTTCCTAATATTCGTTTGACGTTATAAACAAATCCGTTCTTTACTTGCGTTTGATTTACTATGTCAGGAATAATAATACTATGCTTGTCAACTACAGCAACGGAGGGAATGCAATAATAATTCTCAACAGTGTAAACAGGATTGAGATACTTTCCATTTTATATGTATACACTGCTGTATTCGATGTACCAAAATCAATGGCAATACATTCTTCCGTTTTAATCGAATCCATATATATTATTTTTGAGGTTTAACTAAGAAAAATAGATAATCATAAAACAACTATACATGCTATAAACTGGTTATAGTTCTGTTATGGTTTTATGGACCTTAACAATTCGTGTGTACCATTTCTAAAGGATTGGAACAAACAGAAAAGACTAAAGATAAATCTAAAGTTCCGATTTCTTTTCGTTTACGATCCAACACAGTATAAGTAACACTTGTATCGTTTGTACACGTCACTCTGATTTGAACTGTTTGACCTGTTCTTATTCCCATTTCATAAGCGGCTTGTAGATCGATTACACCTTCTATACGCCATTTTCCATTGACCTTGCGATGAACCTTTATCTTGTTATCATCCCTATTATTATAGAACGTGAAATACCTGATCGTTGAACAAGGAAGACGGATTCCGGGATAGAAGTGCTCGCTCATTTCTTTGTTGACCTCGAATCCAAGTGAATCTTCGAATACTTCTTCAACATTATATTCATTCACTAAATGACGCATGGCTCCTTCGACAACGACTGTGTGAGGACTATGACTCCTGTGAACTTTGGCATTTGGAATCCACTGTCTAATATAGTTGTGAATAAAGGGAATCTTAGAAGAACCACCCACCAAAATAACATGCTTTATCTGATCGATATTTCTCTTAAAGATATCATTCTCCAGTACTGTATCAATACGAGACTCAATTTTCTTCATTACATTGCCATTGAATTCTTTAACTGTAATGGACATATCATCAAGTTCCACATTGAAATCACCTAAAGGAATATCAAACCTTAAACTGGAAGATAGTTGTTCTTTACAGTCACGACACAAATCCAACAACTTTGCATACTTTCTCTTGTATCTCTTTGAACCAACGTCATTTCCTAATAAATCTTCACCATATTGATTTTGGTAGCTTTGTAATACATATTTACAAAAGATTTCATCAATCTTATCTCCACCCAAACTCGGATCACCACCTTGAGCTTTCACATCAAAATCGTCACCATTACGAACCATTAATGTTAAATCCAAGGTACCTCCTCCAAAATCAAATACCATTACCATTTCTCCTTCTTTTATACCTAAGTCTATTACTTTCTCCTCATTTCCATTCATTATTTCCTCTTTATCTTCTAAACAACAAATTCCAGCAGCAGTAGGTTCTTTCAAAAAATACAAAACATTCAAACCAGCTCGTTTTGCTGCTTCTCTCAAAGCTTTCTTACTAGTATCAAAGAAATAGTTAGGAATTGTCATTACGCAATTGCGGACATCAAGACGACTGTCTAGCTTTGCTTCAGCCACCTCTTTGCATTTCTTGAGAATCTCTGTTGCTACTTCAATAGGATAAACATTTCGAGATCCTGCCAAATTTCCAGCTCCATATGATACTTCAAAATACGGATTTTGGGGATCATCGAAATTGATGGGACTGTGGAACACTTCTTCACCAATTTCACTCTCTTCAAATTGATGCTTATTTTTTCCCAGTATTCGTTTGACGTTATATATGTACCCTTTTGAAGGGAGAGATTTGACCAATTTATCACTAACAGTTATTCCTCTTTTATCAATCACTGCAATAGATGGAATACAAAAGTTAGTTTCAACAGTATATACAGGATTACAATACTTCCCATAAACATACACACAAACTGCTGTATTTGATGAACCAAAATCAATGGCAATACAATCCTCAGGTTTTACCTTTCTCATTTTTTTTATGAAATCAATACCAAATCTTTAATTATCAAGAACCACTGTGCATACAATTTAAACTGGTTAGCTTGAATTATCACTATTATTATTGATTTCGATATATAATATATACCAGTGTTATAGAAAGTGAATTGAAAACATAAATATCTGAAATGTTATTTTATGTTGTTAGTGTTAACCACATTCGACAAACGGCAATTAGTAGTATCATATTGTTAAGCAATTGTACATCGTTGTGTACCATGTATCTATAATAATCTATGAGTTGCTTGTTGTGTTCTTTTATCACAGACTTTATGTAATTCGCATGATCTACCGATTGTAAATCATTCCTATTCATAAGTCCTTGAAGAAATAATCGGAAATAATATTTTGGTATTCCAAATTACGTTCAGATTTCTGCAGAGCATAGTAAATGAAATTCTTTTTATTGTAAAGAACATACATATTTAGATATCATCCGAAGTGCCTAACTCACATTCACATACAAAGATCAATATCTATACACATTTCAGTATCTCCTCATTTTTGCACTTTGTTACTCACACATTAATTTAAGATGACTAGAGTATTACCAAAATACCTATCAATATCTGATGTTATTCAATATCGAAGTCGTTCAAACAGTGAAAACATATTGTCCTGTATTATGCAATTGAAGAACGAAATAATCACGAATCATATATTCAAATCAATATACTTGCTTCATGGATACTTCGATTTCCAGAATGGAATCATTCGAATCACCTCATCCACTCTACATTGACTCATGAATCATTGAATTCTCCCTCCTCCCAATCGTACATTCCTCCCACCATTCTCCTCTCTCTCTCTCCCCACTTCCTCGCATTTCCAACAAACAACCCACCAATACAACTTAATCAACTCATCCGACACCGACGGCGGTGCCAGCACGCCCAAATCCGTCACCAAAAACGTAATATACTCAGGCGGCAAATAATCACACCTCGCCGCCCCGAACTCCACGCCTTCATCCAGCTCCTTCGGCCTCGCTTTCTCGCTAATCTGCCGATCTGCTTCCGACACCGGCACGCTTTTCTGGTTCAGCGGGTAGATTCGCGCGAATTTGTACGACTCCACGGCGATATACACGGGCACGTTGAACGTTTTAGCGAGCACGCCCACTTGCAAAGAACCCAATTTGTTGATTACGCCGCCGGTTTCCACGACCACTTCCGCGCCCATCAGAACCAGCTGCACGGTGTGCATGAAGTAGCCCACTCCCGAATCGGGGATGAGCGTGGTGCGGATGCCTTTTTGCTGAAGATCGTTGGCGAATTGAATGCTGGAATGAGTTAAAAATCATATATAAGAAATAGCTTACCCTTCACGCGTTAGACCGCCCGCTGTGACGATGATGTGGAGACGCTTGTAGTCGCTGCAGGAGAAGAGGAGCTCTTTGACCACACGAGACACACCGTGAGTTAGAATGGTCTACCATGAGATGAGAGTAAAAAACCTACCATGCCGTCGCGGATGAATTGTTTACCGATGCTGCTGATAAATTGACGACTTTTAAGAGAGTAATCGACGAGGGCTTGCGAACGATGTGATACCGAGGAAAACATGTTGCTCTGCTCGTCTTGGTCGATTCCACGGGTAATGTTGTAATAGTAGATATCAAAACCACTGAGTAAATTGGTTCGACCAATAGAACCCTTCGTCGATTCCAGAGCACTGTTACTCAGCAGCTTCTCTTTCACTTCTCCCAGAGAATCGACGAGTTCAACCACTGTGCCAGGAGGATTGTTACGCAAATACTGATCCAATGTCTAGTTGGTACTAAAATGTGCTTCTCATACCAAAATCGCAACGACTGGGACGGACAATTGCGGATCCTTTAACTTCTCATTGAAGTAGGAAACAACTACGCACTGATCACTTTCCATCAAATGTTACTATCAAAACTCATTTTATATTGGAAAGAAAGAGAGTTCTCTAGAAGAGAGAGGAATTGTGGGATCCCACAATCTCTGGGAGGTGAATTCAAAATGAATCCGGCAGATGAAGTAATAACGCGCTGCCTGGAGGAGATTGATGCAAACTTTGTGAAGGCGATCGATATCGTGACATCCATGAACAAAACGATCAAAAACATATCTACAAATATGAAAGAGCTGGACGCCTGCTCCCAAGTAGAATTCGACTATTCTTTTTTCGAGTATAGAACTGGATTACCTTTTTCAATCTGTGTGGAGGACCTGCGCGAGATGGAGCTGGCGCTGTATTTGTTTTTGTATCAGTATGACATATAGCGAGAGTCTATCGGTACATTGGTTCTGACGGAAGACGAGAATGCGACAGATATTAGAACTCCGTCTTCTGCACTCAACGAAGAGAATTCCGATTCCTTCCTGAAGTACATGTCTCCCCCTCGCACTACCCGCATATATAAAGTATGCTCCTCTGACCGTTTTCGTAACTATTTCTAGCCGCTCAACACTCCTGGCCGAGATCGTGAGACATCCGCCATGGACACGTCCACGTCTTCGTACTACGGCTACTCGCCTCCACAAACCCCTCTCTTAAAGCGTCGAAAGACGGACGACCCTTCCCTTGTTTGTTGAACAAACATCTCCATTATAACACAAGAGAGTCCACCTTCGGTCCCGCCTCCTCACTGTGCTTCATTACCCGCCGACTAAAATCGGGCGACGGGATGACCTTCGTCGCCATCTTCTTGACATGCACCGCACACAGCCTTCCCTCGAACAGCGCGAGCTCAAACATCACCTGGTCGCCCAGCTGGATCTCCTCGCCCGGCTTGAGCTCGCAGTCGCGCAGATGGAAGAAGATATCGCGCACGCCGTTGATCGGCTCCTGCACGTGGATTCGCCCGCTCGTGCTGCGCTTCCAGTGCACGCGGCCCAGCTGGATGTCCTTCGGCAGGTCGTCCGCAGCGAACGGGCAGTAGTCCGGGGTCAGCTCGCGCATGCTCTGCTCGTACTGCCGCTCTTCTTCTTCGCTCAGACGCGAGCGCGGGCTGCGCATGGAGAACTCGAACGGCTCGGGGGAGTAGTTGCGGAAGAACGCGCGCGATTCGGTGGGGCGCGGAGAGTGGCGAGAAGCCAGCTCGGGAGGCTTGGAGATGATGGAGTAGGAGGGGGACGGAGCACCGGGGTTGAGCTGGCGGATGAAGGCAGGAGAGTACTTGTGCGGCGTGGGAGGCTTCGCAGAGGGAGATTCCTTCGGGACTTGGGGAGATTCCTTCGGTGCTTGGGGAGATTCCTTCGGTGCTTGGGGAGATTCGGGAGTTTTCGGAGATTCGGGTTTGGGAGGAGCTACGGCAGCCTTTGGACGATACACCATGGGCTTTAAAACGATGTAGATGCAAAAGGCAATTGCCGCTCCGAAGACAATATCCAATTCAGGGAAACGGATAAAGGGGATCTGAAAATAGATGACTGCAATGATCTAGACAGCTAAGACAAATTGGGCAATAAATACCACCGCTACAAAATGCCAAACCTGCACATTCGGCCCAAACAAATCATTTGGCTTCATTCTATTCATATTCCTGTATAACCAATGCGTACCTTTCAAAGTAAAATAAAAGGGGAAGACCGCGTACAATAAATGATAAATTGAATCGCATCTCTTTTTTGAACGAAACTCCCGCTTTCTTTGGATTTTGTGACTGGAACAATATTCAATGATTATCACATTTATTCTGTGATACCCGTAGATTGCACTATCGAATTAGAGTATAGAAAAGGAAAAATCGATTACCGTAGTGACATAGTATTATGTTGTTTGCTGCGTTACGCAGATAATGTCTCCACATAGATATGAACATAATGAAACGCAGAAAAACTCGGATTTCAACGAAAAAAGCGGAATGATAGGTATTTGGAATTCCACAAAACAGGTCAATATTGTGTTTCAAATAGGAGAAAACCAATATTGGTTTAGTTCGAATACAGAGTGAGTGTCACGCGATGCTACAAAATTTGATGTACATTACGAGACCCGTTGGACGATTTGGACTACAACTACTGAGAAAGCAAGTTCCCGCCTTTTCCTGCAATGCATCTCAAAGATGGTTTTCTGACAAAGTTACTCCCGAACCATCGGTAGCCACTGAAACTCCTGAGGAGGAAATCGCCGAACCTCTTGCACATAACAAGTTCAAGCACGTATTTTGATTGTAATTGTGCCTAATGGATGTAGCCAGGAGCTATCATGTTTGAACACTCTAAAGATAACGAACCAACGAACGTGAAGGATGACGAGTGGTTTGCCATTGTCCAATTGTCTGGAACACAATACAAATTGGGAAAAGTACTATATTGTCTCGTCTTGTTAGGTAGGATGATTTACTCTTTACAAACAAAATGAAATACGACATTGGTCAGCAGGTAATTCTAAATAATGTAGGAGAGTGATGTGCGTGGGACATAGGTTTTGCTGTTGGGAAGCAAGCACAAGACCATCGTTGGTCATCCGCTAATTGAGAACGCCAAAGTTCTTTGCACGGTGGAGCAACAGATAAAAGAGAAGAAGGTGACGGTGTTCAAGTTTCAGAAGCGAGAACGATTCAGCAAAAAGCAAGGATTCCGTCGCCAACTTACCGCTCTTCGTGTGGATGAAATCATATTTTAGTCTGTGTGTTTGTTGGAAATAGGTTGTATTTACTTCTGCACAGATGGGTTTGTTGAGAATGGACTGTAGAAAAATAGGTTATTCGGAATTAAAGAGGGTGTGGAAAAAACTGTAAAAGACAACCGTCACGTATACATTATGTATGATGTGGATAATAATGATATCATTAAACTAACAAAAATCAAAACCAATGGTATTATTGTTGCAGAAAGCGCAAAGCAAAGAAATGGCCTTCGGAACATCCATTTCTCTATCTACCTCTGTTAACAATGACTCTATCGTTATGGAGAGCTCCTTCTCTCCTCTCTTTCCACTCACTGATTCGACTGATCTTTCCATCACTATAAAAGAAGCGTATTCCATCATTTCTCTTTTGCTTATGTTTTCGAGCAAGACTAATCGTCTGATATTCTTGTCCATCTTTTTCCAGAAGCCATTTTCATCTTTCACAATTGTATTGCTTTTCTACTTGCCCTGCTCATAGAATTTCTGAGACTTTATTACTCCCAAACTGTTACATACAGTCACCCTACCATTAAGGCATCCATTTTCACATTTTCCTAAATTCACACTTTTTGAGGTTTATCGAATATCATCAAATGTCCAGAAAATAGACTCAGCTTGCCTTCTTGCCATGTATTGATTGTACATATCCTTGTATTATCATAGGTGGAACATGTTCCATCCAGGTTTCCTATGTTTCTCTATGAGCTATGTTTTATATTGTTCATTCTCATCATTGTATTCCTTCCACTCTCTATACATTCCTCTTAATTCAATAAAATGTTTCATATATCCTTTGTAATAAAACACCTCAAAAACAAACTGCCCCCGATCATCATATAGCTTCCCTTTCCCCTATTAATAGCTCTTTTCTTAATATCCAACATAGTAAAAACTGCTATATTCATCGTATAGCTAACAAGGTCCAGTGGCCACATTATCAACAAACGTTAGTGTTGCTACTAACACCTTCTTTGTAGATTATATTTGTGACGGTCCATTAATTTTCGAGTTTCGTATGGGGGTTATAATAACATACCTATCGTGAGGTTTTCCAACAATGCAATCTGCAGTTCCATCAGTTCCATTCATAGATTGCACTGAAAATTGCTCTGCAGTATTTTATTCCCAACACTCTCCTCTTTTTCATCAACACCTTTCTCGATATTCACAGATACAAGCTCTACAGCTGAAAGATTTGAATTCTAAGTTTTCTGAAGGTTGCTCCTTATTATTTCTTGTGATGTGCTAAACTAGAACACTTGCTCGAGTTTGTTATAAATGGTTAACAACATAAGTATGTTCAGAAGTAATATCAACACATAAAACAAAGATAAATATAAGAAATATGAATGCAAAGAACGAATTCCTGGCATGACAGATGAAACTTGTTGCGAATTGAGATCCACTTGTAGTCGTTTATGATAGATGCACAAAAATCATTTGAGAATAAGGCGAGAAAAAAACAAAAGCAGTCAATGTGATATCTATTTATATAGTGGCATATAAATGTAACCTCAAAGTAATGATTTGAGGATCAAATAGGTATAAGTCTCACATCAACATATTAATGGTTCAAACACAGAATCTGGTAATATTCACAGAATATTGAATAGGTAATTTCTGATGGAATGTGGATTGCAATGCGGAAATTAGTCAATATAAATTGAAAGCCCCATATTTATAGAAGGCACATATTGAAATGAAAAAAGCACAAATACTATCTTATGACACTTTTAACAACTTGTTTACCTTATTCATCTTGGGTAGAAGTTTTATCGTCATATTTTACACAATGAATGCATATCAGCACATTTCCACAACCAGTAATAGTCAGGTTCCAATAATATTCATCACAGTTGATATCTTCTTATTTTTTATCATCTGCCATTTTATAATATCAGAATATACCATTTCGTTATTTTTAACATGGAATGAAACCGAATTCTCCATTTTTTTCCAATTTCCTTTTCTGTTTTGATAAGATGCAAATGGAATGTATGTTTAATTAGTTGTACTAATTAATAGCATATTTAGAAGAGGTTCATGGAGCGGAATATCTACTTGATCGATATGGTACTCTGGGTCATCCTGAGTCTTTTTTCAAGAATGGAGTTCTGTTTACTCTCCAACGCTACCAAGGAAAACACAGAAACGAATTTCTATTGCACTCAGAATCTGGTGATGTGTATCTATTTGAAAATAACGTACTGAAACAAGAATGGAAGGAGGACGAGAATGGGAAGAAATCGGAGGAGTTTATTCGATACAAGAATGGTCGAGTTGATTTTAGTCAGCGATTCGAGTATATTTTGGAACAAATGAATAGCAAACGTTTTGTTTACCACAAGAAAGGAGTTCGAATGGAAATCTGGTCAGTCCAAACGGGACATTTGCTGTATCACGGAGGGTACAACGAAAGACGAATGAAAGAAGGCTGGGGCATCGAATACGATGAAGAAAACGGAAATGTGGCTGTGGAAGGGATGTGGAGCAAAGGAGTATTGAAAGAAGTGATTCGATGTTTTAATGGAGATACGATGACTGAATTGAAGCGAAACGGAGCAGATAGTTTGGATCCAACGAAACGAATTCCGATCTATGTGGGTGGATTTCGCTATGATGAAGACAATGAACGATTTATTCGTGAAGGGAAAGGATGTCTGATCGATGAAAAGACTGGAATGGCAACTCGAGAATGTGAATGGAAAGATGGAGCAGAAGTGAATGAAGTGAAACTGACTGATGGATGGTACGATCCAAAATTGAGGTAAGGTTTATCAACAGCCATGATTCCTAGACCTGATTCTGTGCCTGCTCCTGCTCCTGCTTCTCTTCGATTCAGCGTCACTGGATCTACAAAATGGACCGATGTGAGTTTGCAAGTGACCGATTTGAAGATTTCATCGAATTGCTGTAACGATTTGAATGCATTGGATCTGAATCGATTCGAGTGGCTACGATCTATCGAAATCGGCGATGAATGTTTTGGATCAGTGGAAACATTCAAAATCGATGGATTGAATCGATTGAATACTATCAAAATCGGAAGCAATTCATTTAATCAGATGATGAATGGATGGGGAAAAAATAAGTCGAGATCATTCCAAATATTGAATTGTGAATCATTGGAATCCATTCAAATTGGTGAATTCAGTTTCAGTGATTTTGCTGGAGACTTTGAATTGAAGAATCTACCACAATTACAATCCATTCAAATTGGTTCACACAATTTCCAAGATAGTTCATTTGTGATTCGAGGTATTGATATGAAAATGAATATTTGAATGATACATAGATCTTCCAAATCTACAATCCATTACATTAGGCGATCATGCATTCTGTGAATCACTATCAACAATAATTGAGAGTATTGAATGAATTCGAATGAAATGATTGATGTAGATCTTCCATCATTACAATCCATTCAACTCGGTGGGTGTGTATTTGTTGGAATTTTGAATAATTCATCATGTTCGTTAACAATGCGAAGTAATAATGAATTGATTGGTTATGATTTGATTTGTAGATCTTCCAAATCTAACATCAATAACATCTAAATATTTTAGTTTCAAGTATACTAGTGTAGTGACATTGGAAAGTATTTCTGAATATTGAATATTGATAGTATTTAGATATTCCAAAACTTCAAAATGTCGATCTACCTTATTCATTCGAAAAAGTTCGATCGAAATCAATTTCGAGTATTTTTTGATTGATTTCATTTCCCTATTAGATGTTACTGCTCATCTTTCTCATCTTGTTAAAGTAAGAAAATAATGAAATGTAAAAAATACCTCGAAAGAATGAATGAATCATATTATAATAATGCATTATTCTTAAAGCAACATGAATGGAATAGACAGTATTTTGACTTTTCTTGTTAATAAATAACATTGTACATGTGCAAACATCAGAATTTGAAACAGAAAACACATACAATTAATGCTCAACATCTAGTTTTCTCATATCCTTTTGTATGATTCCTTCTGATTCCATTTTTGTTTCTTTTGTACCATTTTACACTTTACATGACCAACAATTTTCTGTGATGCTATTTAAATCAGGATGATAACAACTTCATACAAGTATTAAGTCTATATCAGAATATACTTTTTCTCTCATCCATTCCTCATAGTAACAGACTTCTTTGATTATTCCCGCTTTATTCTTCCATTAATCAATCAATCAATCAATATTATAACAATAACTTCCCAAACCCTCATACTGATCATTCTTCTGCCCAATCAATCATCTCTCCTTTATCTTAACAAACAATTCAACACTCTCAAGACTTCACCACTTTCCCGCAATACCCCGTATCCAAATAATCCAAGACCTTCAACACATCACGCATCCCAATCACTTTCCCCTATCTCTCATCCCCTCTCTCTCCTTCCCTACGCGAATACTCTCATGCAGCGACTCGATCATAGGCATATCAATCCGCGTGAACTTTCCCAAACTCCGCGAGAAGCTTCCCGCATAGAACGCGACGTAATCGATGAAATAGGGATTCGTTGAGATCGTCTACGCAACAAACAAAGCAAACGAACACGTACAAACGATCCGTTGTCGCTCAGCACGTCGGATCGCGGGGTTTTGATGAACGCTTCGTCTTGCTGGTAGTCTAATCGCACGGAAAGCTTGATATTGCATCGCTGATTTCTATGAATGAATCGACGAATGAACCGAAAAGCGCACGATTGGTGACGACGCAGATTCCATTTCGTCTACGAATTCATAGCAAATGGACAACGCAGCGTACTCGACGATCCACGCGGCGCAGACGAAGCGACCAAAGCGCCTTGGAACGTTCGGGAGAAGTGGAGGGAAGGCTTTGCAGATCGGTGGTGAGTTTGATGCGCTTGGGGTATTCGATCTCGTCGTCGTTGACAATGGGTTTGTGAGAACGTGTACCTCGATAAATTGAGTCTAAAACAAACGAACAACACATCGAGTACCATCGGAGGTGGTGCTCTGTGAAAAAGATATATAGCTTTGAGGGACGGAGGAGGAGGGCTCTTTAGGGGCTGAAGCAGCGGGCTCTTCTTCCTTGGCATTGAGAATGGACGTCCAGTGTTTCTGGACCTTGTCAGCAAGCTGCTGGTTCTCCACAGAACCGCTCTTTTTCACCTTTACGATGGCTTTCCCAACACCAAACTCATAATTGCAAATCAGCGATTTTGTGATCCAAACCTCCAACAAAAATTCCAACGTGCAACGAATAAGCGCCTCGGACTCTTCTCCCTCCTTCAGCGTTAACCAGGGACGAATGGCTTCCAGGAGGCCGTGTTTATATAATCTTCGAAGGACTCGAGCCTTCCTAAAATTCAGAATGGCCTCCAGGATGAGCATTCGCTCAACCACCTAATCGTGATTTAGTACGCACAAAACAAACAGAATGCTCTTCTCTTATAAGGTTTATTAGAAGTGGAATGTGATCAATCGAAAAGAGTTCACCTGTCTCAGGATCGATTATATCAAAGAGATGTCGTTCGAAAGGAGTGACGGGCACCATCAGTTTATCGCGAATTGCGGTATTCATGGCCTCGTCTTCCTCTAACGAGATTTCGCCAATGCGCTTCATAACCTATCCGTGATCCATTACAACGGAACCTACATAGTCTATTGAGAATTCTTTTCCACTTATGGAGGGATAGACTTGAATCCACGTTTTCTCACCATCCTCTTCGTTTGATGGTGCCGAATCATTGAACATTGGAGGATTCAACATTTGTAGTGTTTTTATTTATTTAAATATATATATATATATTGAATGGAATAGTAATATAGGGTGCTGAAAGAAAGAAAGAATATATATATAAGTTGAAAAATGATTTTGAAAATTGTTTTAATAACAATTTGCTTGTATATAGCACAATGAATAGATCCATCCGTGTTGTTGTTTGTGCAATGAAAACCTGAGCAACAATCCCAATTCTTCTATCACAAAAACATTCATATTTTATCAATATAACACACCCATTCTATTTTGCGAATAGTTATACTACTTATTCCCATCTTTCACACAATTATCTTATATGGATCTGGAAGAAGCACCTACGAAGATCAACAAGGAATCCCAGTTCCTTCCATGGGTCGAAAAATAGTGGGCGGCAAGGTTTGGGATTGAAATGTAGTCGTCCAAAGAAGATGGATGATGTGTCACATCAAGAGGAAGCACTCAATGCTTTACGAAGATCTGTGAAAGAAGGAAACGTATTCGTTTTTCGCCATTTCTTATTCTCTAGCTTCCTCATTTGCTCTTTTATGGTCCTCCCGGAACAGGTAAAACTTCCACAATATTAGCACTGACACACGAGTTGTTTGGGTAAACACTTGTCATCCCTGCGAATTTACGTGATAGACCTGATCTGTCAGACCGTGTCTTGGAGATGAATGCCTCAGATGAGCGTGGTATCGATGTATGTTCCAATTGTGAATTTCTCTTCAGGTAATCCGCGAGAAAGTGATTTTATTCGCACGTCAATCTGTTCGCCAATCCATTCCGTACCGAATCGAATTGCATTGCATTGCATGTAGTGGTTATCCATCGCCTCCCTACAAAATCATCATCATGGATGAAGCCGATTCCCTCACAATGGACGCACAGAGCGCTCTGCGTCGCGTAATGGAGCAGTATTCCCGTGTAACGCGCTTCTGTTTCATCTGCAACTACATCTCAAAGTTGAAAATTCCCCCGATTTTGTGAATTCCAGAATTATCCCCGCTCTCTCCTCCCGATGCGCGCGCTTCGAGTTCGGCGCTCTTCCCCGCGGGAGTGTGCTGGAACGGTTATCTTTCATTTGTGGGGAGGAAAAAATCGAGATCGAAAACGAAGCCTTGGATTTCATTTTCGACCATTCCCGCGGGGATCTGCGTGCGGGGATTCAGTTATTGCAGAACGCGGAGACGGTTAACCGCGGGAAAAAGATCACGGTGAAGGATCTGGAGAGCATTACGCTGAATATCCCGAAGACGGTGCTGTTCCGACTGTGGGACACGATGGAAGCAACGAAAAAAGCGTCGAGCATCGCGAAGCTGCGACAAGTGGTCGATGCGATCTGTATGGATGGCTATCCCGTGTCGGCGCTGCTTTCGGTGATTTCGGATCGAGTAGTGGGAGATGAGAAGCTGAGCGACGCGCAGAAGGCGGAGATCGCGCTGATCTTGGCGAATGCCGACAAGGCGACGGTGGATGGATGCGACGAGGAATTAACACTACTGGATGTTTGCTGCTCGATCGTGAAATGCTTGTAGTGGGTTTTGTATTGGCTAATTTGTTTGTTGGAAGAAGATCTTTTTACGGAACACAATGTGGGGGATGGTTCTTTGCTAAAGTGACATGCACAACACTCTGAAAAAGATAGGGTATAATTGAATTTTGTGTTGCATGCCTAGAACGTAATCTCGAGAATGGACGTGTATAGAGTCGCCAGCTTGCTAAACTGATGAGCGTGCGACTTGTTGAAAGATAGGGTGGTAGAGGATCCGAGATTTGAATCGTCCCTATCAAGAGAACCACAAATTCTGTAAGGAAAGTAGAAACAGGGGTAGTACAAAGTTACACTTTTCAAAATATTATCAATATTATATATTAACTGAGCAACAATGGCGGATTATGGAGATTTCAAGTCGATCGCTATCGGTTTCCCTTCAGTGATACCTCCCATTCTGGCAATGGTTCTTGCTCTTTCTACAAAAGAAGTCGTTTCTTCTCTTTTCGCTGGAGTGCTTGCAGCATCCATCATTTATTCCATTGCAGTGGCAATGGGCAAAGTTTCTGGTCTTGAGAATGCCAACGTTCTGGATGTAATGTTCACAGTGATGAGCCAAAAGATAAGCGAAAACATATCGATTTGCTTGTTTATTCTGTGCATTGGAGCCCTCATTCACTTGGTCTCTGTTTCCGGTGGCGCCAAGGCCTATGCTGCGTGGGCCATTCGTACGATCAAGGGCCGCAGGAAAAGTATGTTTTCCACGATGGCTCTGGGATTAATGCTCTTCCTGGATGATTATTTCAATTCGATTTCTACTAGTACAATTATGCATCCAGTCACAGAGGGGAACCACGTGTCCAAGGCCAAAACTGCCTACATTGTTCACACCATGTCGACCAATATGTGCATCATGATTCCGCTGACATCCTGGGCAGCGGCCATCATGTCTCAAATCAAGGACAACGGCTTCGACAACCCCTTCCTGGTGTTTCTGAGCACGATTCCGTTCAACATCTACAGCGTTTTGTGCTTCGTGTTCCTCTTGATTTCGATTTCCTTCGATTTCGACTACGGCAAAATGAAGTTCTACGAAGACAACGCGAAGCTGGGCCTCACCGAAACCAACGAAGACGTCTCCACCACCGCAGCGGCGCCTCTCGAAGAGCCGCAGCAGTCGAGCAAGGGCAAAGTGTGGGACTTGCTGCTGCCCATCGTGATCATGGTGTTTCTGTCCATCTACTTCATGTACTCCTTCGGAAAGGCCAAGGCTCCCGCGGGCGCTGGCCTGGTGGACATTCTGAGCGCGAGCGACTCCTCGAAGTCGCTTCTCTACGCGTGCTTCGTGGCGCTCTTCTCGACGTTGTTGCTCTACGTGCCTCGCAAACTGATGTCGTTCAACGAGTGGGTGAACAACATCATCGAGGGCATGAAGACCATGCTCTCCACGCTCCTCATCCTCGTCCTCGCCTGGTCCATCAGCGGCACCAGCGGCGACCTCCTGCAGACCGGTCCCTACGTTGGCCAGCTCGTCAAAGACTCCCAAATCCCGCCTCAAATGATCCCTGCGGTGGTCTTTCTCGTGGGCATGGCGCTCTCCTTCGCCACCGGCACCGCGTGGGGCACCTTCTCTCTGCTCATCCCCATCGCCATCGGCATCTGCAGCGGCGACAACAGCGACTACCTCATCCCTTCCATCGCCTCCTGTCTCTGCGGCGCGGTCTTCGGCAACAACACCTCGCCCATCAGCGACACCACCATCCTCGTCTCCTCCGCCGTGCACTGCCCTTTCCTCATGCACGTCTCCACCCAGCTTCCTTACGCCGCCACCGTCGCCGTTGTCAGCATCGTCGGCTTCTTGGTGGCCGGGTTTACCCGCGGGGATCTGCTGATCACGTACGCGGTGGCGGTGCCGCTGCTGGTGATCGTGCTGCTGGGAGTGCACTGGTGGCAGAAGATGCACGCGGTGCCCGCGAAGGAGATGGAAGTCGAGATGGCCGATTTGAAGAAGAAGGAGAAGGAGGAGGAGGAGGAGAAGACGGGAGCGAAGCCGGAGGATAATGAGGAGGGAATGCTGGAGACGGAGATTGCAGTTGTTGTATAATGTGATGTGATTCATATGGTATGATTGGTATATATGATATTATAAGAACGAAAATATGTGAATTTCTTTTCCTGGTAATTGTTGGGCTGTTTGTTGAACACTACTCATTTTTGATTGGAAGCTGCTTCGCGGCGATGGCGTTGTCGGTGCTGCGGAACCACAAACTGTTGTCGCTCTTAGGTTTTTCGACGTGTGCCGGAGCTTTGGCGATGACCAATGACAAGTGGAGGTGGCAACTCGATATGGAGGTTGATGGGTAGGTGGAAGGCGATTGAGGAAGCAAAGGGACTGACCCGAAGCGTGGATTTTGTTTTCACTCTGGGAACAGTCTTGCTTGACTATAAGTTGTCATTTTACAACGTGGAGGAGGGGACAGCTGAATACGATAAGGTTTACCACACCGTCAACCAGCGATGTGCTGAACGAACGCTTCGCATGTGCAAACGCCTCGGTGGCTACTATATTAAATTCGGGCAGATGGTTTCCACGCTCGACCAGGGCGTACCACAAGAATGGGTCCAAACTCTTTCCCAGTGTCAGGTACGCGCTTTTCTCTGCGATTATTTGTAATACATTCTAGGACAAAGCAACTCCCGTTCCCTTTTCCGCAATCTCCCGTGTGATGACCGAAGATCTCGGTGTCGATCCAGACAAAGTGTTCCAAACGATCGACGAGTATCCGATCGGTGCGGCATCGCTCGCTCAGGTCCATCGCGCAGTGCTACGCTCCGGCGAAGAGGTGGCCGTCAAAATCCAATACCCGTCGATTCGGCGTTTTACGCTGATCGACATGCGCGATTGCGATGTTTTCTTTTTCTTGTTTGTTGCTGAAACGTAGTGGGCTACGCGCGTGATCAAGCGCCTGTTCCCTACGTTCGAGTTTACTGTTTGTTCGAAATGCATGGAATGAATTGTAGTGGTTCGTTCCGCGGTTTAAACGCAATGTGTTGCAGGAAATCGACTTTTCGATCGAAGCGACCAACACGAAAGTGTGTCGCGAATTTTTCGAAGGAAACGAATCGATTTACGTTCCGAAAATATACGATTCGTTGTGTTCGAAGCGATTGTGCGTGATGGAGTTCATTCATGGAGTGAAAGTGAACGATGTGGAGCAAATCCGAAAGGAGGGAATCGAAACAAAGCAGGTCGCACGGCTGTGCGTGCAGGCTTTCGCTGCGATGATCTTCCAGGCTCCTTTCCTTCATGTGGACCCGCACGCGGGGAATTTGTTTGTTCGAAAACAGAAGAACGGAAAGCCACAGCTTGTGTTGTTGGATCACGGAATGTATAACTACTTTGAGAAGGGCTTTAACGAGTTTATCCAGGAGTTGTGGCTCGCGATGGTCGCGCAGGACCAGTCGCGCGTGAATGAATTGTGCAGCGTGTATCAGTTGGAGCGATTTGCGCAGCTGATTTCGTTGTCGATGACGGGACGTTCGATGACGTCCCACAACAAATTTGGAGAGGAAATGAGCGGAGAGCTGCACGATTCGATCGAGGAGCGAATGAAACACGCGATGCAGACCGTAACGATGGAGATCTTTGAGAAGCGAATCGGAATCGTGCGTGTGTCTCCGCGAGTTTAGGCGTAGATTTCGGATATGATGGCAGCAATGCCTCGCGATTTGATGTACGTGTTCCGCGTGATCGAAATGATGCGCGGATTGCTTCGCTTGCTGGGCGGATCGGAGAGCGATCGGCTTCGCATTATGACGACGGAGGCGATCAAGTAGGGGAGGGAGCAGGGGATAAAACGCAGAGGAAAAGCGCTGCGTGATGAAACGAAATATTCGTGGATCGTGGCGTTGCGGTTTCGGATCTATTTGTGGATGCTGCAGTTCCGTCTCTGGCTGAATGATTTGTATATCGAGTTGTATTTCCGCTATTATCTGCGAAATGGGTATGAAATGGAGTTCGACCCGGATGTGGTATTTAACCAGCTGGTGAAACGGTCGTAATGCTGGATGGGTTCGTTTAGGAAGGGTGATTTGTTTTGTTTATTTTGGTTGTTTGTTGAAGAAGTGTGTATATATGTGGGTGTGGGTGAGGGTTGACAGAGATGAGTGAATCAGTAGAATAAATCAATGTGTGGAATATGAAGAAGAATAATGAAATGAAATGAAATGAATTGAATTGTGTATGTTGTGTGTGTTAATAGGAATTATCTTTACAGAAAGGATGGAAAAGAGTAAATGAACACTTTGAATGAAAAACTCTTGCTATATGATTCCTACCTATTCTATAAAAAGTACTCACCCCATTGTTTCATTCCCCTTCCTCAACTACCTCACATTTCCCATTCTCCCCATTTCACTCTCAAACAAACAATTTAATACACCAATTCACTATTTCCACTCCCTTCAATTCGATTCGGGAACCAACTTCTCAAAGAAACATTCCTTCCGTGGCATCCATGATTTCTCCTTTTTCTCCTTTTTCTTCGTTACAACGAATCCCTCGCGCAGCTGCGGATACGAGCACGTCGCCACCTCCTCATCCCACGTATTCATGATACAAAACCACGGATCCGACTGCGGCATCATCACGTGCTCCGGTACAAATCGCCATTTCCCGCAAAACGGATTCTGGCACCGAATCCATTTCTCACCGCTCTATTTTAAAATAAACCGCGGAAGTCGTACCTCAGGATCGATGAAACGGTTCGCATCATGCGCGTCGACGTCGTTGGAATGCGAAGAAGGCAAGTAAAAATGATTCGGTTTCGAAGGAGGATTCGAATTCGATGGAGAAACCGTGGAATTCGTGGAAACCGTGGAAGTGGTGGGATCCGATTTGGGGGGTTCGCTGGAAGGTTCAGTGATCGGGTTTTTACTTTCTTCGATTTTTTCCTTCGCTTCCACAGCAGTAGAAGTAGAAGCAGAAGCAGAAGCAGCAACAGCAGAAGTAGAAGCAGAAGCAACAACAGCAGAAGTAGAAGCAGATGATGTCGATGTCGATGTCGATGGTTGTGAAGCAGGCACAGAAATAGGAACATTCACAGAAGTAGGCGCATTTACAGACATTGGAATGCTTGCAGGAGCTGGAGCTGGTGCAGGAGCAGGAGCTGGTGCAGGAGCTGGCACTGAAACGGGAGCAACGCCTGGAAGTGGCATTGGAATGCCTGTAGATCCAGCAACGGAAGCTGGTTCGAATTTAGTATTTATATGTGCGGTTCTACTTGTAATTCACAATCCACTTCCAATCAAATTACATTGGATTTGGAGCCTTCTCTTCCAATTTTACATCCTACAAAATCACATCTAAAATTCAAAAATGAACAATGCGAGGCAAATTCATCTGCAAGGGCTGCTCGAGCATATTTGGCTTTGCCACCTCATTCGCCGTGGGTGTAGTCGTCGGAATATTCTACGATTCATTGAAAAGTTCAAAACGAACCATTCTTCGGTCAGACAAGCTCTCCGATGAATAAATCCAATTGCATTGTCTTGAAGAATCCAACAAACAATTCATTCAACTTTCCTATATAAACACTGAACCCAAACTCGGTGCATCTCTGTGTTCGTCTTTCGGTTTCGAATACACCTTCTCACATACTTATTCTCGATCTTTTCAAGCCCATGTCGTCGAAAGAGCGCATCCAACTCATCTATGTCAAATCTCTCTCTCTCTACTTCTACCAATATCAAAAAAGTAAGCTAACGTTCCATCCTGTCGTGCATACAAATTGTCTTCGATTTTTCGTGTTGGCTTAAATCGCATCTGTGCCATATCGTACCTTCCATAGTCTCGGAACATCAGAACTCCGCCTTTCTTCAGTCCCTATCCTATCAATTCGATGGAACGACGACTACATGCAATGCGTGCTCCATGAACAAGTCCATGTTTTGTGGGTTCACTGCAGAGAGAACAAACAAAATCAACAAGAAATCGCAACCCTCCGAAGGAACCTTGTCACGAATATCATCTTTTACCAGATCGGCTTGCCACACAACCATTCGTGTTGAATCGAAATCTGGGCTTTTCTGCTTGTGATGATGCGATTCAAAACGCACGTGAATGATGTCGACCGCAGACTTGGCGAAATCACAGGCATAGAGCTGAAGGGTGGGATATTTTGCACAAAGCGGAAAAAAGGCGTTGCCAACTCCACATCCTACTTCGAATAAGGAGAATTGCTTGCTCTGGGAGAGAAGGTGTGAACACATAAGCAAACCTCATTGGATTCAAACGACTGGAGTGCATCGAAAACGAGGTCCAAATAGTGCCGATCCTTAAAGAACCGATTCCCGTTGTGTTTGTAGAAATCGTTCCAGAAGCGACCCGCATTCTTGTTAAAATTCTCTATTCGTAAAGCGCGCACTTCTCATTCGATACGTGCCCAATAAGGCGACAAAGAGCCTTGTGCTTGAGCCAATTGCTCCTTTAGCATCTTTTCACGTTCGGGATCGTACTCCTCGTTGTACGTGAGTTCAAAATCATTTTCCAAATCGGTAGATTCTACTTGAGGATCAGTCATAGAATTGTATGAAAAATGTTTTCGTTCTACTATAGCAATGCAATTAAGAAAAGGGGACCGAAAGAAGCATGAGAAAGAACAATTGTGGGCAAAAGAAACTCCTACCAAATGAGTTGATATTTCAATATGCCTGTTCTACTAGTGTCCGATGCCTCGTAGTAGGCAATTCTTATGTTTCTTTCAATGCACAGAGCCAAAGGAGAGTAAGACTACTGTTCAAAAACGTTCTGTCTCACGGCAAACTGGGCATCGTTCGAATAGGTTCGATTTGATATTCTCTTTTCTGACGTTTGTAGAATATATGCTTCCTATCAATTTAGTGACAAAGGTAAGCAAGCTTTCCGGAGTTGAGCTAAAGATGCGCAATTAATACGCGAAAACTTAGTCGATCAGTTGAAGAGTTTAGAAATGATCGAATTGATATCATTAATGAACCTCATCGATGTTTGTGTTCTGATTTTGTCTAAAAAGTAGAATAGTTCGAGCGTTATTCGTGAATCAGGTAGGGAATGAATAGGAGTTGCTGATTTCTAGACGTCTCAGCATACAGCCCTATCTTTCGCGTACGCCTTGCGTTTCTCGTCTAACACTTTCAGGAATGCCTTCGCATGCTGCTTCTGTTCACTCCCAGCCAACGCCACGAAATCTCCCAATACATCTTCTACTCGAAGGGCAGCGGCATTCCCTGGGACCAAGTACTCCTTTTTTTCCACCGCCCGATCTCTTCTCTCTAGGTGAGTCTCTACCTCCAGCGATGCCTGACCAACTCCCCCGAATGCGAGACTCCCCGCGTCATCCACGGTCCCCCCGACCGCGGCGTGTCCCTCCCCCGTCCCTCCTTCCCCCCGGACCGAATCCACCACTCCTTCTCCTACCTCCCCACCGAGCAGTTCACCGAGCCGCTTCCACGTTTCCACTTTTCAACCGATCACTTGTCCTTCCCTCTCTCCTCCTCGCTCTACGGCAATGAAACGCCCGCGCACCGAATTCTGCCGCGTCGGTCGTCGCGCACCGAATCTCCCTCCGCGATGCCGACGCGTTTCCAGCGCTCAGCGCGCTTCGATTCCGATCGAATTCGCTCCGAGTACGATTCCTATGGTAGCCAGAACCGCGGGAGAGCGTGACAGAAATAGGGTCGTTTTCTGGAAACCCGCGGGGAGGAGCGAGTTTGTTCGCGCTGACGTCGGAGGGGCAAGGGGACCGTTATTTGGAGAAGGACGAAATTGGGACCCCGGTACCCAAATGTCCCCTAATGGCTCACAATCAGGACAGTCGGTACCGGCGGTTTTCGCTGCATTTTAGCCGGGAAATCGAGATCGAGATTCACTCGGCGTGGGAAAGCACGCACCGCTTCCAAATCCAAGGTGAGTTTCCCCGGTTTCCCCGTTCCATGCAGGGATTCAGCTGTTCGACGTGAAGGGGCGTTTTCTGCACATCTCGGAAATCGGGGAGATTTTTACCATTCCGGAAATCGGGCAGAGCGATCAGCGCACGTTGGCCAGGATTTTCGAGGCGAACGAGGCGATTTCCGCAGCTCTGGGTGGGTCCCGCGGGGAGCGAGGCGATGACGCGTAGAGTGTCTGCCGCTGACGATTCGGTGCGTGTTCAAGGAGCCGGTTTCGGTGGGGAAGATTCGGTTCGTGAACGGCGGAGGCGCGCCGGACTTGGGAGTTTGCCGCTTGTTGGTGCGCGAGGACGGGGTTCCCGCGTTCCAGGGCGTTTTAAAGCGCGGAGAGGTCGCGTCGGAAGGGAACGCTGAGCGTGTAGGGCAACGAAACGGTCGTGGCGCTGCAGGAGAGCGAGGACGCCCCGCAGCTCGCGCTCTCCCCGCGGCAACGCCGCGTGTCTTCGCATTTCCAGTCCAATCCGCCCAATCCGCCCAGTCCGAACAGTTCGAACGGCCGTAACAGTCCCAACAACCCGAACAGCCTTAACAGCCTTAACAGTCTTAGCAGTCTGAACAACCCGAACAACCCGAACAGCCTTAACAGCCTTAACAGTCTCTCCAACCCCACCAGCCTTAACAGCCTTAACAGCCGTAACAGTCCCCGGAGCGCGAGCAGCTTGCATCGCTACCGCAGTCCGAACCAATTCTCGCGGCGTCTGTCCGCTTTTTCAGAATTCCTCAAATACAGATCGCCCTCTCTGGTCTCGATCTCCGAAAACATGGCCGATTTCGGGAGCTCCCCGCGGTACGTGACGTCGACGTCGCTGACGGTGATCCTGCTGGAGCCGTGGGGGTCTGGGAACTACGTGGGGCTGACGGGTCTGGAGGTGGTGACGCTGAACCAGCAGAAAGTGTCGCTGACGCCGGGGCAGATCGCGGTGTTTCCGCGCGAGCTGATGAACGTGGGGTGGGAAGGGATGGTTGGGAACTTCGGAGCGCTGTTTGACGGCGTCAATCAGACGACGGACGTGAACCACATGTGGCTGGTCCCCGCGGTGATCGAGGGGAAGCACCCGATGATCCAGATCCGGTTCCCCGTTTTAATGCCGATTTGTGGAATCCGGATTTTCAATTTCAACTCGAACTCGATCGAAGCCTTCAATGGGGCCAAGTTCATCCAGATCTTCTGCAATGGGTCCATGATTGGCGTACGGTTCCACGGTTGGTTCTCCTTTGCAGAACTCGAAACTCCTCATTCGCAAGGCCCCGGGCGTTTCCTTCTTCGACTACTCGCAGTACATTCCTTTAATCGAGCCCAAAACCTCCCTGACGAAGCTCCCGTCCCTTCGGAATTTCGCGATCGTTCATTCGCCGAGACGGGTCGAGCAGGATTTTGTTTGCCCGCTCCATCCCTGCGGCTTTGTGCTGAAGCTCCAGATCGAATCCACGTGGGGAGACCGGAGTTTCGTCGGTCTGTACCATTTGGAGGTTCTGGACCCATCTGGGACCAAAATCGACATATGTCCCCAAAACATCCACCCATTTCCGGTACCGCAAACGGTGCTGTACGACAATAATCGGACCTATGAGCCCCAAATGATCAATATTCAAATAGGGACATGGGGGACAAATGATAGTTGGTGTGTCCCAATCGTGAACAGTGGAAACAGAGAAGAACAGAGCGACATAGTCAATTGTCTCTTTGTGTTCTTTGACGTCCCCGTGATTATCGGGTGTGTGAAGGTACTCCCGCGGGGAATCGTGAAGAGTAGCTATGGAACTATCGTCGCGTGCCTTCGTGCGGAATTCGTGCGTTTTCGCTGTGGCTGGACGGGAATCTGCTGTTCTCCGGGGAGCTCCGAAAATGGAGTTCGGGTAATGGAGAGGGGCAGAGCGTTCTGTTTACGGATAATGCGGCGCTGATTGAGAGGGAGGAGAGGAACGTGCGGGGCGAAGGGGACGTGAAATGTAGGTGTATCGAGCGCCGGCGGGATCGATAAAGTTTATAAAGGATGATGAAGGGGGGTAGAAGAGAAGAGAAGAGAAGAGAAGAGAGAATGGTTTGGATTTATTGGTTTTGGTTGTACCCTAGTGGGGGTGTTTGTTGAAAGAATGGAGTGGTGTGGAATGGAACAATAGAGCGGAGACACAGTGCGATTAGGATAAGAGGGTGGATAGGATACGAGAATTGGAGTAAGGATGGATTTTAATTGCTTCTTCTTTGAAGAACACTATGCTGGTTACAGGTTCTTTACTTATACCTTGTTCATTCAACAAACACTTCAATCCGTTTCAAATTTTACTATATACACACTTCCCTTTTCTTCAAATACCGCGCAGCAAGGCAAATCTCCGTAAAACCCCGTCAAATCGAATACTGCCGTCGCGATTGCTCCCTTTCGATTGATCACATCGTTCCTCCAGAAATCCGGCATGGGTACGAAGCAAACACAGTCGTTCTAGTTTAAAAAATTCTCATCGAATTCTACCACGTTGTATCGATAGGAATGCACCACCAATTAGTTTTCTCCCTGTAAATTACAAAATAACCAAGGGAGAAGGGCGTGTTCTCACCTGCTGATACTCCAAACCATGTATGTTCAGAGTGATTTCCTATTAATCGATTATGGTGTTAGCGAGAAACAAATGTTAATCGTTGGTATGGAATTGATGTGATTTTTGAGAATAAGCACAAACAATTTCGATTGAAATTATTAATACAATAATACACGTTTATTGTTAACAATTATATATCACTATGTGCTTTCAAACAAACAAAAATGCTATCATATTACACATTTAGTATTTACTTCTTCAAATTCACCAAGAACTTCGAGATTCCTGCATTGTTAGGAACGAAAGTTTTATCACCTTCGTGCCAGTTCGCAGGACAGACTTCTCCGTGTACATCACTGAACTGAAGTCCCTTGATCACACGGATCGTTTCATCCACACTACGACCAACTCCATTATCATTTATATAAATATGACGGATTTTCTGATTCGGATCGATCAAGAACAATCCTCGGAAAGCTTGAGCGTAATCCAAACCCGATTTATCTTCATTGTATACTCCATAGTTCTTCATCGTCTCACGAGTCACATCCGAAAGCAACGGAATATTGATAAGACCACCCAGTCCACCCTCGGAACGGGATGCCTTCAACCAACTCAAATGAGTATAAGGAGAATCTCCAGAAATTCCAAGCACCACAGTGTTCACTGCAGCCAACTTGTCCGCAGCATCATTATAAGCAAATATTTCGGTGGGACAAACGAAAGTCCAATCCATGGGGTAGAACAACAGAATTACCCACTTTCCCTTGTAGTTATCAAGCGAAATATTAGAAATTGTTTCAGTTCCTTGAGCTCCATTCAAACAAAAGTTGGGAGCAGTTTGACGAATCGTGACGGGCATTTCTTAACTTGAGTAAATATAGATAAACAAACAAATAAATAATTAATGAATATTAATGTAGAAAGATAGCTCATTTTTGAACAAAGAAAAGGTTGGGAACAAATGAATGAAACTCCCTTCTTTTCTCAAGGATTGTGAATATACGACAATCGTACAGTTTTTGAATGATAATGGAAAATATGGAAAATAGAATGAATAGTAGAATAGATTAGCAACACAGAATTGGATACTTGTAGATGAATATAAATGGAGTAAAAATTTAGATGTTCTGTTGTTTTAATTGAAGAGTTGATATAATAAAGAAACAATTACCAAATTGTATTGACCTCTTTTATGAAGTTGAGGTAATTCTTATTGCAACTTATCATTTCCAAGTAACATAGAAGAAAACGAAATACATCTGTTCAAATTATCACAATTACAGCAACTTATTATTGCAAATCAACACTAAGTGTTTCCATACAAAACTAAATACGAAGGAATGTCGCTCTTTTGAAATTTCATTCTCTCCTTATGTATAAACCACACATTTCAAAAAATGTGATTCTTAAGAACAAAGTTAAAATTGAAATATCCTATATACACTGACTTGATAGAAAGGCATATCATAATGTAAAAATGTAAATTCGAAAAATGGGGACACAAATGGGGAACAATTACATAGACAACAAAGATTTCAGAGAAATGTAAGTAGTAGGGGAATGGCGTAAAACACGCGGAAATCCATTTCCTACCAAATAACCGCGGAAATCAATTTTCGACCATTTTCGACCATTTTTTGCCATTTTTTGCCATTGTCTTCCTGACCACCTCGATAGCCATGGCGTAAAACACGCGGAAATCCATTTCCTACCAAATAACCGCGGTGAACTTTTTTTTCTGCCATTTCCACCATTTTCTGCCATTGCCTGCCTGGCTACCGTATTGTCCATAACAAGAAACGCGCGGAAACCCATGGCTGCCAATTTCGGCAAATTTCTGCAATGTTAACCTGACTTCCATTGTAGGCCATGGTATCCATGGTTGTCCAAAGTGAAAGATTGCTTCCTTTACTTCAGTCTATAATGCCCGAATGCAAGTGTGTGTATGTTGTCGTCCAAGATCCATCTCTTGTTGTCCGTGCAAGTCATGAGGGTCTTGGTTTGCTCCTTCGTGCTGATATCGAAGGCCTGGTTGTTGATACGCTTGAAAGTACCTTCGATCACTGCATCTTCCTTCTTCTCTGCCTCGAGGACACGCTTGTATAGTTCGATGTTCTTCACGCTCATCCTCTCTCCATCGATCACCACATTGCGAGGAACTCCCTTCGCTGCGTTATGCACTACATGCTTCTCGTCAATCAAACAGTACATCTTTGGTCTAAGTCCCACGAACTCCGTGATGCGATGCCCGTTATGCTCATCCTTGAATATGGGTCCCGGCAACTTCTTGTTGAAGTTGAGGAATGATTCCAATGAAGGGAACTTTCTCTTGTCCACTTCATGCTCGTAGTATTTTACGAGTTGTCCATAGAAGTAGCTCGTATTATCCAACTCAGAAAAGTCAAACGACTTGTACATATCGCACATTTTGTGGACGATGTTACCACGGTCGTTCAACTGCACGATGAGCGAATCCGTGTCCTGTCCCAACAACTCCACACTGTTGAATGTCGTCTTGAGCACGTTGTAGTAGAAATCGTAGATGATGTGCTTCGACATGTCGAGAATGGCAAACCCGATGAAGAACGGCTTCTCTACCTTGCGCACCGGTGTGTTCAGCTTAATGCCGATCAGATTTTCGGAATACATGGTGGTTCCAGCGATCATATCATATCCGTGCTTCTGAATGATAGCCTCACGTTCATTCCACGTGTTAGCGAACTTCACTTTCATTCGTTTCAGTCCAGTCTCAACGAATTTGCCATAGGTTGAGTTTGCCAACAGCTTGTACAGGTTCTTTTCTACGGTGGTTTTTGATTTGGCTCGTTTCTCACTCAGCATGTTCACGTACTCGAAGATAAATGGTGCCTGCTTGAAACGGATGATGCGGTAGATGTGCGTGACGTGATAACCCTGTTGAAGACCCAATTGCAGCAGAGAGTAGTGCACGAGATATTTGCGCCGAGGCACAAGATCGCAGATGAGCTTCGGTGTATTCACCTCTTTCACTTTGTCCACAATGTCGTTCTTCTCTGCGTACTTCTTGATTCCATCGGAGTACATGCCCGCCTTCTGTACGGGGAAGAATGGTAAGTCATTGAATTTATCATGGAGTTCCACTGGTGCCTCGATGTCGCACTCGATGAAGAACCCATACTTGCCGAACGTCTTGAGTGATTGCACCCATTCATTCGGATCACGGTTGATCCTTTCCATTACTTCTCGTCGCTCGGGTACACCCACTATTTCATAAGGCATCATTCTGTGCATTGCTCCTCCATACAGGTTGTTGGCGTCGAGGTAGTAGATGGATGATTGCTCTCCGTTGTTGGCGGTGCTGTCAAGGTCGACTTTGGCATGCCTTTTCACGATCTGTGTGATGCCTCCTCGAAGGTTTTTGAGTAGACGCATGAAGTCATCGATCTCATTTGTCTCCATCAATCGAATTCCCTTGCTCTCATAGAACTCACCCATGCGGTTCAAGAACACTTTCACGAGTTGTTTCTCCTCAAGTCCCTCATTCGCGTTGATGCGCATGATGTACTGAGCCCATTTCCTTGCGAGAACCATGAGGCTACTCTCGCTATGATCGCCTTCCATGGTGACCTTTAAGAAGAGCGAATAGGCCATTTGTGGTGCTGTGATGTAGTGCATCGGATCAACACCGAATGCCTTCAGTGTGGTAACGCGGAAGTGCTCGAATGCATCAGCCATGAGAGTTACATCGAGTACATTGTACAACTCGTAGTACTCACCCCATGTCTTGATATCGAAGATCTTCCACAGCTTCACCATGTGATCATATTCGCCTTGGGGCATCATTTCTCCCTTCATATCATCAATGCATTGTTCACGAGAAGGAATGGTGGTATTGTTCAATGTGTCGTACGATTTGATGAGACTGTAAAACATGGGTTCCTTCCGTGTCAACAGATCGATGTACTCGTCATTCCATTGCTTACCTCGTGATTCACAGTACTTGCGTAGTTGTTGTTTGGTGTGCACGTACAAATCGAGGTTCCCTCCGAGTGTCTGTGCGACGATGGATCTGAGAGGACTGCTGATGAGCTTCAACGAGTCCTTGAATTGTATGCCATTGTATTCGATCTGCATCTCCTTGTCCTCAGTGGTTGGAATGACTTCCAAGGAGTCACTAGAGGTTGAATGAGCTGCGATGAGTTTCATGATGAATGTGAAGTCGTAGTGAGATCCATTGTGGAAGTATACGGGTAGACGATAGTTCTTCTTGTTGAACGAGAGTTGGAGATTGCATTTGGTACAACAGGTGCATATGTACTGCCCTGCTTCGAAGTGACGTACCTCTCCCTTCCCTGTGGTGTATTCACCTGTCACATGTGCATGATGCCGTACTTTGTCGTTATCCAGTTTCTTGTGACAGAAGGGACACACGGTTGTTGCACGAAAGTCCCTCTCGATACTCGGAGAGTTCTCGAGTG